TATAATTGTGTATGGTAAAAAAAAAATTGTGCACGCAACCATTGTGGAGAAATTCACCTAAAACTGATTCCGCTGGGCGAACGTTGTCCTGGTGGAACTTTTTTTAATCCATAGACTTTAGAAGAAAAGATATTTATCCAAAAATTAGTGTGTATTTGTGTGTAATTGTGTATGTATGAATAAAACTAGTGCATGCATAAACTTCGGAGAAATTCAAGTTTCCGCTACGCGAACGTTTGGCCATTAGCTAGTTTTCAAATAAAGCGCTTACATAGAGAGCTGTAGATTTTTACATACGTTGTTTTGAATTTGTTTATATTTGTTTAAAAAACAGATTTAGAAAAAATCGTAGGGTTTAAAAGATAAAAATTTTAACGTAAAAAAAAAAAAAATAGGCGTACTATTAGGTCTTAGTTCTTAAAGTATGCACTTTGGGGTCTAGATTTTCACGTTGATACAAACCTTGTAAGTGTCTGCAACATGTTGCCAAGTATCAATGATGTTCCGTTAGTAATTAAATAGTTATAGGACAAATTTACCATGAATAGATCACTGTTTACAAAGCAGTCAAATATCACGACTTTCTAAATGAATTGCATGGTAAAATGTATGCCAATAATTAGTGTATTCATTCAACTATACACATGCAAAATTTCATGTCATTAAATTCAGTAATTAAAGAAAAACAATCATAATACTGACGAAGCATCGAAAACCTACATAACCCGACCAAGTTCGGATGGCTACAAAAAAGCGGCCGTGCCATATTTCTAAGAAACGTTCTTAACTTTCCAATATAGCATTTATTAATATGGTACAGTATCGTACACAAGCTTTAGGAAAAAATAAAACACAGTATCGTACACACGCTCGTGCATGCCTAGTCTATTGGTTAAATAGTGTAATAAAAAATATTGGTTAAATAGTGTAATAAGCTACAATATGATAAATATTTACCTAAACAGTAGTACATACTTACATGTGGTAAATATTTAATATCCCTAAGGGGTCTATAGTTAGAATCCTGATCCGTGAAATCTTCAATAGAAATTAGCTGTAATGAATTTTATTTGTCTTAAATATAATAAGATTATATCTCAAGTCTCAAGCGCATACTTAAATAAAGTACCTACCTACGTAAATAGTACCTACATTCTGTCATAGTCAAATACATTTAAAAAAGTAGGTGTCCAAAAAGAAATGGCCTATAAATTATTTCGAAACAACAAGTGTGTTATCACCTGTACCAATTCAATACCGGTATTGTACTGTAAATTTTGGGATGTTACCTAAATATATTGCACAGCCGCTTTTTTGTAGCCATCCGAACTTGGTCGGGTTATGTAGGTTTTCGATGCTTCGTCAGTATTACAATTGTTTTTCTTTAATTACTGAATTTAATGACATGAAATTTTGCATGTGAATAGTTGAATGAATACACCAATTATTGGCATACATTTTACCATGCTATTCATTTAGAAAGTCGTGATATTTGACTGCTTTGTAAACAGTGATCTATTCATGGTAAATTTGTCCTATAACTATTTAATTACTAACGGAACATCATTGATACTTGGCAACATGTTGCAGACACTTACAAGGTTTGTATCGACGTGAAAATCTAGACCCCAAAGTGCATACTTTAAGAACTAAGACCTAATAAGCGTATTTTACGTTTATATTTTTATCTTTTAAACCCTACGATTTTTTCTAAATCTGTTTTTTAAACAAATATAAACAAATTCAAAACAACGTATGTAAAAATCTACAGCTCTCTATGTAAGCGCTTTATATGAAAACTAGCTAATGGCCAAACGTTCGCGTAGCGGAAACTTGAATTTCTCCGAAGTTTATGCATGCACTAGTTTTATTCATACATACACAATTACACACAAATACACACTAATTTTTGGATACATCTCTTTTCTTCTAAAGTCTATGGATTAAAAAAAGTTCCACCAGGACAACGTTCGCCCAGCGGAATCAGTTTTAGGTGAATTTCTCCACAATGGTTGCGTGCACAAATTTTTTTTTACCATACACAATTATACGACGTCATACACTAAATATCTGCATAATTAAAATCTTTAAATTCAACAACATTCCGCTGCACGAACGAAAGCGCCGCCATTTGCTTACCATCAGGTGATCAGTCTTTCTCCCGCCAGGGCAAGGCGAGAGAGAGTGTCAGACTCTTACTGACTAAAAACGTTTCATACAACACCTCGAATGAATCTATTATTATAACATTAATATTTGATTGTCTTATGTTGGTGTACAGCGATGACTAAGGAGGTAAACAGGAATAAAATTAAAACAAAAAAATATATTTCAAATATTTATTCGAATTGCCTAAAGAAATAAAAGCTATAAAAATGTCAAATACAATAATAATTAAAAATTGTATAACTTAAATACTGGAAGAACAATTTGTAATACAATATTATAATATTGTAATCATAAAAATAAAAATCACAACTTAATATTATTGTCATAAAATTCGTTTTATAATAATACTTTTAATGCAAAATTATAGTTACTTACAATCAATGATATTATAAGTAAAATGATGTAGATAACCCTATCTACATCATTTTACTTAATTGAAAATCGAATTTTGTTTAAGCAACCACTTAAACAAAATTCTATTTTAAATAACGACACACTGATACATGTGAAAAAGAGACAAAATGAAAAAAGTGGGGCTACCTATCTACACAATTTTACTTATAATATCATTGGTAGGGTGTCTGGGTAGGGCAAAAGAGTGTCAGACTCTTACTGGTTAAAAACCACCATGTTCCTTATACATGCGACCCAGATTATTATTACAGCACTTGTACTTGCGACCCAGAAGGCTTAGGCGTCCCTTCTTCGCTCTGAGCCGTGACCGCTATACATTACAGCACTTCTACATGCGACCCTGGTATCCTAAGGAGCTAAGGATTAGCGAAGATGTGTACTCGAATTACAGACGAAAAAGGATCACATCTCTTCCAAATTTTAGCAGATGCACTGGGCGTAAAATAACTCATTAAATCGGAAATTGTTTGCTTTTCCCAACCCCCTTAATAGAAAGAGGAGCCGGAGGATTAGGACCTACTTTATTATAAATTTTAGGACACTTTTTCTTTGATATTTTGGAATACAAGAGACGTAAGGAACTAACAAATGAGTTCGGAAGAAAATGTGTTTCTTCCACCGGCTTACAAACGTGTGATTCTCGCAAAAGGGGTTGGTTTTTAGTCAGTAGGTGTCGAACGGTCCACTTCATCTTTTCAGACGTGTTCCAGATTCGTTAGACTTAACAATAATTCATAATTGCAGGATGATTTATATTTTCTAGACAAGCGGCCCTCCTCTTCTTCCTAAGGATATCCAACCAACTTCAAGACAGTTGTCGATTTCACCTTTAACTTAAAAAAACTTTCTCCGGACAATAACTATATAACTAAAAAGAAATGTCAATTTTGGTACAACCGTTGTTGAGTTATGCGAAAAACATAGGCCTAATGTTGGGGCACTTGTATTCAATTTCTTTTCCAAAAACTTAGTAAAAACAGCCGCAGTCCCATTGTAACACATTCAGGACTTAATATAATTAATGTTTTCATAGTATTAAGCTTTATATGTATAATTATTTCACTATCACACACAAAACTTGTCATGATTACTTGCGAGTAACAAAAACGTTATAACTCACACAATAGAATTGAAAATCAATTATCACAACTACAATCACAACTTTGTAATTGAATTCCTATTTTAATTTGTATGAAAAAGTATAAAAATGGACTTAAATAGAGATGTCTGATGGTACAAATATTATTTATTGAAATTAAAGATTATAAAACTGACCTATTTTAACAATATACATAGTCTAGGTCTACCATTGAGTCAGCTTTTGTATTTTGAACCTTATTCTCAACTACCTTCAATTTGAAATACAAAAACTGACTCAATGGTTTATACCTAGACTAACGAAATACCTTGTAATAAGGCCGATTATTGAGTTTATTTTAATTTGAACGTTGTATTGGAGAAAATACTAATGTGGGGGCAGTAGGATTTTCTCTTGTGTCGTGTGTGCGTTTATGCTTGGGCCACAGTAACGGGAAATGCCATTATTTATCGCAATAATGGACGTTAATCGTAGGTTTAATTTGATCGCTAAGCAAATGACTTAAAGTATATTTTTCATTGTATTGTATCACTAATTATCGCGATAATAATCCCGTTATTTATTTATTTATTTAAACTTTATGCAACAACATTACATAGGCGGACTTAATGCCCGTTAGTGTAGCCCAAACATTACAAACATACAATTTCACATACACAACATACACAGACCCGGAACAACGATTTGTGGATCACACATAGTTGTTCTGTGCAGAAACTGAAACCCATATAGCACGGTAGACGGTTGCATAACCACGGCATTAACCGGCCAGTCTTATTGAAAATATCATTCATACTTTTTCAACTCATGCATTTTCTAACATGGTGCATAGAGTCATTTAAAACTAAATTGTGATGTCGATCGTCGTTTTGGGTAATATCAGACCTTATATTATTATTTTGTTTATGTGATAGGTCGGCAAATGATGACCTGATGGTAAGCAACCCATGGACACTTGTAACAACGGAGAAGTTAGGAATCACTTACGCGGCGAAACACAACGCGTACATACTGGGGTTATATTTATCTTTATATATAATTTTACTGTACGTGTGTATGTCAATGAACTCCTCCTAAAAGGCTTGACCGATTTCAATGATAAATCAACCCGGCAGACGGCGCTGATTGCTTGAAAAAGAATGTGATCTCGGAAACGGCCCTAACGATTTTGTTGAAATTTGATATGTGGGGGTTTTTCAGGGAGGGTCCGTTTGTATAATATAAAGTCTTGTGTATTTAGATGGACTAAGGAAAAACCATCAGAAAATCGGCAAAACGTCGCCACGTCAAGGTGGACGCAAGAAGCGATTCGTCTCCTGTTTTATTATCAGAACCGCTAAGGTGTGGAATTCTTTGCTGGAGTTTTTGTCACCCGAAGGGTATAGGTATGTGCGAGACCCGAATGAATATGTTACTATTCCTGGATCGGCTAAGGAGAGCCCAAAAATAATGGGCAAAACGTCATTCCACCCACACGCTTGATGATGATGATAATTCGCCTCCAGTTTCATCAGAACTTGAACAGAACTGGCGTACGGCAAATATCCACCCTTACGTTGTTGAGACACCTGCGGCTCGGACTAAGCGTTTTGCCTCATCATTTATACCGCGTACATCGAGGGATTGAAAGTCTGGACAGTTTTTCCGTCCGAATATAATTTAGGTGTCTTCAAGGCTAGAGTGAATAGGCTCTTACTTAATAAACTAGTGCGCCTTACCATCGACGATTGCATCACTGCTTACCATCATGTGGGATCGCAGTCAAGCACTAGTTTATTGCAAGTAAAAAAAAAACTTCTAAGGAAAGGAATTCTTTGGAGTCTGTGTTCCCGAAGGGTATAATCCTAGGTGTATTCAAGACCAGAGTGAACAGGTTGCTTATGGATAGGCAAGATAGAATCCGAACGTTTTTCGCGTCACAGAGTATAAACAAAATATTACATAAGTTTGATCCAATATCACCCATAACGACTATAGTTACTTATTAATACTTTATATATATCCTCTATCGACGCAATGTTTTACATTGTTAGCCTCCCGGAGTCTGCCCTCCTTAGTTTTGAAAGGTCCTACCTGCCAGACGTCTTCTATGTTCATACCTTTGTCGCCCTGAAATACAAAAAAATGATGTAAAATTAATACCTTCATCATCATACATATATTAGTCACACTAACTTGCAAAATTTCGCGTATTCATCTTCAGTCTACTTGTAACCACGACCTGTGCAACTAGGACGAAACGTCAAGCCTTATAAGGTACTTAAATAATTACTTTTTGCAAACGTCACGTTTACGTTAATACCCGCGTAATCTTTACTTCTATACTAATATTATAAAGAGGTAAGTTTATATGTTTGTATGTAGGGGGTAATCTTTGGAACCGCTGGTTGGATAGCCAAAATTTGTTCCTGAGTGCTATAAGCTATAAAACATCACACTACGATTAAATGGAGCAGCGGATGAAACCACGTGAGAGTAGCTAGTTATATTATATAATAATATCAGTCACATTTACTGAGCAAAGAAAAGCCTCCGATATTTAGTCAGTAACAGTCAGACACTTCCCTTCTCCCAAAAATTTTCGAGCTTTTGGCATTTTAATACAAACGTAAACACTCCCGCCCGTCCCGAACTTGGTCGTCGACAGCCGTTTTCATGATTCAATACAATTTTTTTATTAAAATAGTATAATAGTTTTTTTTTTTAATCCGGATCAATAAGCGTATATTGCTAGACACGGGAAAAGAGTTGGAATTTTGGTGCAACCCTACCGCTAATGGATCGGTTGGAAAGGCCTTGAATTTAACAGCTCCTGTAATATTCACCAGTTCTAATTAAAGATTTTTTTTTTAAATAGTATAGTAGTTTTTTTTAATCCGGATCAATAAGCGTATATTACTGGACACGGGACAAGAGTTGGAATTTTGGTGCAACCCTACCGCTAATGGATCTGTTGAAAACGACGTGCATTCCACAGTTCCCGCAATATTCACCAGTTCGTATTAAACAGATACAATACAATGTTGCAAACAAAAATATCGCTTACCGTCATTTCCATATTGATAGCGTCTTCAGGCGCCAAAACAATGAAAGGCGTCGACTCGAAACTGAACGCCAGCCCGAAATAAGAATACTTTTTCATCTCACTCATAAAGAGGTCCCAAGGATATAATTTATCTGGATCACTGCCCAAATCCCTGATCTGAGAAGACAGGACCTCATAATAATACTTCAGTAAATCATCGTAATGCTTCTCCCTCAAATCTTGAGTGGTACAAGCGTACGTCATGAAAGAGAGATCGAGAACAGGTGTAGCACATCGAGCTAATTGGAAGTCAATAATTTTAGCATCCACTGGATTCCCATCCACATACTTGTAGAGAAAGTTATTCGTCCACGAGTCCCCGTGCGAAATAACCCCCGTTTCATCAGTTTTTGTCGCCGCTTCTATCATAAACTTGTACCTTCCCGGCACAGCAAACTCCTTAACCTTTTCCACGTAAATGGAATCAGGATATTCTTTTTCAACCGCATCGATGGCGATACCAGAAATCCTCTTCCAGAATCTCTCGTACCAGCCCCATAAGCGGTCATGGTAGTAGACTTCCGTAAGTTGAGTTTTTATTTTCCCAAATTCTTCTGGTTTCTGGTCTTTCATGGCGAAGGAGAGAGCGTGGTACTGCGCCAGGACTTTAAAGGTCAATTTGCAATGTTCGAGGTCGATCCCTTCTTGCCGCACTGCGCTCCCAAACTGGTATAAGCTTGCGTCTTCTAAGCAGAGTACGTCGTTAATCCCATCGCAGTATGAAAAGAACATTTTGGTGTATTTATCGAAGGGGTCTTTAACGTCTTTGGTAGATTGAAAGTCCAGTAAAGCTGGAAGGACTTTCTCATAAAACGTGATCTCATTTTTGAAGAACTCATGACTTCTGAATGTCAGTCTCCTAGCGATACTCTTAGGGATGGATTTAAGTATAACTTGGACGTGGTTTGGGACATTATTTTCGTCTGTACCATGTATTCTTATGCGAATCAGCTCGCTGAGGTAGGAGTCACCTTTGCCGGTTTCGCTTACGTACTGGAATCAAAGAAATTTATACTTAAATATAGAATAATAAATGTGAAGGTCAAAAGTCAAGTATGTATTACGTTAAAAAAAGTTTGAAAGCGGTTAACTTTTGAACTAACAATCGAATTGATCCTATTCTTGTGGAAGGTTATAGGCTATCTAGTATCAAACTTATCAAACGATTCTATTGAGAATCACGTGAAAGCCACGGTGTGTTTCAGCCAGGGTTGCTGGTCAGCTCAAAACAATGCCATTCTGTAGACAATTACAGGTAAGTATATTAGAAAACAGTTTCTGAATTCGCACGTAGTACTAATAAAATTTAGTAATTACTTATAAGAAGTGCCTAAATAATAATACAAGTACCTCATAAAACAGGCGTGAAACAACAGTAGCGTTGTCTGTCGCCATGTCTGTACTAATATTATAAAGAGGTAAAATTTGTAAGTTTGTATGTGGAGGTTAATCTTTGGAACCGCTGGTGGGATTGCCAAAATTCTTTCACTGATAGATAGCTACAATGTTCCTGAGAGTTATAGGCTATAAAACATCACGCTACGATTAAATGGACCGCAGCGGGTGAAACCGCACGAGAGTAGCTAGTGAGTGATATTACCAAAGGTCCAAAACTTCCCCTTTACCCTCCCAACCTTATTTTACTTAATCCTAAAATCTAAAACCCGCAAAAGGCTGTCAACGTATTCGCAAGTTTTTTGGTGTAGCAGGCGTCCATAGGTGGTGCCACCTTTGGATAATGGTCTACTCGTTGCTGTCCTACCGCACAAAAAAGGGAGGCAGTCTAAGATTCTCTTGTCTTTAGAAGAATATTATATCTCAACTAGCGTCAATATTCACTGAGAAAATATAAACCTTCATGACTCTAGTTCGAAGAAATGTATTGATAAAACACTATCCGCGCATTAGATTATTTTTTTTAAACAAACAGATCATTATGTGGCAAAAAAAGAAAATATGTCAATATGTCAACGCTAGCTAGAAAATAAAGATTAGGCGCTTAAATCAATAAATAACACATGCGATAGGCGACCGTACTATCATAATATGCGTATCATTTGATGAACGCGTGTTGTGGCATTTAGCATGGCGTCGCGGCTTTTCAGTTCTATAAGTTTCGGGACAAGCGCAATGATTTTAGTCAGTGGATGGCACTTTCTCGCGGCAGAATTCTCACATATAATTTTAACATTTACTGGACTTTAAGAGACTGACCTCTGGGTTTGTTTCGGCATTTCTTCTCAGAGTAGTCAGATAGGAAATGCTGACCTCACACACTTATATACAAGTGTATAGTAGAAAACGAAAGCGTTTTTTCTGTCCGTATAACCCTATGCATGGTTAAATCTTCAAAACTATCCATAGGATTTTGATCAAGGCAGGTCGCTAGTATTCCTTTAACATCGGGACCTTCTCAAGAGGATCTTCGAAATTGCACGCAGGTGAAGCCGGATAACTCCATAATAACGAATGACTCATACAAGTCATTGACATTAACCAGACATTACCTAGTAAGAGCGATAAGCGGATACTTTTTTATGTACCTACGCACATATTTTATAGTAGGTAACTACTTACATTATAACGTAAACAAAAAACTATTGTTTCTGATAACGTGCGAATTGCAAATAAAAAACGTTCGATTAGGAAAGAGGTTGGTATGCAGATACATTCTTTTTTTTATGTAATAGGTCGGCAAACGAGCAGACGGATTACCTGATGGTAAGTAACCAGCGCCGCCCATGAACACCCGTAACGGAGGAGTTACGAGTGCGTTGCCGACCTTTTAGGGATTTGGAGATTTAGGAACTGGGGAGGGATTAGGAAGGGGAAGGATTGGGCCTCCGGTAACCTCACTCACAAGGCGAAACACAACACTGTGGTTGTTTCACGCCGGTTTTCTGTGAGGCCGTGGTATCACTCCGGTCGAGCCGACCCATTCGTGCCGAAGCATGGCTCTCCCACACTTATACAATACAATTTTACACAATTTTTTACAAGATAGGGCGGCAAACAAACGCACGGATCACACTGATGGTAAGCAATCGGGCTACCGAATTTATGTTCGCCAGATGTATCTAGTGTAGGTATACCAATCGACTTTTTGTCCCATTTTGCTCCATATCAGGGATGGGACGTTTAATGTTTAGAAACCGACTTAGCATTTCAGTTATTCGCGCCATCTAGTAATAAAAAACGAAAACTTCTATTTGTTTTCTTTGTTGTTGGATTGCCCGCAATACCAAAGTGCGTTTCATACACTAGACAGAGGTCATGGTACTGCTTTGTCGAAAGCGGTCGACCGTCTTTCAAGTTCAGTATTCAATAATGTAATGAAATACAAACAAAAGAAGAACGAAAGTATTTTAGTACTCATCTCATCGGGACGTTACCTCTTTTAGCCCTCTGACCGCTTTTGAGATCTTAACGCGTTATTGTAAACTTTATCCATTATCATCAACATCAGGCTGTTGTCGTCCACTGCTGGACAAAGGCCTCCCCAATTGCACGCCACTGAGCTCGATGTTCAGCTCTTCTCATCCAACCACTGCCAGTTACCCTGCGGTTACCGTCTGTCCACCCAGCTAAAGAGCGCCCTACACTACATTTGCCTAGACGTGGTCTCGACTCTAGAACACGTTTACCCCAACGGTAATCGGTTCTGCGACAAATGAGTCCTGCCCACTGCCAATTCAGTTTGCTTATCCTTTGGGCTATGTCGATAACTTTAGTTTTAAGTATCACCTAATTTATAGGATTTTCTCCAGGGGCCGTGGATGCGTTTACAAACATACATACACACCACACCCAGACCCGAAACAACAATAAGTGGATTACACAAAGAGTTGTTCCGTGCAGAACTCGAACGCGTGACACTTAACTTGGTAGACAGTTGCCCAGCCGTCAAGCCAACCGTGCAGTCGTACATGTGCAGAACTTTTTTTAATGCATTGACAAATAAATAAAAATAGAAAAAAACTCACCTCCCAATGAGTGAACGTGAATGGTCGCTTGAACCAATCAGAGAGCGCCGCGCTGAGACGCTCATTTGTGAGCACCGGCGACACGTGGGTCAACGTACTGTAGTCGTCTGACATCACGCGTTACGCTGAAAGCCAATATTTTTTTACTGAATAACTACGTTTTACCCCCTTGAGGAGAGACTCTGGGGAAAGGGGATCGCGCGATGATCTTCGACCGTCATGAGCGCGGATCTACGAACAAGGGTAGTTTGCCGCCAGACCAGAACCAGACTCGAGCATATAACGAGTAGCGTTAAGCGCTAGCTTTAAACTAGGGGTCGCAAACCGGGATACCGAATTTCGAGAATACCGGAATACCGGGCCAAATTTAGGTCTAATTAATACCGGTATTCATTTCACAAAAACCGGGATATTCGGTATTTTCGGTTTTAGTAAAATAAATAAAAAACAAATACAAATAGAAAAATTTGCGCGCCTTTTAATTCAAATTACGCCATTACAAGGCTCAACCAAAAATTTAATATAATAATATTTTGATTACCTCTATATAAGTAACTCAATTTGATTTGGACTGAATTTAATTTAAGCATTTTTATTATTTTGTTAATAAGAATATTATTTGATGATTAGTAAACCATCAAAAATTGAATTTTACGTTCTATGAATTTTTTTTATGTTTTTTTTTTTGTTTTGTTGAATTTTATGTTTTATGAGATGTTTTTATGTTTTTTTTTTGTTTTATTAGAAGTGTATTTTTTTTTGGTTTTTTTGTTTATGTTGAGACTGTTGTGAGATGTTTAAGTTTGATAGACATTTTATTTTTAGAACTGATTCCTACTACCTAGTCAAACACTACATTAAGGTTCGATCTAGATAGTAACGTAACAATATGTGCATACTGCAAAATCACAAGTATTAAATATTAAAAAAGCTCAAAAAGGGACAAAAAGAAACAAGAAGTAGAAACTAGAAAACATAAAGTGACGTGTGTCAACACTGGTGCCTCTCAACAAAAATATGGGTTGATTAAGATCCTTCAGGCACAGTTTCCCGGGCCTGAAGAATCCACACCAGATCGACAATGGAGAATGCCTTTTATATCTGAGATGAATTTATTAATGCTGTAATTAAATATGTCAAAAAGTTTGTGATTGCTCTTTGCCATTTCATTATATTGGCAAGCCATCCTGGTCAAAGGGTTATAGAAAGATATATTGTTTTTGTAAATTTGTAGAGCGAAGAGATTAATTTCGTTTGATCTACGGGCACTAAATTTAATGTTAAAACTTATGTTTGAGAGTTATTCAGGGGAATCTATAATAGAGTGGGTAATTTTATAAAGATAAACTAAGTCGAAAAATATGCGCTTTGTTTCTAATGGCTGAACATTAAATTTTAGCAGTCTATCTGGATAACTTAAACTTGACCGGCCAGGTTTTATACAGCAATTTAGGATTCTGAGGAATTTTCTCAATGAAATTATTTTTTATTTAGAAGATAAATTCATTTAGGTTGTACATGGTACTTACTTTTCGTCCGGAAACTAACTTTATAATACTAAATTTGCTTACTTTAGCTTAATCCCGGAAATATCGAAAATACCGGATTATCGGTATTGGTCTGAAGCCAATACCGAAAATACCGGTTTTGCTTAAATGATTCGGTATTGCGACCCCTGCTTTAAACAAGAGCCAACAGACTACCACCACCGCAGAAGCGGCCCAATATGGCTGATATTCTGCCAGGGTTGCGGGTCAAGCGCAATAATGTGTCGCGGCCTCGGCCTTGAGCAAGAGAAGGAACGTGGTGGAATATTAATAAAAAAAAATATTGTATCTAAAAATAAAAACTGTCTCTATTCTGAGTAAATCCTTATTATACTTGCCTGCATAAAAAATATCTATGCATACTATTAATTTATTTATTTAAAATAATAATTTATCATTCAAAAGATATTCCCACTAAATGTAAAGTACATTATAATGACAAGACAATAGAATGAACAAACAAAACACTCCTTCCCTATCTTGAAAGCGCTGTTTATAAAAGGCCCAGTAGCACAGATAAATATTTGTTCCACAAACACTTAGTCAATAACAAAGTAATTACATAATAAAATAGTCACATTATAATCACATATCCTGTGCCTCAAAGAGCCATCATACCACTATGGATTGACCAAGGTCCAGCAGGGGTTGCGGGTTGGTGCACAATAATGTGGGGGCAGCTGAAGAACTACGGTGGTTTTTAAAATCTATTTCAAATATACCTATGGGCTCTTTTGAACAAAAAATAAATATTAGGGTTCAGCTTTTTGTGTCTGTTTGTTAGTGTTATCTCTAGTAAAGCTATTTTCTTGTTCCAATGGAGAAGAACGAAGAAACTCCATGGTTACTCTATTTCAATCAATTTCACAATTAATTTTTGTTGCATCTATTAGCCTGTATTATTTTGTAATTGAGAGTTCAGACTATTACTGACTAAAAACCACCCTAGTCCTAGAGACTGTTATCAGTCTTTCTCATAACTTCCCTGGCAGGAAAAATCATTGGATCACTATCCTGCCTCATAAAAATCTCTTCTCAATGAAAAAGGTTTGGGCATTAATCACACTCTTTTACCAAGTTTAAAAAATGAATGTTTTCTTGTCTCCCTGAGTGAGCCAATGGTGTTATTTTAAAAGGTTTATGAAAAGGTCTACCAGCAGAGGCAATGTGAATGTGGCACATCAGTACCTAACATAAAAAAATATATTCTTCTCAGTCAGTGGTGGACAAATAGAACGATTTTAATTTATTAAACCCTAAGCGAATTGTGAACCTAATTTGTCTTTATTTTTGTTGTGCCTCTTACAAAAAGATTGTAGAAAAGATCAAATCTACCACAAAAAAAAATTTAAGCGATTTCAAATGATATTTAGTACTCTTTGTGAAAAGCAATTTTAATACTTCACATGAGTAAGAAGTTTTTATAGTAATTTGAAATCACAAATGAAATTTAATTAACTAGCAGCGTACATCTCAGTTCATGAATGAGTTTATTAAAATAAACAAATGAACAAAATATTGCAACTACATTAAAGTTCTAATTTCAAAATTATTTACTTACTTCATCTTCTAAATTCAAATTGATTTTATGGGAAAAGGTTATAGCGTAGACTAGTCAGTGTGACGTGGCCTTGGTCGATTTTGAAATGCGTTAATACTAGAAATACAGTAACTAAATATTTTTGCGACTTTTTTTACGTACGATTTATGACTTAAAATATATGATACAAGTTTTCACATTTAACCAGTGCAAAATAATTGAACAGTTATAATGTAGCGGAGAGTAGGTAATAAGATAATTTCTTTGTAAGTAATTATTTTTTAATTACGAAAGGAGTAAGTGCGACAGTTTTTCAATTAACATTTCATAGTACTTACGTTTAAAACAAAACTAAAGCCGCGCGCTCAACGAGAGTGCACCAATCAGGATTATTTGCTGTGTGACGAGAAGATAAGAAGCACTGCAATAGGTATTTCAGAAACGTCTGATAAAGTTTAGCCGCTAAATTGAAATTGAATCTGAGCAAAATCTCACCTCAATTGTTGATTTCCTGTAATCCAGTGTTGCCAAAGTCAATTTCATTTTTCCCTGTATTTTTTATAATACCTCTTGGTTGAAAATATTAAAAAGTACAGAAAAACTTTTTAAAGGGCATTTGAAAGAGCTAACCTAATAAACATAATATTTTTTTCATTTATATGCTTTTTTAATGCTACGCTTAAGTACTAACTTAAACTTGACGTATAACTGTGCATGAAACCAGAAAACAGAATTGTATAATTTATGATCCTTACATGATTTCAACCATGGTACCTACTTAAAATATTGTGATTACACCTGATGGAAACTAGTGAATTATTTAATTTTCACACCAAAATGTTGATTGTTTAGAAGGGCACTCTAATTGCAATTTAATAAATTAGTGTTAAAGAGACTATGGCCGACGCATCAAACCAAATTAACTGGTAAACCGGTAGTCTGGACTAATTTTGGTACCAATACCGAGATAAATCCAGACTACCAGTTTTAGTGGAAATCATAATTTAGTGATAACCCTAACAGCTGAACAAATCCACAGAAATGACGTGTTTTGTTGTCAAATATGAAATGACAGATGTCAGATAGCAGTTCTACCAACTTACAGACAGGATTTAGCTTTTTAATATAAATATTTTTAAAGCTATCCTAAATTCTTCGTAATCATAATTTATCAGCTATATTATATACTAAACATTAATAGTAAATATTAGCTACAAAGTAATGGTTTAGTACCTGCGACTGTGGATTACACCCGATCTTCAACCCGACTGCAAAAAAAATAAACTATTTTTAAGAAAATAAATAATTAAATGTGAATTATTTGAGAAAAGTTCTTCTAGTTTCAAATCACAACGGGACTCTTCTCCATGAGCAAAGTGCACGTTTCAAACACGTCGCGCAGCCAACGCTGCATCAGCTGCTCGTTAAAGATTTGAATAAAACGATTACTTACCGTTGACTTGAATTGAAACTAGTAGAAGAATAAAAATGTGAAAAGCTCTACTATTGTAGAGCTTTTCACATTTTTACGGAGAACTGAAACCTTGTTAACATCTGGAGCGGTATTTAAACCCATTTAATCAGCTTTTTTCATGTGATAGGTCGGCAAAGAAGCAGACGGATGACCAGGTAAGCAATCAGCGCTGCCCATGGACACCCGCAACAACAGAGGAGTAACGAGTGCGTTGCCGACCTTTTCGGGATTTTGAGATTAGGGGATTGGGGGAGGGGAAGTATTGGGCCTTATCTTATTGGACAAACAACCTCCAAAAGGCCTATAACAAAAGTGTGTGAGAGCCAAGCTTCGGCACGAATGGGTCGGATCGACCGGAGTGATACCAAAAACATATAATGAAACAGAGAGGGAGGGATAGCCTTCCAAATACTTTATTATCCGAATCCCTAATCCTCAAAAGGCTGGCAACGTTGTCGTTCCGTTGTTACGGGTGTCCATGGACGGCGCTGATTGCTTACCATCAGAAGACAATCAGATAATCGGTCAGCTCGTTTGCAGATCAAATCACCTGTGTTTTTTTAAAGATCTTATATCTTTTAAAACACAGGTGTTCAATACTTGTTACCCTCTTAGCTCGTTTGCGATCTATGTCATTGAAAAAGATTTTAAACTATTCAATTTTAATTTTAAGCAATCCTCGATGTTGATTAGTTTGAAGATTAATTCGAAATACCGGTAAATATTTTTATGCGAAGCGCCGTATGCTCAGGTTTGGTAGCTGAGCGAGCGACAAGCTACCTAGCCCCAGCCCTCGTCTAGCAATAGGTGGGAATTTCTCCTGTAAATTTTTTTCATTTCAAGGGATTCAAGCCCTTTAGTACTTAAATAAAACCAACAAAATTTATTAAAAACTTACAATTTATTTTATACTTAAAACTAAACTATAAATTACTAAGCAGTTCTCATTCCAGTGATCTTTCTGTAAGCACTGAAATGTTCCAAGTACTGGTATATGGTGTCTATTGGAGTGTAGATTTCGTTCATTCTGCTCACTAGATGCTGTGGCGCTTGTACCATGACTGAGGGACCAAGGAATCCTTGCAGAAACTCGCGTAATAAACCCCAAACAGCGTTAGGTGTGACACATGGACGATATTCCACCTGGAGGAAAAAAAAGTTTTTATTAGGCAATTCATATTATAAACAGGCTTTGATGTAAGACCAACTATTAGGTGGCACATGAATAAAGTGTGTATGTTTGAGTGTACAAATTTTCCATTAAAAAACATAGGCAAGCAGTCAGAGCATTCACCGTCGACCACGACCTTTATGTTTCTGACTGCAAGGAAGCTGGTATTATTTCTAAACTCTAAAACTAAGTAATAACAATATAAACTAATATGAATTTATAATAAAAAGTCTTTTATCTCTGTTTTACGTATTTTCTCGGGAAGCTCATAGGAAACAAGCTTCGAATGAAACGCTTTATCACTAAAACCGATCAAAAGCTTTCGCTACGTCCAAACTGGCCGACATCGCCCCTGATGAGTTTCGCTCATTATTTTCAGGAACAGGGAAATTATGGCTATCGGACTGTAGTTGGCCGGATTTGTACGATGACCTTTATTTGGAATCGGGAGGACTAAATCCGTCTTCCATGACGTCGGAACTACACCTAAGTCTGAACAATAGGAGAACCGAAGAAGGCGTGTTACCGACAACTCTGAAGCGCATTTCACCCATTTGACCGAAGAGTATATAATCACTACGGTCATTTGATGTAAGGATGTCAAGGTGCATGAGCGCCAAACGTACCGAGCGCTGGTAAGACCGAGTATCTATACTAATATTATAAAGCTGAAGTTTGTTTATTCAACTACTGGTACAAATTGAACAATTCGTTTTTAGTTCGTTAGTCCATTTATCGAGGATGGCTAAAGACTATAAAACATGACGCTACTTATCTCTAGGAGTCTAGGAGCATGGGATGAAACCGCATACGAGTAGCTAATAGTCCTGCATATCACCTACACATCCACACAACAGCACGACCAAATGTAAGTGTAAAGCCAATCACAATAAAAATCTTACCTCAACAAGTATCCCTTTAAAACTCTGGTTCATAGTCACAGAACCGAGCTTAACGCAGAAGTCACCGAGTTCAAATCTTGGTCCTTTACTCTCAATCTTAGTTTGTTTCTTGGACGTATAATGTTGGGATAGCTTCATCATTAACAGGTCGAACAAGCCATCCGCTATAACGTGGATGTTCTTTGAACCTGTATCCAGTATTGAGAACACGGATGCAGGCTGTTCTGAATTGTGAAATATGTGAACTGTTTTCGTTGTACCTGAAATTTTATTATTAATTTATGAGTTTTACAGTGGCACAGTTTTAAACTTCGTCGTGTTGACAGTTTTTAGAGGTAGCATGAGAATAGGACACCTATGTCTAACCAAGTTCTTGCAAAATAGGTGGCAGAACATGCATAGTAAAGGCGCATTTTCACTAATATCCTAATGGAAATGCAGATATTTTAAAACCTATGTATTTTTGGCGGGTATTTTTGGAGGGTAAAAAACGTTGCCCCACTTTAGGATTTTCTCCTGTGTTGTGGGTGCGTTTACAAACATACAATTTCACATACACAACACACCCAGACCCGGAACAACAATGTGTGGATCCCGCAGTGTTGTTCCGTGCAGGAATCGCCCCCGCGACACGTTGCACAGCATTTTAAAATAAATAGACGGACAAATTATTATGACGAAGTAAATAATGCTATTACGAAGGTTCATAACTGGTTTACAGTTAATAATTTAGTTCTAAACGACAAAAAGACAAAGTGTATACGATTCAGTTTACCAAATGTAAAAAGTAACGAATGTGACATATTATTAAACGGCAAGAAATTGGAATTTGTAAAACAGACTACTTTTCTGGGTATAACCATAGATGAAAAACTACAATGGGGGCCCCATATCACATCTCTGGCAGGACGGTTGAGTTCTGCAGCATTTGCTGTCTGGAAGATCCGACAGCTAACAGATGTGGACACTGCAAGACTGGTGTACTTCAGCTACTTTCATAGCATTATGTCGTATGGCATCTTGTTGTGGGGACAGGCTGCTGACATTGAGTCTATATTTGTCTTGCAAAAGCGTGCAATCAGAGCAATTTACAACCTAAGGCTTCGCGAATCTCTTAGAGATAAATTTAAAGAGATCAATATTATGACTGTGCCCGGTCAGTTTATTTATGAAAATATAATGTATGTTAGGAAACACTTAATATTATTTGATAAGGTATCAGACAGACATAATTACCAAACTAGACATAGAGATAGATTGTGTCAGCCATTATTTAGATTGGCAAAGGTACACAAGTCGTTCATGGGATTCAGCGTTAAGTGTTATAACAAAATCCCAGGCGAAATACAACAATTAAATGAAAGAAATTTTAAATTATGTGTAAAGAAAACTTTGTGTAAAAAAGCATATTACAAACTGAGTGATTATATTGAGGATAAGGATGCTTGGAGACGGGCTGGTCCTGCTCCACAGGATAATATACCTACACGAATATAAATAATGTTCCAGTGGATCTTTGCTTGAACGGAAGTTCTTAGATTTTGTAAATTTGTAACCATGCTATTTTTATTGTTACACTTGATAAATTTGTAAATGTGAGTGCCCTGTAACCTATTAAAATTAGTTAGACTAGCAGAATGTCGGTCCATATGTCAGCTTGGAGTTGTCATGCTCACTCAAAGGTCACATTGGCGGTGGCACGGTCACTGGATCGCTCGATTCCCTATATTATGGTTGAGTTGGGCGATGCTGGTGTACGTGTCATGCTCGTGAACGGGCGCCGTCAATTGGGACTGGTCAGCTCCGGACTGTCTATTGTCCTTAAGGTTATTTTCTTTTTATGTTTCTCTGTATACACGCGTTACACTGTTCTCACATATTTAAACTAAATAAATAATGTATCAAAGAATGTTTATGTGACACTGATTTTAAAAGAGTAACCATGGAGTTTCTTGCTCGTTCTTCTCCATCGGAATCTACACTTTGGAACGAGCGAATAGCTTCACTAAGAGGACTGACCGACAGACTGACACTTTGTATCTTTAAAGTTGTGTTGACGTTCAAAAGTGCCTGTATGGGTCTAATTGAAATAAATAATTTTGACTTTTGACTTTTTTTTTTTTTGAACAAGTTGCTCAGCCACCGCGCCAAACGTGCAGTAAAATTATTAGAGGGTATTAGAGCATAATAGATGGTAAAAGGCTCATAATAAAAGCGCCTTTATTTCTGTCCATAATCTGTTTCTAGACTCTTGTCATTGGACATAAAGTTCACATATCACAGGCCTAACTTTCAGTTGTCAGGCACTACTTTTCTTTGGTTGGGTGGCCTAACTTATCGCCCAAAAGACCATGACGCTCTGCGAACGTCGACACGCGCAAAATGCACTCGTCTATATATATAAAAATCTATGCTACTTTTCGTTGTAACGTTATAACTCAACAATGCCTTTACCGATTTGGCTAATTTTGGTCTTGAATTATTTGTGGAAAGTCCAGAGAAGGTTTGTATGTACACAAATACAGAAAATTTACAGACTGTCTTGAAAAAGTGTAAAATCGATTACTGCTAGTTGGACATAAAATTCGTCATGTCGTCGAAATCACGTGGGCCATTTACGGGTCGCTGGACTTTTCGCTGATTGACCAGAAGACCATGGCTCTCTGCGAGCGTCGAATCGCGCAATATGCGCTCATTATTTATACAACAAAAATGGGCTATAGGCCAAGTTAGGAACGGTTATTATAAAAATATATCTTTTTCATGTACTTTTCAAATTTAATGGATTGAAAAATAAATCTCAAAATGTGAAACACCCTGTGATGATATTTCAAGTCCAGTGACTACAAATATTAACTTTTCGTATATTTTTTTCTGCGACGTATTTATGGAAGAGTTATTTATACTCGTAAACTTAAAAGGTAAAACAAAACTACCTTAGTTTTAAATAAAATGTTATGTTTTTATAATAACTATAGTGAGACATACTAAATTAACTAAAAATCGCGGGTGACTCACGTGTAAATATTGAGAAAAGCTCTACTAGTTTCGAACCACAGATAGGTTCTTCCTCATGAGCAGCGTGCGCAGACGCGGCGACGTCAGCGCGACGTTCTCAATATTTACACGTGAGTAACCCGCGATTTTTAGTTAAAATAAAATGTTAGATTTTTGCCCAACATTCCACCACTTACCCATCTGCGGATGTGAGAGATAGCTTTCACAGTCCACAAGGAACTGTCCTTGTGCTGATGCTCCTAATGCAAGTATCCGTTTAGTGAGCAGCTCTATTACGTAAGTACCAGTCTTGTTCTCAGGAACTGGGTATTGTTGTAATCTGGAAGAAATATCATGCATTTCAATACCAAATATCTTCACTGAAAACATTTCTTTTGTATTGTTTAGTTATAGGTTGGAAAATGAGCAGGCGGATTACCCGATGGTAGGCAATTGATGATCTATTGGAAGTAATTTATGGATACCACAGAAGAATTACAAGTGCATTGCCAGCAATTTGGTGAATAGTGTTTCAGATATTTAGGGATTCCAGGCAGGGAAGGGTTGGGGCTTAGGTAATCTCACTCACTCAAAACATGATGCTCTGGTTGTTTCACATGGAGATTGACATTGGACTTTATATATATTAAGCTATAAAATATATAACAGTCTCGACTGGACTGTTTTTATAGAAATTGAGTGACTTCACCTTTTCCCATCCCAAATCCTGGCTGGCAACACATTTGTTATAAGTTGGGAGGGCCCCACTTAATACTTCCTATCAGATGAATTTATTTTAAGATATGTCTGCACATTTTATTACATATCTAATATAAAATAAAAACCTAAGAACTATTAGTTCGAAATAAAAATCCTTTCTGTGCTAGGTATTGAGGGAAAAGGGGGGCTTATCAAGGAAAACTAAGTGTAGACTGCAAAATGTCAAGCCTAGACCAAAGGAGTTGAGCAGCAGGTGAAACCGCGCGAAAGTACATAATTAGATATATATTATGAACCGCATGTTATACTTAGGTATAGTATAAATAACAACAATTAAACGAAAAACTTGATAATTCAAAAGTGAAGCCACAACTGTATACAAGCAACCGAACTTTTATTTGTGACGAAAGTAGTTGATGTAGTTATTGTAAAAGATGTTAATATTACAGAAGGCACAAAAATATACGGTTTATTACATTACTTACACAGTAACACCCATGATAAATATGTTGTTAGGCTTTGTTTGTAATCAAACTTGGTTTTGAGGTTAGATAAGTTTCATTATGTTTTAACCAGCACTATAAAACTTATATTATATTATATAGGAAATTTAACTAGGTATAATGTTTTTTATTATTAATACTTTAAAGCAAAAATGTTTGAACCAATATGATAAATAATCGAACAGAAATACAGAACATCAACAATTAAAAACTGACTGACAATGACAATGACAACAGTGACTCTGTTGTTGATGGTCATAGAATAGACAATACTATAATAATATTCACCAACAAAACTACTGCGAATTGAGGATTACAAACGAAAAAAAGTTTAATTTAATCGATTGCTTACTCGTTTACGATTCTAGCCAAGTAAGTTTTATCTTCGGATTCGTACACTTTAACGTATTTTGATAGGCTGAAAACGTTACTCTTTGGGATTAAGTATGATAGCGTAGAATATAGCATTGTTTGGATACTACATTTGACATTGTGTGTGTTTGTTATACAGCAAATCAAAAGATAAAAATATTTAAAAGGATAAAAAAATGAACTTTTTCCATTTTGTGAAGATTTTGGGTACAAATACTATAATAATTTTAAAAGGCAACTTTACACCAATTTCAAACTTTGACGTTACCACTGTTTTGACGTCACAATCGAACGCTGGACCAATGGAGTAACGACAGATAATTTCATGGGCAAATTGACAAGTGCCGAGCCCCATTTATCAAAGTATTTATTTACATCAGGAACAGTTTTATTTGGTCATTACGTATTCAGACGACAGACTTGATAAATAAGAGAACTTTTGTGGTTTTTATTGCGTCAGCGTAAAATTCTAGTGTTTTTATCGTAGAGTGCTTTGGTAAAGCAATTACCGAATTGAATTGTTAGCGTTGTTAAAATCACGAGTTAAAAAGTGTTATCTAATAGCAGAGAGCAATTGGATGATTGAAGATGATACCGAATAACGTGACTCTGATTGTGAAGGCTCCGAACCAGCAGATTGAGGATCAAAATATTGAATGCGAGTCTTCATGGACAGTCCGACAGTTAAAGGGACATCTCTCCGAGGTTTACCCAAGTAAACCCGTAAGTATTGTTCTATATTTCTATATTGAGATATTATTTTTAACAAATATTTGCAAATAAATGACGTTATCTTGAACATTTATAACTATTATCAGTGTGTGGTTTTAATCAGGAAACCAAATGCCTGCGATTATCGAGTTTATACTGAAAATATAGTTAAAGCCAGTAAATTCATAATAAAAATCATGTTTACGTGTATGGGGGACTGGTATTAAATACTCTTTACTATTAAGTAAATATTCTATTTGATCAGTAAAACAATTTAAAAAATAAAATACTTACATACTGCTTTCGGATATCCACTACAATATTATTTGATATAGGTGCAATTGCCAGCAACCAGACTACACTTTTCCATTTAATTTTCAACTTATATCGGAATTACAATGTTCAAAATTGATTAGAGGAAACTGATATTACCATGTAAAGAGAAGTACTATGTTCTTAAAGTTCCATTTTTCTTTTTTTGTCTACCTGTAAGTATTCAGTAAACCAGGCACAGTGTAACTTTTTTTGGTGGTAAATTTGGTCCTTATTCAAACTTAGCAGAAGGTGCAGATTTCAAGTGTTCCATACTTCTTGACTGCACAGTTCGTGTAATACTTGGGCTTCACTGGCTGTGTCATGTGTCACTAGGTTTTCAGTTTCTTGATTTATGTGTGCAACAATTCTTTGTGTGATTCACAAATTGTTGTTTCTGGTCTGAATGTGATGTGTATGTTTGTAAACGCACCCATGGCACAGTGGAAAAACCTAGCATGAATAATTCAACTAAAAAAACAACTTCATAGGATGCAAAGGTTTTTAAAAAAGGGCTAAAGTTGCCAAACTGTTTCTTTCTTCGCTGCTTTCTACTAGAAAACCAGGTTCTTCCTTTTGTGTGTTTTCATATATATTATGTTCTCTCTAAGGTGTTAAATGACCAAATAGCAAACACCATTCAAATCATATCGCTTGTCAAACATACCTACTACATGCCTATATCAATATTTTCAAATATAGTTAAGTTTAAACATTCACACTATATATAATATTATCCTCATTGTTTTCAAATGGAATGAATACTTAGAAATAAAATGAGTATTCATAAATAATTGGCTATTGTTCTCTATGCCTTGTAGAGATAGTCTAATAATTGTATATTGAACTGATTTTAAATGGTCAATGGTACAAAATGCACAGTTTGGAGGGATTTATAAAAAATAATTTTGTTTTTTGGACCACCTTAGACCACCTTTAGAGATCACCTTCACTATAATAACTACTGTCATTCCTATAGGCATGGGTCCATGACATGTTGAAATCTGTTGCATCTATGGTAACAAGAACAAGTCTTGATATCACAGAAATGAATTACTAGAAGAAAAACAATTGCTTAACCAGATCATAAACAAGTTTTGAACAATTGTACTCTTTTTAAAATTTGGCAATATCCACCTTATTTGAAACTAGATACAGTGCAATTTTGTGTGTTACATAAAAATAATATGCAACTTGTTAGTAAATAAATGTGCTATTGTTATGCTTATCACCATACAATGTTGATGTAGGTTGATAAGTTTGTAAGCTCAAAGAGCCAATAGGCCACCTCAGACGAAGCTCGATACGGGTGATGTTCAGACAGGGTTGTGGGGCAAGCGCAATGAGACACCGCGGCCTCGGCCTGGAGCAGGAGAAAGAACGGGAGGGTTTTTATTGAGCAAGAGTCTGACACTCCCTCACGCGTCACCCTGGGCGGGAGAAGTCATTTGATTATCCTGAGATATTGGTACTAGTCATATATAAATTGCTTAATGCGAAGGTTCATTATTGCGTGACCTTTGGAGACCTTTGTGTCCTTTTTGCAATAGGTACTCAATTCTCTAAATCCCCAAGTATCGAAAACGCAGTCGTATGTCCTCGTGTGTTTCCACTACCATCAAATAGTCAGACAGAATCCTTTGCAGACTTCAAAATTAAAAACATAAAATTTCGTATATCGTGTCTCCAATATACCACAGACCACATTTCATTTTGCCACCAACCTATTTAATCTTAATCAAACCCAATAACAGCGTTACGTATTCCCCTGTTTTAATGGGTAGCAAACTACAGCAATTCTTTTGAGCGATAGTTTTAATTGCATTAGCAATTGGCACGTGTACTATGTGATAAATATCGAGTATGTAACTAACTGAAAATCTTGCATAACACTCATTATTTTTTTGGCAATAATAGTCCCTAAATATGACTATATACTCCCTGCACAGTTTCACCCTCTGTTCGGCTCCTATGAGTCGAAGTGTGACACTTTAGAGCCTATAGCCTTCCTCGATAATTGGACTATCCAACACAAAAAGAATTGTACCATTTAAACCAGTAGTTCCGGAGTTTAGCGCGTTCAAGTAAATAAACAAACAATAAATAATTACGCCAACTCATGTGTACCTCAACTTTTCTGAGGCAGTGGATGTCTATAGGTGGCGCTGGCTTGCTTACCATCAAGTGATAAGTTAACTTATCTAATTCTATCACAATAAAAAACCTGCTCTTTTCGAAAATAGTTCTTTTTTAACTTTCGTACTCACGCTATGGTATTTTCCAAACATACAATTTGACAGAAACATCACATCCATACCCGGAACAACAATTAGTGGATTACACAAAGAGTTGTACCGTACGGGAATCGGATACGAGACACGTTGCGCGGCACCCAGTTGCAGGTACCGCGTCAACCGTGCAGTAATTCTGTCACATGTCACAATAATAAAAACCGCTTTCTAATTAGAAACAATAAAACACCTATTACTTATTTTAATTTGTATTTAATATGCCAACACTAATTCTTTAAATACGGTGAAGCGAACTAGTTCAAAGTTTTCATAATAAATTCGTGACAGTTTGGTGAAACCGGGTCGGTATTGTGGTCTCTATTTATTAGCATCTACATGTTAAGTTGTCTCTAAGTGACACCATTACACATTTTTAACATTTCAACCGTCGAATTCGAAACACAATAGATGCGCGCGGTGTTCGCTTGGGGTTTGATGGATTAAAGGTCTTTTTCACTGTTCACATTGTTTAATATTCTCCTTTTTATTCTTAACTTTAATAATTATGGTATCTGAGTTTCCCCTGTTTAATTGTTGACTATACTGCCTGTGTCATATGGGGACGGCAGTTAGATATAGTGCAGTCGATCTTTTCGTACTTCGTAATATGTTTAAAATAGTCTAACTACGTTATTGTTTTTTTCCTTTATTTTTTATTAATTTCACCTTGTGCCATAAATGCATCCTTGCAAACAATTTAAACCACAACCCCGACTCATGGAACAACAATTTTTGGATCACCAATAATTGTGCGGTTCGTGAATTGCCCGTAATACGTTGCACGTCACCCAGTTGCCTAGCGCGTTAACTGTGTAGTCAAAGATATCTAAGAGATTTATAGATAAGGGCAAATACCAACATTGAAATAAACAGGTCAATGTAGGAAAAATGTGGCAAATATCAAACTAGCGAATTCACCCCAATAAGCGTAGATACTTAGATGGCTCCACGGTGAATGGACTATCCAACGCAAAAACATAATAATGATATACAAGACAAAATTATGTTGTTATCACTGTTGAGACCAGCTCAGGATAATCAGAGGTAGGCCCCTACCTGACCTCTAAACACCGCTTAATCTTAATTGGTTATTTTAAATGTCACCTCGTTCACGCTTGCATCTATCTCGTTCTTGTAGAATTTTAGGTAAACTTTCTCTTTCTTTATGTTGTTTAAATGCTAATCTAAAATTGTATTCTCTCTCGCTCTCTTTCTCTCCCTGTCTCTCTCTATTTTGATCGATATCTATCTAATTTTTTATGTAGTAATTATGAGTTTTGCTATCATTCTTTACGCCTAGGGCTTGGCCCACAACAAACTTAGATAGATTCTCTCAAGTTGGTGCAATTCTGTAAAAATATCGCAATAAAAGTAACGATTTTTTTATGTAATAAGTCGGCAAACGAGCAGACGGATTACCTGATGGTAAGCAATCAGCGCCGCCCATGGACACCTGCAACGAAGGAGTTACGAGTGCGTTGCCGACCTTTCAGGGATTTGGGATTTGGAGATTTAGGGATTGGGGAAGAGTCCGGGAAGGGGAAGGATTGGGCCTCCGGTAACCTCACTGAGACGGCGAAACACAACACTGTGGTTGTTTCACGCACGGCTCTGCCACACTTACACCAATATTTAATTAATTTTTGAAATCTATTCGGTATTTTTTTACAAAGTACAATAACAAACGAAGCTGTCTCATATTTTGTAACGCAGTTAATCAAAATTTAATCTGTAGCATGAAATAATAGCATTCTGGCAATGCTTGTTATAACTGGTACATTTTCATTTCCAATTTTAAATCCTATACCGTTTCTTCGGTAAACTAAGTGTAGGAGAAGCATGCTTCGACACAATTAGGCCGGCTCGACCGAAATGATACTCACAGAAAACTGGCGTGAAATAACGCTCACCTTGTGTTTATTCGTATGAGTCAGTTTTTCGGAGATCCAGCCCTTTTCCTTCCCCTCCTCAATCCCCAAACAACTGGCTAAAGGTCGACAAGGCATTTGTAACTTATCTAGTGGTCCGGGCGGCTTCGATTTTAAACCATTATGTTCCGGTGATCGGTCTAATTATTTGCCGCCTTATACCAACAAAAATAGCATACAATTTTACTTCCAAAAATTCAACTATTGCAATAATCAGCAATAATCAAAAAATACCTTAAATATAGCTTTAACAACAGCTATATTTAAGGTATTTTCCAAAACACTTATCTATAAAAATAAAACAATTATCATAATTGAAATAACTAATGAGTAGAGATTATAAAAAAATAATTTCCCCAAGAGATTTCTTTATGTCCTCTGTTTCGTGGAGTCGTCAAACAAGATAGTCTGATTAACAAATAACCTTGGTCGTGGAATTAGGAAGCCTGGAAAACGTAGTGAACAATGTGACGGTAAAAAATGGAACTGTCATTATACATCGCGACCTTTGAACGGCGGCTACAAACAAATTGTGTTACATAGCCGATCTAAGATTGCTATAGCTGACCGAGATTCGTTTAAGATAGAATAGTTGTGAAACTTTTTGTCTATACTAATTTTTTTTTTCGTTGTCTCAATCAAGTTCATCTCGTCTTTTTGCAATGGCGAGCGTCTCTGATATAGATTTGTAATAAGAAGGTATCGGTCTTGGAACAAAAAGGACGACCAAAAAGATGTGGAAGGGGTTTCATTTTTTATAATATGACAATGGAAATGGATGGCAAAAACGCCATACCTATTTTGCACTTATGGACAATTATTTTTATTGTTCCAAATCTGCTTTAGAAGATCTTTTAGATACTTCACGCGATCAAAATTAAATTCTTTAAATGAATTAATATGAAACCTTTACAAATCGCTGCCTAGTTGCCTAAATAATTTTCCGACATTTGGCCTAATAAACTTACCTATGATAATCAGCAATACTTTAGCTATCTAGAGAAAAAAAAAAACATCAACATCTATGCTTTTGTTTTCAAATTCGCTTCGCATTCTTAAGAAAAATGTTATTTATTTATGCTTACACATAAAGTGGAGTATGTATGTATTGCACAGTATTTCGTAGATAAGAATTAAAAGATTAAACATTGTTTGTATGTATGTGTTATCAAGAAAGAACACGTGTGTCCAACACTGTATTATTGGGTTATTGCGATAATTTATTGGACTGTGACGCTGTGATTGCGTTTTTCTTATCTTACACAGTACAATGTCAATTAATAGCTTAATTTCAAACGAGCCAAATTCTTTTTCCGAAATATTGAAAGCGTCAATTTTTTTTGAAATGCAACATTGTACATCATATTATTTTACGTCTAATACCGTACTTATTTCTTTTAAATTATCGATAAAGACGAGAATAAATACTTTTTCTTTCTTTCTTTCATAAAGATACGAATATTAAATAAACGGAGGTGTCATTATTTTTAAGTATTTTTATGGTTTTATAATTTTGTTTGAAAATTATTATTACATATACTTATGCATAAACATATATTTGACCATTGTGGGTTAATAAAATCCACAGAGCGCGACCTAGTACGATTCTAATATACATCTTTAGCTTCCATGACAACGAGAGCTCTACTTGGGGCCTCTAAGCCAGCAGCCAGCCTAAAAATACTGTATTTTACAAGTAACCGAAAAAAATACTCTTAATAAAATGTTAAAAATTATTTAATACATTACTTTATGTATTCTGTATGAAGTATGGATACATCACATTAAGATTTTGTCTCAAATGATATACTTTTTTGGAAAAGGACACCGGCAGTTTCTGTAAAGGACATTAGACAAATAATATAATTATGTGCCATTGCTGAAGGTTGGAAGTTGGAAGGAATGCGGTTTAGGTTCATCAGAGCAATCTTGTACCAGGGCTGTATAAATACGTAGACTTTAGTTGGTTCTTCACTAGCGCTGCGAAAAGAGTAGGGGACTGATGAATCCACCACAGGAATGTTTTATTAAGCTGTAGTAAATAAGAAAATAACTTAGTATTTTTTCTTTCACAGGGCACAGACGAACAGAAAATAATATACTCCGGCCAGCTTCTAGACGACAACACGATCTTGAAAGACGTACTCAGAACTTATGAGAGTCAGATCGCGCATACAATGCACCTAGTTTGCACGCCAACCCGCAAGGTGGAGCCACAGACACCAGTCACAGAGCCGAACACCGATGGACTTCGTCGAAGAGTTGTCGAAGCCACGAACCAAACGGAAAGGGTCACTGAACCCGCAAGACCAGAGACAAGGCAGAACGACCAGAATCATAACGTAGAAATGCAGAACTATTTAACCTCTTTCGTGAATAACTATGGAAGAGTCCCACCTTATCCGAATTATAATTTAGGGGAAGGTTATTTGCCAGTGCCTAACGACCCCGCCCAGTTGGCCAATCACATGATGATGATGCAGCAAGCTTATCTACAGTACATGCAGCAGTATGCCAACATGTAAGTAAAGTTCAACCTTAAGTTCTTGCAATAGGATCTAAATGGGTGTGTTCGTTTAATTAATACTAGACTAGATCAAAATTCAACCTTAACGTCTTTTTAATTGCTTGCAAGTTTCATTGTTTGCTGAGTATGTGTAATTTGATCCAAGGTTTTAGATGTCACTAAGTGTAGCTGTATATGAGTATGTCATTATTTAATTTCAACCCGTTAATTGCCTCATTTGTCGAGAAGTCACAATTTGAAAGCTGAGCACCTGGTGACGGGTGACGATTGATGCTTGGGTCTGGCAATCCAACACGATTTTTAGCTAGTTACTGTCCGTTTTTTTAATGCAAAATATAACAATCGTTGATGAAATAGGTAGGCAAACGAGTAGACGGATTACCTGATGATAAGTAATTAGCGTTGCCCGTGGACATTCGTTATATCAAAGGAGTTACTACAAGTGCGTTGCCGGCCTCTTGTGGGTTTGTGGGTTATTAAGGATTTGAGGATTGAGGAAAGGGAGGGGCATTGTCGTAAGTTTTGCTTCACGCCGGTCTTCTGGGAGGCCGTGGTATCACTCCGGTCGAGTCGACTCATACGTGACGAATCATGGCAGATATTTTATGGCTTGTTATTTTCAAATTTCATCTAATTTGAATATCAAAGCGTAAAATTCTTTCTTTTGTTACATTAAACATTTGTCCAAACACAAATTCATGGTTACAGTATTAATATTAAATTATACTATGATGTCATTTCATGACAGAGCGACATAGCCATTGTCGAAAAAACAGAAGGCCAATTTTCATCTGCGCTTCAAAAATTGAAGATATACTATAACTGCCTAATACTATGAGATAGGTCGGCAGATAGAATACCTGATGGTAAGCAATCGACGCCACCAAAGAACACCTGAGACATAAAATTAAACCAGATAAGTAATGGGATGTTAGGGATTTTGGGCAGCGTTGGGTCTCCGGTAACCTCACTTACACGGCGCAAATGTTGCATAATGGACAAATATTAATCAAGTCATTTATTTCAATTAAACAACAGGGCTCTTATGAATTGTCTCTCAGGCTGTCTATCAGTGAAACTAGGCGCTCGGTCCAAAATGCAGATTCTTATGGCGAAGAACGAGGTAGAAAAGCTGTCGGTGCTCTTGTTTGATGTCTCAATCATAAGGCACAACGACGTCCTTATAAGATTTATTGTGTTGTATGTTCGAAATGTGTAATATATGTTTTACTTGCCCAAATCTAGTTTTCGGGTCAAGCGGAATGACATACCGCGGCTCGGTTTGAAGCAAGACTTGGAATCGAGTAATTTTTAGTCAGTCAAAGATTGGCAATCCCTCTCGTGGCTCCAGTTGGGTGGCATGATGACATCCGCTGGTAGAGCTTGGATTTAAAGATCTGAATATCGCAATGGGTCCTTTAGTACGCGAAAAGGTTGCCGCAAACTAGGATTTTCTCCTGTTTTGTTGGTGCTTATAAACATACAATTTCACATACGCATCGCACCCAATTTGTGAATCGCACAAAGAGTTCTCCCGTGTGAAAATCTAAGCTGCAATGTTGTTACGAACATAATAAGTGGATATTCTGCGCCATGATTGCGTTGCATTAGTTTAACCTTGAATTTTTGTTGCAAGTTCATCATTTTGATAACTTCCTGTTTATACATTCAAATTATTTAGATAATAGATAATGGTGCGATTACAACTTATACCTATCTGGAAAACGAGTTTTCGATATTTATTATTACTTACTATTACTAATATTATGAAGAGGTAAATATTAGTTTGTATGTAGGGGGTAATCTTTGGGCGCGCTGGTCGGATTTCCAAAATCCTTTCACTGATAGATAGCTACAATGTTCTTGAGTACTGTAGGAATAAAACATCAGGCTACAATTTATAGGACCTGAGCAGCGGGTGGACCCGCGCGAGAGTATCTATAAACGAATAATATTAATATCCGTTTGTCATATATGGTTAAGGGCACTCGTCATCTGGCCTTTTTCGAGAGAATTAGATCAGTGAGGTCGGCATCTTATTATTATCCCTTTTATCAATTTAGCATCATCATCAGCATGATTTCGTCCACTACTGGACATAGGCTCCCCCAACGCCACTGAGCTCGGTGTTCAGCTCTTCTCATCCAACCACTACCAGTCTCCCTGCAGATATCGTCAGTCTAATCTCATTTGTAATGTACCCCGGCGCAGCTCGGAGCAGAAGGAACGGAGTGGCTTTTAGTCAGTAAGAGTCTGACACTCCCTCTCGCCCCACTCAGAGCGGGAGAAGCCATTTGATGATTTTGCTCCTAAAGACTTTAGTTCCCATCTCATTTATACAAATCATCATCAGCCTATAAGTGTCCACTGCTGAGCAAAAGCCTCTTCTCATGCGGAATGATTTTGAAGCATTCATCACCTTGTTCAAAGCGGATTGGCCATTTCAAACTTATAACGATGTTTTCCTTCACTGTTTGTCAGTGGTGTATAAATATTCATAGAAAGTACATATAATTCGGAAAAAGTCACATTGGTACTTGCCAGGTTTCGAACCCTCATTCATGAGAAGCGGGCGCCCTCACCTCCGGGCGAACACGACATTATTTACCAATACGCCGTCACTAGTTTACGTACTCGGCACCGCATCCAAAAATTAATGTACCAACATTATATTTCTTTCAACTCCATAAATTTTTAACGTCTGCCACAAAACAATGGATACCATCACAAAGATTTATAAAGTTAAACAAACGCTAATTAAATTTGGCAACTTGCCTACTACGTTTTTTAATAGCGTCTCAGGTAGTAAGATGGTGTTTTAGGAAAATCGACCTAATTGCTTCGTGATGAGAATACAACATGTGTGTGTTACTCATAGCTAAAATTAAGTGCGTGGGTTGGTTTTTAAGTAATTCCAAAGCGATATTTTTACGATACATTTTAAGTACCTATCTCCTTAGTTGGTTATTGGAACGTCAAATGATCTTATCGATGACATAGGACGGATTTTATTTATGGACCCATGTTGTTCATGTGTGCAACTAAAATGGATTTTTAACTAAGAAATGTGGGATTCTTAAGTGCTCACTGCCGAGTAAAGGCATCATCTTATACGGAGAAACTTTGAGTATGCCTGCTCAAAGCTTCATGCACCATGCTTGCTCAAGGCAAATTGATGTATACAAATTTACGACTAAAAATAATAAGTCCAGGTTTCTCCACGATGTTTTCCTTCACCGTTTGTTAGCGGTGTCTATACGTAGAACCTACATTTAACTCGGCAAAAGGCATTGAGGTTTGGAACCTCATGTATGAGAAGGGGGCCCAATAAACTCTGGGTGTCGTGGATTCACCCGTTCGCAAATAAAACTAAAATTATAATAAAGGTTTACTTTTTACAGGTGGCAAGCTGCAGGCGCTGCTCCAGCCGCCCCAGCCCCAGCGGAGACGCCAGCCCCGGCTGCCGAAGCCCCAGCCGCCGTAGACGAACAGGACGAAGCCCTAGCCCCTCGTGACTGGCTCGACCATCTATACGCAGCCTCCAGGCTAGCGATACTGTTCTCACTGGTCTACCTGTACGGTAGTCCTGCAAGACTACTCTTGGTACTGCTGTTAGCTGCCGCTGGTTATCTGTGAGTGTTCTTGTCTTTTTGTGTTATAATTATAGTGAGATGTAAAATTAAATGAACAATGAATTTATTTTTGTAAATAGGCCATAAAACATCACTTACAAGTCAAGAATTATAGAACACGACTTTAATTATTCGAGAATATCTCTACTAGTCTCAAGTTACACTGGGACTCTTATTCATGGGTTCAAGCATTCAAAGTGTTGTTTTAAAACTCGTAGTGCTTTTCTCGACCCCGCAGAACGAGAAGCCATTTGATGACTTTTCCATTTTAAAAAAAACGGAGTAGATATTCTCTGTAAAAATTTTAAGGGAACGTAAAACGTATAAATGGAACCTCCCTCTAAGGCTTACACGACCCCAAATTCTGCTAATTGAACAATATCAATATCATTCATCACAGTTTTGTATGTTATGTGATACAGACGTTGTTTCTTGTATTATTCTGTCTAGGAACTGATTTCAGGCGAAAGTATTTTTTAAATATTGACATTTTATTATTTTCAATTCCAGCCACCAAATCGGTTTCTTCCGCGACCTACACGTGAACCCGGCAGACAACCAGCGTCGTGAACCAAACCAGCAGAATCAACCCAACGAGCAAAATCAGCCCAACCAACCGAATCAACCTAACCAACCAGCCGACCAACCGCCTCAACCAACACAACCGACCTCACAGTCCATTCTAGCAGTCACTTGGATGATATTCACATCATTCTTCGCTTCACTCATTCCGGACACGAACTAATATACAATTACAATTCTTGAAGGAGTTACTCAGTCTTTGAGACGTAAAAATATATTGTATAGTTATGCTGAAAGCAAAAAACTCGGGTTTTTGACTCTTGAGGAGTGTAACGGCTGTTATTTAAGACCTAAATAACGCAGGAAGTTAAATTTTTGTTTTTTTTTTTTTTAATGGTGAAAATGTGTGATTTTTATACATGTAGCTGATTGGCCGTTGGTCTAGCATCGTCTCTTATGTCCTTTGAAATGGGGTAACTGGACTTAAAGCTTCGCTAACGCCATCTAGTGAAGAGAAATGACATCGTGAATTTCGCTTTAAATTTTTTGTTGAGGGTTTGTGCGTTAGTTCTACTAAATAGTTTCGAGGTTTTTTTTTCTTTTGAAGTACCAGTGTAAACACTTCGGTAATTGGTGGCTTATAAATATGAGATTTGGATGGGGCTTACATTTAGAAATAAAGATAAAAAGCTTTTCTTTTTCAAAAAATATATGCACAGTTTACATGGATGAAGTTCATAAATTGATTTTCTTTTTAACTGAAAATATGTCTAACACTTTACCATTTTGTGTAATTTGACAATTCCGATTCTATCCAAATATTGCACTCTCTTACTAACAATAAGAAAAGAAAAGAGATGGAATATATTTAACGAATTTCCAGTGATAAGGAGATAAATTATGTGAGAAAAAATATTACTATTTTTCTCTTTCTAATACTTTTTGTTAGAGAGAGAGAGGTCGATGATTGAGACCATCCCAATAAGCTAAGAATTGTTTTGGATGAAATTGGATCATAATCGCTCGAAGCGCCGTCTGGTGAGCGCAAAAACTAATAATTTCTTTTCAAAGTAATACAGTAAAAATGTATGAATGAAAGTAACTTTAATTTAATAATTGTGGTTTTTAAACTGACAGTTTGCTTTTGACGAAATTACTACCTAAAACCAAAACATGAGTGGTGTGCAAGAGAGATGAAAACAAAGTATTGTAGTGCCGTCTCTTTTTACAAGACAGTGTGATTCAAATTTAAAGCATTATAAGCTCTCACACCGTAGTTTAAAGTTCAAAATTGTACAGTCTATAATATTTAGGTTATATTGTATAGAGGTGGGTGGGAGGGTAGACTCGATAAGTTACAACAAATTCTTTAACTGGCTTTGAATTTTATACCTTTGTATCAGAGTTGAAAATGTAATAAATATTTTCGCTCGTGTATAAATCAGTGTTACAAAAGAATATTTACAATTAATACAATTGATTTTGAACTATGTGTCATAGCTATACGTGCGAAGTCAACCGCAAATAAGTTTGCACGATTAACCACGACTGTTACCCATCTTATGTTGAGGAAAATAGAGTTGAAATTCTATTGGCAGTAATTTCTTTATAAGCAAAGTTAAATCGATGTCGGTGAATGAAAATTTGTACATAGTAATGAAGTGTTTAACTGTAGTTACTCGTAAACTTATTTATAATTAAATACTGTTAGTGAGATATTTAAAATTATAGTTTTTAGGACCTTATTTCCTTCGATCTACATATTTTAATGTTAAAATATCGATACATTTTGGCCATATCCCTACTCTACTGTGCTAGTAGTGTGGCATATTTTTGTCGATACAATCATGTTAGTATCGATAAAAATGTACGCTACACTAGTCTGTGATGAATTCCGATTGGTTGATGTGGTGGCCAATCACTATTCGTTACTGTAATACAAGAAAATATTTTTACAATAAAATATGTATGGAGGAAATAATGAATAGTTTTTAAATTAAAATTCGGTGTACTGAAGTGAAACCAAATATTATTTTGTAAATACTTACTCTTGGTAATTTTAGTGTTATGCAACATAGATATAAAGTTCATTATTGTATAGCAGGCACGTTAACGCTTTATCGCGAAGACCAAATAACGATATGCACTGATTACAATTCCACTTTCATTTGTAATGCTAATGTTTAGTAGCCAGCATATCAAACTACTCCAATCTGTCAAATTAGAATTCAGACTTTATTACCAAAGTGTAAAGTTCAATATCTAATAAAAAAAATGACGGAAAGTAGTAGCTTGATTCGCTAGCCACTGTACTGTTTGGTTTAATCAAGACAACAGACACTTAAAATATGAAATAAGTATGAATTGTATTGTATTAGAAATGGTACAAAATCATCGTTAATATTATTATTATTATTTTACGAATGCGTGTTATTTTTGACTGGCCACAGCTGTTTTCGAAGTAAAATTTGAGTGTTTTTTAATGGCAGTTTTGTAGAATTTGTCAGTGAATGTGACAGGATGTTTTTTATGTGATACGGTAATCAGCAATACCTATGGACACCTGTTACACCAGTGGAGTTAAGAGAGTAAAGTGCGTAGCCACATTTTCGGGGATTTCGGGATTGCGGAGGGACGGGTGAGATCCTCTCCTTGTTTAATTACCTAGCAGACTTATAATTCGATACTAAAAACACTTTCACCAGTCACCACTATTACAGATGAAAAAAAAAATAACGTAAAATTTTGATGATTGATTTTTACTTCGTTATAGAGATGTGGTCTGTCAATAATATATCGATAATCGATACTTATAGAAAGTAACGTTTCATCTACATATTTTACGAAATTTATATTCGTTTACGTTTCATTTCGTATTCTGTCTGTTTATTCATACTTACAAGCATTCATACGCGTTATGTTACATCAACTCGATAGTGTACATACATTTTTTCAATGGAATTTTACGTGAATTAACTATTTTTAAAGGCAACGACCAATTTATGTTTGTTTTGTAAATTATCGATTTGTTAGGGATGGGATCGATTATTTTAGCAATAGGGAATGGCGATCTGAGATCGATGAATTGAAACCGACTTTTCGTGCCGAAAAAAACATTTATTAATTCGATTTGATTTTTGGACTAGATAGATCACCCTTTAAAATCCTTCACTACTGCTTAATCACTAATTACTGGTTAATCATATTTTTTATGATAAATTAGGATTATTATATCTATACATTGTATAACCAAATACAAAAGAAATCTACTTAAATGTGAATCGATACATCGTGTTACGATTTCAGTCGAAACTTTATCAGAAAGAATCGCCATCCCTTTCCACCATCAACCTTGACCCTGTCCTATGCTCGCCCCGTGACGCCCTAAGTGCTTGCTCAGTTTGCTTTAGGGATAAAACGTCTCTGTATACAGTAATTTACATGCATTTCACACCTAACTAACAGTCGATTTATTAGTACGACTAAGACCTACAAGAGAAAAAACGAAGTTACGCGTATAACCATGCTAAATACATTGCCTTAGAGTTTTTCTTAAATTTTTCATTGTTTCTTCTTAGTTGGGTGATTGTGAATATCATACAGTGTATTAGGTAAAACAAGGGTAAAATTGGAGGAGCCGATTTCAAAACTTTTCCCATGAGACCAAATTTCGCAACACCTTATTGATCTTTTTACATGGAGAAGTAATTTTTTTGCGATTTCCATATTGGTCTTATGGAAAATGTTGTTTTATTTGAGCACCAGAATCGGGTCCTTGAATATGTCTTAACCTATACCACTGTATTGTATGATCATATTGAAAAAGATTATAGGAATGTTAAGTTAGAAGTACCTATATTTTGGAGTGACAATTTTCCAAATTGTAAAAATATGTATTATGTAAAGCTTCTTTTTCATTTATTTTTCTATATGTTCTCAACTTTTTTGTAAAATAAAATAACTATCATGAGGTGTACTAAAAAATATATAGATAATACGGCTTACTTAACTAATTCGAGTGTGTTCGACTAGTTTCAAGCTACGAACGGAGCTCATAATCATGTGCAGTAGTTGAGCATCAGTTACGGAAGTAAGACGTATTATTACTAATTAGTTTCTTTACTTTACTATGTAATTAGAAAACAATTTTCATATACCAGATGACTCATAATTGAAGGAATTTGAATGATGTGAAGTGAAACACTATTTTGTTTGTACCAAGATGATTTCACAGGGGTTATATGTTATTTAGCTGTCATTTCTCTTTAAACGCGTGAACTTCAAATAATGTAGAGAGTTAATTTTTGAAGCTTATATCTGTGATTTTAAAATATATAATTGTACTAAATACTGTGGTTTTATTTCTTAGAGTTTAATATTTAACCTTAGTACCTTAAAGAAAGTTAACGCTTTGACCCAAATTAAGATTTTCTCCTGTTTCTGTGTAGGTAGTGGATGCGTTTACAAACACACAAGATTAACAATTCGCCGGCATTTAGATTTAAATTCATATATTGTTTGTTTTATTTTTGACTTATCACTGCGTTTTTATTTATTTTAAACTTTAAGCAACAAAAAGTACAACGGCGGACTTAACAACACGCAACACACACTGACTTGGCGGAGTTTTGCAACTGTTGGGACTTTGTACATACACATGTGTAATGATATAGGTAAACTAAGTCACACATTACCTTCACTACAATTTAGTACACGCTTCCTTTTTATTTTATTTATTTCTTTCTTTATTTTTTTTTATTGATTATGTATCTACCTACATTTTTAATGTTTATGATAAAGCTGGTTTACACCCGTAGCACGTTTGACGTTATGCGCAAAGGTCCAGCTGAAAACCATCGTCAGGCCCAAGTGGTCTGGCATTTATGCTGAACTGGACCTGTTTGGCGCAGCCGTGAGGCACATAGTTATGTAGTTTTCTTTATTTTTTCTTTTATATTATATAACCTTTTTGTTACTATGTCTGTGTGCACATGGTTTGTTTCAATAAACGTTTTCTTTCTTTCTTTCAAGTTCACATACACATCACACCCAGACCCGTAACAACAATTTGTGGATTACACAGAGTTATTCCGTGCGCAAATCAAATTCGCGACACGTTGCAAGGAAGCCAGTTGCCCAGCCACTGCGCCAACCGAGCAGTCTCGTGCAGTATAAGCTAATCGTTGGATATTTTTTCTAAAATTGTTTTTAGAAAAAAATCTAACTACTATATTATAGGGCTCATGGGTTCGCTTTTTTAAGGGTTAATTTTAATTCAACAGGAACGATTTTATATACTGTACTGCTTTGATCACAAAACAAGGATGGTACGCGATCAGAGCTGCCCGTGGACACACGCTGACCTGCATTGATCACTAGTTAGAGAAGTTACAACGCGTTGTCAGTGCGAGGCTTGCCAGCGCCGGAAAAATAGTCGGGCGACATTTCCCTGCCCTAGCTTTTGCCGGGAACATTTTCAATCTGTTCATCAGTCACATTGTATTTGGGTAGTTTCCTAGGTCAAAAATCAATTAAATTGACGTTTCAATAAAATAACTATACTTTAATTCATCGATCAGTCGTTACACTAAATTTTAGATATGTTTAGCTAATTTTTAAGAACTATTTGACATAAAAAAAATATGACGTCATAACTCAGTATTTAATAGAAGTGTCGTTTTTGACATTTGGATAAAAGTATTGAATTTGACTAGTTGGAAACTACCGTATTTGCACGGTTTATTAACTTAAATATGTAATTTGAAATAGCATATTTTGATAGTTGAGATACTTAGAATAAATTGCACCAGTGTGAATTCGGGTCTCTAGTAAATAATAAAAGCCATAACAGATTTTAATAAATAAATACCAGTTTTATTATAAAAAACCAAATATACACTAAAGATAAATCAGAAATCCTCACTAAAATCAACATCCATCATATCATCTAGCACTGCTTCCGTTAATTTGGCATTCGTATCTAAACCACCTACTTCCTGAACAGTGTTTTTTGATGGCAAATCTTCTTGTACATTTTGTTTTAGGCTTTCATTTGATTTACAACTATCCTCTATATCTATATTACTTTCATTATTCGTACTATCTTCAACAACTGGTATAATATTTTCAATTTCTGTTGTAACTGCGTCATTTATTTCAATAACATCACCAACATTATTATCATCTTTCGTGATTTCGGCATCCTCAGTAATGTCTGTACTATTTTCATCATCATTCAAAACAATCAGCTCTTCTCTTTTATCATTTACTTCTTTTACAGTTTCAGTGTGATCTTTAATTTCGATGATTTCGTCCGTTATTGTGATTGGTTTATTACTGACTATACCAGCGTCATTTAAAACGATTATATCACTGTCTTTTGTTGCATCATTTTTGTTGATATCATCATCAATAATTTCTTCAACTACATTATCTGTATGAACATTCCGTCTTACAATATTGCTTGGCTCTCGTAACACCATCATTGACTACAATAATTTCTTTGTCCGCTTCAACATCTGCCATTTCAATATCATTTCCATTTTTACAAGTCTCTTTACCAAGATCATCAGCTTCAGTGTTTTTATTAGCTTCAGTCCGACCTGAACCATGTACATCGACAACAACAGATTCTTTCACATTAGTGACGTCACACTCGTCATCAGAACTATCTATAACATTTGATCTGTTATTTTTCTTTGTTATAACATTATTTTCAACTTCTTCATCAACTTCAACAATTCCACTGATGTTAGGGCCATTGTTTTGTTTTGTGTTTTCCATAGAGTTCTGTTTTAGTCTTGCTAGGCGTCTCTCTTCAGCTAGCTTCCTGTTTCTAATCATTCTTTCTTTCTGTTCATCGCTTATAGACGGCGATGAGGTTGCTTTCGGCATTGTGAATGGTGACCTGAAAATAATTCTCTTAAAGTGTTAAATAAAGAATTGGAGTAAAATTTTATTTTCACAGTTAGATTCAACAACTTTAACACATTCAGTGCCCCCGACGCGTATGTGCGTGCGAGGAAACGCACATACGCGTCGGGGGCACTGAATGTGTTAAGAAGTAATTATTGTTCTATACTAAACATTGTTACGAGTAAGAAAATTTTGTCAACTCTAAAGTATTATCTTGTTGGATTTTGAAACACAAATAGGGAATCTGACTATTCTTGTTTTTTGTGCCAGTGCTACACCTGCAACACCAGAGGAGGCACAGGCATTTGAAAGTTTGAAGGACATATCGGTTCGGAAATTATCATCATCATCAGCCTGATTCCGTCAACTACTGGACTTCGGCGCGGGTTCGGAAATACCGTCGCCGAAAGAACATTCCACGTTTTGCTGTGCTAAGCAGAAAGTATCGCGAAAATCGCACCATTTGTAACTGCCAACCATGTATATTATGTGGATTAAAATAATTTCACGTGGGACGATGGCGATAGAGAATATATACGGAGGTTACATCTCTGTGTATTGCAGAGGCCAGCAAGTATGAGATATCAGGGCAGTCAACAATTCGAATGGTTCGTCGCTGAATCCAGTCCAGAGAGAGAAGCTGGTTTACCTAAAGAAAGAAACTTGCACTTCAAAATGACTGACCTGTCTTGTAATGGTGTTGCAGGAGTGGCCATAGCTTTCTTCACAGATCCCGGTGCAGGTGTAGCTCTAGCCAAGTCAATCTGCTGCTGCAACAGCTTGTCAAACTCATCCTCTTCCTGAGGCGGCTGTGTTTCCTCATCACTGGAATCCTTTTGGACTACTGTCTCTTCAGACAAAAACTGGTCTGTGCGGATTTTGTGTAAATGGACCTGTGTGAGAAGTAATTTGTAAATGGATTTTATAAGATGTGACGGATCTCAAAAAACCTTGTATGTGTTATAATGAAAATAATGAATAAAATGCATCCCTTTAAATAATCAAGTTATCTGCTTTTTTTTTGTCAGAGGACAAATAAATGTAGCATTATTATTTTTTATTTTTTTAAGTTAAAGGTGATAGTGATTATCACACATTCGAATTATACTAACCGGCTCATCAAGATGTGAAATATTAAAAATAGATTTTATAAAGTACCTTATGAGAGAAAGATAAAAATAAAATATGTTTAATGAATGTGAAATATTTTAAGTCTTACCATAACAGGCCTCTTTTTGCCAAGAGTTTCAATCTTTTTCAGACAGTCTTCAAACTGAAACTTTGGGTAGAGTCTATATGCCCAGTGTTCTAATTTCTTTAACACTAAATCTAGATCTTCTTTTTCATGTCCTTTGCCTGAAATGTTTAATATTGAACTATGTGAATATCCCGGTTGTTATATTCAAAGAAAACACTTAGATATTATAATTATTATCAATTTATATTTAATTTAATTTATATATTATGTTTTATGTTAATGGATGTTTTGTTAAAAATATAAGCTGTCTTCAGTAGTCAATAAAAATTCTACCTATGGGGTCAAATACAACAATACTATAAGAGACCAGTGATGTCACTGCTAGACAAATTAGTGTGGGAGAGCTATGCTTCCGAACGAATGTGGCAGCTTAACCAAAGTGATATACTAATAACACAGCCTTACAGACTACAATTTTGAAACTGCGATGACTGGATATCCATCTCTTTCCCTGATCTCCAATTCCTAAATGGCCCAAATCTTCTCATATACATAATTAATGAAAATGTGCAGTGCTGTGTGTGTGTCTCAACGATAACCATTAGATGATCCGCCAATTTGACTTGCCTTTGCAAAAATCGCATGGTGAAAATTTTTTACATGTATCTATAAAGCAACATTATATTTTGTATGTGATAACATACAAAATATAATATAAAGCAACATTATATTTTGTATGTGATAACATACAAAATATAATGTTGCTTTATGTTTTTTAATGGTGTTGACTGACCATAAATGACATGATTCAAAGTACTGTAAATTAAGAACTATGATAAAAACTATACAAAATAGCTCTTAATCTTAAGAATATCATACCTTTAAATTTGAAATCTTTGAAATGTTCAGGTATGACCTGTATGCCTCTAGGTCCTGTCAGTCGAGCAGGGTTCAATATGAACCTTGGATTCTTAGTAACTCGCTTTGCTTTTGTTGAAGTGGGATCCACTCGCCTTTTGTCCTCCTCTGTATCATCATAAAAGGTTAAAATTATATCACAAATCCGCCCCTAAGGCTACCCACTGACCCAATTATATCTCAATCAATGTATTTTTTATGGAATGGGAGGCAAACAAGCGGCAGCATTAGAGGAGTCACAGGCGTTTTTAAATTTCAAAAATTATAGAACTTATATTACTTAACGAGACGATAAGTAATTTTCCTAATTTAGGTGATTTTTTTAAGAATCTTCTCCAATCGTACGCTGTTTTCTCCTTCAAGAAAAGAGCGCCTGTGACTCCTCTACATTCGTTTTTGAAAAAACCGGTAAATTAAGTATCTATATGAGGTTAGGTCCGACAAGATAACTTATAAAATTTGTATAAAAATATACTATTTGTGACTAAAGATTTTTATTTCTGTACCTGCTTCATCGTCTTTTGGTTCATTGTCATCGCTATTTGGTGTAACTGCTCGAGATCGAGGTCTTTCATCGTACTCGTCGCCTTCTATTACTCTTTCTAGTTCTTGTGCTTCGTCCGCCTCATCTTGTAAGAATATATCCTCTAGCAAAGACATTAATTCGATTTATGTTTTATTGTTGTTTCTATATAGTGTTCTGTTATATAGTGAAATCGAATTGTATTGTAGGATATTTTTATTTTGACGTGACATTAAATTTAGCGGGAAAGTTTTGTTTTACTTTTTTCTGTACTATTTCGTTCAGAATTGAAATGCAATGGAAACATGTGGCGATTGTGTCCGTTTTATTAAATCGCAGACATTTATTAAAGTGGACAAATAGCAAATATCTTTCCTTACATTTTTACTGCTGATAAATTTCACCCAACTCATGTTGATTGAATGAAGAATATAAAAACAGCGAAATTGCTTTAATTTTTAAACGATTTTTTTTACCTGTGGAACGCCCTAAAGCAGTGTTGTCTTCCAATTTTCGACTAAGTCCGTTAAATGCAGTTACGATTATCAGAAAATATTTTTTATATCTGAGTTAATGACGCGCCCCGGCAACGCTCGTTTGCAGTATTGATTTCGAATTTCTCAACTATTAAATTACAAATAAATAAAAGAAATTAAATCAATTTCTCATTTCTAAGACCCTTTCCTATTCATTTAAAAACTCACTATATCTAATAAAAAAAACCGCATTAAACTCCGTCGCTTAATTTATATTTAAGCATACATTAAAGTTATGGATATAAGGACAGAAAAGGCGACTTTATGCATAGTAGTAATATGCACAAAAGAGGAAAGTTTAAAAATACTGATCAAACAAATTCAAGCGACGTACCTTATTGTTACTTTTTAACAAGAATGTTTGCTTTTTAATTTAATTTAATTGTATGTAACGTTACATTACCGATTAAACATTTTTCTATATAACATTCTTCCTTACTCTTACATACCCCCATAATCTGGAATTACGGCCAAGATATTAAATAAAATCTTTTATAAAGTTAATGTACTGTTTAATGAGTCAGAACTTTACACAAACTCTTTAGATCTTAACAAAGTATCATAGAAAAGTGAAATAAATCTTGTAGCATAATTCAAGTGAAATCGCATGTAAATTTATTTCTGCTTGCAACACTGTTTGCTATTCCGGTTTTTGATTTGAAATGTTCAGTTTGGAAATAAAATATACAATGTATTAAATGATATTACAAAACAATTATATAATTATCTCGAAAATATACGTTATTCTTTCGTCGTTAACAAGTATGTCGTTTTGGCAGAAAATTGCTTAAAACTGGCCATTCTGATTCATTCCATTCGTTTACGATTTTTTGTAGTAATGCCCCATCCCTAGAAAGTCACGTGACCAGCTTGCGTTTGAGCGCACTAACAGGTATGGAAATTAGTAAATTTTATTAGAAATTTAGTTATATTTTCGAAATTATTGTAGAAATAAGGTAAATATTTACGTTGCGCTAAAATTGAGTGTTCATGTGTGTGGAAATGAGGTGATAAATGGTGCTGTGGACGGTTATATCGTCAACAAAGACTGTCATTTTGATACCAAGAAAGGTGCTTCAAGAATGGCGTCCCCCACATGTGCCGCTGGCCTATTGAGTTTCGTCTTGGCGGTGCTTGAATCTGATGACGTGAGCTGTTGAAATGGCGTGAAACGGCTACTGCATGAGGTTTCCGTCAGTTATCCGGTAGAATAATGACGAAAATTTCGTGGTTCTTACGGTGCCCTTGCACTGCCACTCTCAATGATTCATTGTTCCGATTTTTGCGAAATATTACTAAAAAAAACGCCACAAATCATCGTTTTAGACGTCACTAAAGCTAAATTAAGTGTAGTAATTAGTAGTTTCGTGTGTTTTGATTGGTAAAATAGTGAATTTTTCGCGATCCGCCCATTTGTTTTGTTTACCATTTTACCGCTCTCACGATAGCCGGGGTACGGTAACTTTCTTATTAACTTTGATATTATTGTTTTCTTTGTAGGTGAATAGTAGAATACATTGGATAAACAGTTATGTTTTATGTACATTATCGTGCATTGATCAACGACGCCGGTAGGTCAATTGAATGCACTTCCAATTCGCGAATTTGGCGTTCATAGTCGGTTTTTTCTTAAATCCTTTCGTGGGTAGAGTTTTTCAGCCTCTATATTACTAAACACTGAGAAGTCTCAATTCTCCTAACCTAAATACTGCTGTGTTAATATTTAGTGGCCTCTTATATGTTTTTGTACAGGGATGAGGTTAGGAGGATTAGGAGATACAATATTTTTAACCTACTTGTAACACTTTTGCATAATATCAGTAACAGAAATGTTACTACTTTATCATTTTAGCATTTCATCACTGTAAAGTTCATTGACCTTTCAAGAATAACCATTCTAGCTATTCTCCTTTAAACAAATGCTTAAAAATATTTTATTCTTCTTAAAACGCTGAACAATTTTATTGTAAATTTATAACATATTGTATTATTATAACAAGCATTGATTTTATAATAACTAAAAAAAATAGCATTAAAAAAGGTACAGTCATTTCTCACGAAGTAAACATGTTTTATAGCCACAAATTAATTTTAACAGTAATAACTACATTCTTAAGTTTTAGTTATCTTCTTAGTAATTAAGAAATTCCACATTTTTATTCTATGAATATAGATTATTCTGTAAATTTTCTATTCAAGCAATCTTATATTTGCTTGTTGTGTTGTTCCTTTCTTTATTATGCTATACTTTTATTAGATAAAACAATAAAAACTATGACAAGAATTTATTCATAACTAGGTACCTATGAAAACATAAAATTATTCATGATAAAAGTTCAAAGAATTTTAAGTATAAACTCTTTTGAATTTAGTTGTTTTTTTTTTAGTTTTTAGTGATTGAGTTACACTATATAACGTATGGTAGATGGTAGATGATTGAAGCATAAGATCCCATTTTCTACCATTACTTTGCCTAAATTACCAACTTTGTGGTATCCAGACGAATATTCAGTTTTTATGTAATCAATCAACAAACTTGTATAAGTAGGATATCTATGAAATTACCTAGTATTTCAAGTAATAATGCTTAAACTAATTTCACATGCCTGATTTCTGTTATAAGTGAGTTCCACAAGCAAAGCTAAAGTTAAGAATGTTCTACTGTCAACTAGGCAACAATTTAGTGTTAAATTCACTCAAATAGAAATTCTGATGCCCAGGAATAGCCTTATTTAAACCTCAGTGCAGCAAAACATCCTTTAGTCCTTATAATGTCAGTATAATTTAAAACAAAAGGCACCTTGACCTCACTACAACCAAATGAGTGTTATTGTAATAATCTTGTACTAACAAAGACTATGTTTCTATTTGTATATTGATTTGAACTTTCTGTACAATATGAGACTGTGCTGTTATCTTCTTTTATTTGTGGCCTGTCATATTTTGAAGTATATTTAAAAAGTAATCTGTTGTGGTCCAAAAATACATTATTTAAAAGTTTTCAGTTTAATTTGAAAATGGAATTAATTAAACTGCCTATGGCCTATACTCACACAAAAAAAAACTTATTAGAAAGTAAGAAAGAACTATGAAAGTGAATTCTTTTTCAAACACATCACCCATGGAGATTCATCACCAAGAAGTTTTTAAACCAGGTCTAGCTTCCTTTATCATAATTGTTGTTATGAATGTTCATACACAAAACATATATTCTGATTGATAACCAGTGAAGTATCATTAATAGAATTGGCACTAGTTCATATACTGTTAGACTGTTTTGTACCCTAACTTGGCAAGCAATCTCAACTTCCTAGTTTCTTATTAATGTTTCAGTTTTTTTTATGCTACTGGTATTTCCCGCGGTTTCGCCGCGTGCTCTGTTCCAAGTGACTCAAGATTCTTTACAAGCCTGGAGTTTAAGAATTTTAATAGTTCCTAATCTGGTTCAAATGATGGAGTTTAGTTGCCTTTACTCTTTTATGAAGAGTACCAACCACACAAGTTTGCAAATAATGCAAGAATTCTATTTCATTTTTTCTTTTTTATAATATTAACAAAAAGTGTTATCAAAATTAGGACTATGTAATTTCTACTATTTATTATAATATTCATTTCTGTACTTTCACTGTTCCTTTTCGAACATTACTTTTGGCAGGAATGTGAATTATTTGATTTGATTTTAAGTATAGACTTATTACAGATGAAATGTAAATAATAGAAAAGTGGTCACAAAAGTTTGGATCTGATTACTTTTTGATGAGTTCTCATTTGTATAATTATCACTTAGTGATAATTTTCTTAATTACTATAAGCTTCCACTATTTTGTAGAGGCTGCCATACTCTTCCTATTCAGGTCCTTTGCGATAAAAGGTATTTAGAATTTCTTACAAAATAATTTTCGCTGTTGAGAAAAGGTGTGTTGGATTATAGGGGTTTGAGCTTGTAAGTTGTTTTTAGCTAATTCTGTCTGGGAGTCTATATGGTCAAATGCACTTTATTCTTCACTGTGTTACAAACACATAATAATATACTTAGTTACAAATTAATTATTTCTATTGCAATGCTATTATTTCTCTGGCTGTATGCATATTTCAATATGTTTGTTTTGCTGCTGTTATTTTCTCCTACCACAAAGCCCCACGTGGCTTCCCTACCCGTAATTACGTCGTAATTACACACCACCTGTTATATTCCATACAGCAGTAGTGCTAGGGCCACGCCATACGTTGTATGGTATACCACAAATGCAATAATAACAGGAGTCGAAAGTAAATGACAGGCCCGCCATGTATGTTTATTGACATTGCTGGCTGAATGACTTTGTGCCTTGTGCATGTTTTGATAGATAAGTAAGCATGTTGTTTTTGGACGGTTACGAAGTTGAAGAATGCGGTTTTGCATGACTCATAGCATAGCATAATGTATTTACGAAGGAGGTTTTATTTTGTAGTGTTCTTAGTTATGGTTACGTAAAGTATGAGTCAATGTGTTGGGCCAGGATCAAATTTTAGACGAAAAGAATACTAGTAGTATACTTGTGACTCATTTCGCAGTTTTTATCAGAAAATTCTCAGATGAAATTAGCTTGAAAGCAAGTTTACGTTGAACTAATAAGGAATGTCGCCTTGACCGAATTTCCTTCGTCGTTGCGAGTTTCAGCGCACAATGCAACAGATAATAAATTGCATAAACGTATGAGCGAACTTTGGGGTGCATACTTTATTCTGTGACCTTGTTGTCCTGCAGGACTTGTACCTCTTTTTTTATACGTTTTTGTTATGTTCCTACATACAGTGAAGAAAACACTGTCTGCTTCCAATAATATGCCAATGCCGCAAGCCATTAGCGTATGAAAAGATTGAAGTAGTAATGAATTTTGGATTGCAAAAGTTTATGTAGTATCAATATCACTAGGTACATAGTATAAAATAACGTCGCTTTTTCTGTCCACTGTATCCTTATGTATGCTTAAATCTTTAAAACTACTCAACGGATTTTGATGCGGTATTTTTAAAGGATAGAGTGATAGAAGGCGAAGTTTTATATGTTTTATAACATCCATTAAATAGTGGAGACATTTAGTATCAGCATCGCACGTGCGAAAACGGGGCGGATCGTTGTAAGATATAATATTAAGTTTGTAAGCTTATAGGTATATTGCATATACGCTAGACAACTTCGTCTAGTGTACAATATTTTTTACGTTCAGTAAGCGTAAACAAATCACTGTACCGTCAGTGCTTTCGCCGCGAATTTACAGTTTACTCGCGTTTTTATTTGTTTTCATACATTTTCGGCTTGCCATGTGGTTTTCTGATTCAGAGTAGAGAATGTTTGAATTTCTAGTGATCGGCGTCGCTTCTAGACGTAACGAAGAATAGAGTAATAATTATTTTGTTTATTTTTGGATAAATACTGCTATCTCTTTTTAACGTTTGATACCAATTCCCGGATACTCATTTTCATAAAATAAACAACTTTTTTTTTCTAAATATGGAATTAATTCTGTTAGCAGATTCCACTCACATTCTTTTTTCAAACTAACGAATGCCATAATAGAATAGCGTTACGTTAGCGACTTCAATCGCTTGGATTCATCCATTCATTCAGGATAATAAAAAAATGTAGGTAGTTGTTTTTTTTCTTAATGAAAGTATGTTTACAAACAACTTTTTTCTAGATATTTTTGTCCCATATAATGGGACAAAAATATTTAGGACTAATATTTTCCAATTGGGTTGCTGTTGTTAGGCCTTGTCCTTTTCTATACGGTTCTTACATCTTATACACAGATTTTTACCCGCCATTATTATTTGAATAACATCTTCTTGGGGGAAAAATCGTCCTAAAACTTCACTGCTCTGGTTAGGGCAAGAGAGATTGTCAGATTGACTAAAAACCCCCGTTTCTTCTGCTATCAGCTAGGTCTCGTTACATCATTGCACGTAGAAGAAGAGAAGAATCAGAAGACAGGATTGGATCCTGTTCTTTTACTTCTGATTGTCAGTTCGTACACTAATAACATTCCTACATTACCTTACTTAAAAGGATATTCGGCTTCATAAACGTTTTTATTTTGGTAATCACACGAATGGGTGATAAAACTGGTTTGGAGTATGTAGGTGGTATGGATAACTCCCTAATTTACTAAAGTTCTATCTAATAATAGCCACATGACGTTAGCAATAATGTAAAAGGTAGATTGTCCTTCAGATATTTATAGTTAGTTCTTGACCTCGTTCCAGTAGAGTTATTACCTAAAATGTCTTAGGAAAGTTCGTAAAACTATTTTCGATTGAAAGTTTGGAATGGCGTTACAACTGAAAACACTATTTATAGGATGTGTAAGGTTGTGAAAAATCTATATGTTAGGATGATTATAACACTCTCAGATTGTCTAGTATTTTTAAACGAAAAAGTTAAAAGTTTTGGCGCGTTGTGTTGAGCAGTTTATAGTTGTAGGAACTTCAGGAGTGGTGATAAAATAAAGCCAAGGAATGGAAGGCAAGACGTAACCCAGGTTTATCATCATCATCGGCCTAAATCCATGCCACTGAGCTCGATGTTCAATTCTTCTCATCCAACCACTGCCAGACACCTTATCCAACCCAGGTTGGATGGGTTGTATCAGAAAGTATATGAAGAGAGTATTAATATGACGTCTGATGAAAGAGAACTGTTTGTAGTGATGCTAAGGATAAAATAGGAGCAACTTTTTTGTTGAGGAAGGTCGTCAAGTGCCTTCTTCCGCTCTAAGTGGGGCTCTAAAGAGAGTGTCAGACTGAAATATTGTTCCTTTTCTTACCCCGAGCTCGGGCCGCGGTAGATTATTATTCTAGCACTCACAACCCCAGCTGAACTTCTTTTTAGTGTAGTCTTTAATGTGTTTTTATTTTTGTTTCAGCTATTGTAAATAGAGGCTGTAAATATAACGTATATAGTTTAAAGATGAGTTTGGGTGCGCGCGCCACCAAGGGTGGTGCGAAGCGGGGCGCTAAGGACGGCAAGCATGCACAGGACACCCGGAAGAGCACAGAAAAAACCCAGAGCAAGGAGAAGGTGAAACCACAGGTAATTGATGACAACATATACTTATGTAATAAGTATAATCTGCAAATAAACCATGAACCTTCTCTTCCATGTCAAAACATTTTAAAAATCAGGACCATTGCATTAAAATTATTTTAAATTATATTTATTTATTTATTTATTTATAGATCAATAAGCTAAATTTTAAATTTTACGACGTAGGTATATAAATGTTCGACAAAACTATACACATACATATAGTTTGTCGGATCAAAAGGTATGTGAATATGATCTAGTTATTTTATTTATTTATTTTATTTATTTGGCCCACCAACAATTGTTTACACGATAAAATATTATATACATTTATCATAATACAATACTTGTGTAACAATCTATTATAGGTAAGCACTCTTATTGAAGTCAAGACAGACAAGAGATTAGCTTCTGGGGTGTTTCATGATTCTAATTTGGTGATAGCATTATTAATTAAGTCATTATCATTTTCCCGATTGAGTTCGTAGACGATTTTAACTCAAGTGTCATGAAAAATCTTCTGAAATTCAGCCTTTAGTAACTGAAATCAAACATTCAAAAAGACATCTCAACATGAAAACAACTGATAGTTGGTTTTAAATAAACCAAAAAACCAACGCACTCTCATTCAAGATAACCAGATTCTACTCAATTTATTCATTAAAATAATCAAGTTACCGAAGTTAGTTATACGCTTAGAAGGCATTACATAAAATTTTGCTAAAAATTTTCTCCTTCAAGTGAGCAATCGGCACGTCTCGCTAAACTCAGGGTCAATGACACGGAGGTCACGCCGTCAAGGTCGGCCGGTGTTATTGTCATATCTACGATTATACCCGACTTATCTCTATTTTGTTATGCGATACGAAAACGTTAATATTTAAATTCTATTCTTTCTTGTTGGTGACGTATCAATTGTCATCAGCCCGTGAATGCGCCTCCTTAACACATCCAGTGCCCCCGACGCGTATGTGCGTTTAAGGAAACGCACATACGCGTCGGGGGCACTGAATGTGTTAATAAGAGGGTTTGACGAAACCTCGCTTGTCCGGTGCATTAAATACGACTGTCACTTGTCTACTTCGGACCATACTCAATGTTTGGTCGTCGGTTCATTACACATTTTCAATGGAAAAAGGAAATCCACGGACCATCGCGCGTCGAACCATACTGACGGCTCAGTTACATCGTCTATTTGGACTTTACGAATGGGCTGCTCCCCTGGCCTCTGTCAAATGAGTAGTCCCTGAGGGCCTACCATACCACCCACTTCTCGCCCGGAAGATTCACGCTTTAACACTTCACAGTAGGCCTACCATGGCCTACTGTTCTCTATAATAGCGGAGAGCGCAGACACGATAAAAATTTGTTCTACTAAAATTTCTATTAGCCTCAGGGACGTCCTCTACCGAACATAGACCTCTACCTTCCTAAATAGCAAACTAATCAGCTTCCAGCTGAGTTATTAGGAATGATCTTCATTTTGGACGCTTTTATCGAATTTCTTTGTATCTTGATCTTCGTTTTATTCACTGAATTCTCCCCTAATACTACAGCAATAGTATTTGCCAAAATAGTCTCGAATTGTTTACAAAGCTTTCTGTAATTGTGTACCATTTCTTTAGCGAAATAATGAGAATTGGATATTCGATCAATGCCGCGTTGTTTGCTATCGAGAAGCTTGCGAATTAGGGGTGTGACTAGGGCAAGGGCTGTCCAATATCTAAAATACATAGTATTGATGCTTTTATTTTGGAGAAAATTTCTTTTTTCTTCTTGAGAGTCTCATAAGAACAGACAAAAGGGGATACTCACGGCGTAGGTCGGATAGCTCTACTCTGTGATAAATCTGAACAGATTAAACTGCCATGTCTGCGATGTCCAAACCCCTTTGTTAAGCGTAGAGATGGCAAATTCTTCTTTTGTAGAATAGACCCACGATCTTGTCGGAGGCAACAATGGATTTGTGTATGAAGTTAATTTTTAACCACCGAAGCAAAAACGAAGTTGTGTTATAAGTTTTATAGCAATAGTTTCTCTTATAGGACTCCACATTATTTGGCAAAAATAAGTGTCTCTTGTCTCTAAAGACAAGAGGTCTTTCTCTTTGGGAAAAATGTTGATGAATTCAGGGTCTCTGCGAATTTTGAAATAACTGGCCATTATCATTGTTTTGGGGGTGTAAGGGGGCGAACTTCCATCTTTCGCCCCAAGCCAACCTCACCTGCACGCGGTGCATCCTGCTGGTCAACGAACGAGGCTCTGGCGACCGACCGACGGCGGTATATCCGTCCCTTACAAACAGGCGAAATTAAGTACCGCAGGCCGGTGACGGGCAGCAGCGTTACCGGTGCGAAAAGTTTCGCCCTGCGATCGCCAACCCGCCTGCCCAGCGTGACGATTATGGGCAATACCTCCTATGGGCAAAAAACGAAGGCCACGGCCCCCAGTTCCCGGCAGCCCCACTATTCCTGGTCATGGTGGCGACCATGGTAACGGTGGGGTAGGGGGTGCTAAGAATCTCCGGGCTACGGGAGGCCACCACAACAGACTGACCCTGGCGACGTACAACGGACGCACGCTACGGCTTGACTCGCATCTAGCGCAACTAGAGGTGGAACTTGGGAAGATCAGGTGGCACATACTAGGGTTATGTGAAGTCCGAAGAGAGGGGGAGGACACGATAACTCTCAAATCAGGCCACCTGATGTACTTCCGTGAGGGAGACCAAAAATCCCAAGGTGGCGTTGGGTTTCTGGTTAACAAGTCCCTATCTAACAATGTTGTGGAAATGTCGAGTGTGTCGAACAGGGTGGCGTACCTCATTATAAAGCTCACCGAGAGGTATAGCCTTAAGGTGGTCCAAGTGTACGCACCGACCTCGGCACACTCCGATGATGAGGTGGAGGAGATGTTCGATGATATATCGAGGGCCCTCCACTCCACCACTAGGACTCACTTCAACATTGTTATGGGGGACTTTAACGCCAAAGTGGGAGTACAAAATTGCAGTGAATCGGTAGTAGGATCCCATGGGTATGGAAACAGGAATCATAGGGGGCAAATGCTCGTCAATTTCCTCGAACGGGAGGGGATGTTCTTAATGAATTCATTCTTTAAGAAGCAGCCCCAAAGGAAGTGGACGTGGCAAAGCCCCGACACTATGACAAAGAACGAGATCGACTTCATCATGGCGGACAAAAGGCACATATTCAGAGACGTCTCCGTGATTAATAGGTTTAATACCGGTAGCGATCACCGACTCGTCCGAGGCTCTCTGAATATCGACTTCAGAGCCGAACGAGTCCGCTTGATGAAGGCCAGGCTCCGACCAACCCTGTTTCAAATCAAAATGGGATCTGAAGCGTTTCAGTTAAACCTGGAGAACCGATTTGCTGCCCTGGAAACCACAACCGACGTTAACCGGAACCTTGAAAACGTGGTTCGAGTTCTCAGGGAAGAAGGTACGAGATTTTGTGAAATGCAGCGTAAGGGCAGGAAGTCGAAGCTTTCGGAAGAGACTTTAGGGCTTATGAAGAGACGACGTGAAAACCCACCCGTCACTTCGTCAGAGAAGCGGGCTCTAAACCGAGAGATTAGCAAACACGTGCGACACGATCTCCGGTGCTCGAATACCCTTGCAATCGAGAGAGCGATCGAGCAAAACCGGGGGCCAAAAGTGTTCGTACAATCTCTTGGAAGAAGCCACCTGACGAAGTTGACCACAGCAAGTGGAGAAGTCGTTGTCTCGAAGCCGGCAGTTCTTTCGGAAGTAGAAAACTTCTACGGCCGGTTATACGCTTCGCATGCATCTCGACCTGACCCCGGAAATGAGGACTCTAGAGCCACTTTAATACGCCATTACACCGAAGACCTGCCAGAAGTCAGCATTGACGAAATCGAGATCGCTCTTGGACAGCTTAAAAATGGAAAAGCCCCTGGAGAGGATGGCGTTACGACAGAGCTTCTAAAAGCAGGCAGCAAACCGGTACTCAGGGAGCTGCAAAAGCTATTTAACGCTGTCCTGTTTGAAGGGAGAACTCCAGAGGCGTGGAGTCGGAGTGTGGTCGTCTTGTTCTTCAAAAAGGGTGACAAAACCCTACTGAAGAATTATCGACCCATTTCCCTTTTAAGCCACGTCTATAAGCTGTTCTCGAGAGTGATCACGAACCGCCTTGCGCGAAGACTTGACGAATTCCAACCACCGGAGCAGGCTGGGTTTCGGAGCGGATACGGCACCATAGACCACATCCACACAGTGCGGCAGATTATACAGAAGACTGAGGAGTATAATCAGCCCCTGTGCCTAGCATTTGTGGACTATGAGAAAGCCTTTGACTCGGTCGAAATCTGGGCTGTTCTGGAGTCCCTGCAGCGATGCCAAGTAGATTGGCGATACATCCAAGTGATGAGATGTCTCTACGAGGCCGCCACCATGTCCGTCCAAGTACAGGATCAGCAAACAAGGCCGATACCGTTGCATCGAGGTGTGAGACAAGGGGATGTTATCTCCCCGAAATTGTTCACAAATGCAATGGAGGATATGTTCAAGACGCTGAACTGGAAAGGACGCGGCATCAACATAAATGGCGAGTACATCTCTCACTTGCGATTTGCAGACGACATCGTCATCGTAGCAGAAACGCTGCAGGACCTACAACGGATGCTGAATGACCTGGCTGACTCTTCTATACGCATCGGCCTACGGATGAACTTGGATAAAACCAAGGTCATGTTCAATGAACATGTACTACCGGAACCGATTGCAGTACACGGCGCTGTTCTCGAAGTCGTTCAAAAATATGTATACCTCGGGCAGACATTGCAGATGGGTAGAAACAACTTCGAGAACGAGGTGAATAGAAGAATTCAGCTAGGTTGGGCAGCATATGGAAAGCTGCGTCAAGTCTTCACGTCGTCGATCCCACAGTGCCTAAAGACGAAAGTCTTCAATCAGTGCGTCCTACCTGTCATGACATACGGAGCCGAAACGTGGACACTGACGGTGCGGCTGGTTCACAAGCTAAAAGTCACTCAGCGAGCTATGGAGAGGGCTATGCTCGGCGTTTCTCTGCGAGATCGAATCAGAAACGAGGTGATCCGGCAGAGAACCAAGGTAATCGACATAGCCCACCGGATTAGCAAGCTGAAATGGCAGTGGGCTGGCCATATTAGCCGAAGAACCGATGACCGTTGGAGTAGACGAGTTCTTGAGTGGAGACCGCGTCTCGGCAAACGTAATGTAGGACGTCCTCAGGCAAGGTGGAGTGATGATTTGCGCAAGATGGCTGGCAGGAGCTGGATGCGAGTGGCCGAAGATCGATCCCAGTGGCGTGCAATAGGAGAGGCCTATGTCCAGCAGTGGACTGAAAAGGGCTGATGATGATGATGATCATTGTTTTATGTTTAAGATGGGAATACAAATAGTATTATAATCAATTTGAGTGCTAGAAACTAAGTATAGGTATGGGGTTAATCAACATATATGTAGGTGATTTAATAACCTTTATAGTCTGTATCCATATTTTACGGCCATTTGACCATTTTCTAATTATCATTTGCTTTGTTTCCTAACCCAATTAGTTGATAACGTAGAGTACCACACACAATTGGAGTATAATGGCTGTGTTATAATTACTGGCAATCTGACGAATGAAAATCCAAATAAAAACTTTTTGGTACAGGGAATTATTTTAAACGCTGCGTTGTCCGCATCGAAATCTTTAATTATATATACCTATGGGTTTATGCGTTTTTGCTTCTCAACGAGCATTATTTTACAAAATTATCTTGCATTTGGCATTTTCGAACTCCCAAAAGGACGACCTGGATATCGAACTAAAACTCCTTTGGCATTTTTGTCTTTATAGCCTCCTTCCCCCCAATTCTGGACTAACGAAACAGTTTACACAAATTAGAAAGTTAATTAATGTTGCCAATTAATTAACATCATCTTTTATTGATCTAGCAACCCTACTTCGTAGCGCAACAAGGTCGCGCGTATTTCAAATAACAACAATGTAGTTGAGTGCTGTCACGTTGTTCTAAGTTGAAGTTCTTATGTAGGGCATTATAACCTATAACTTTTCATATCGATGTAAAAAGGTTATGTTGGACAGACTGAGGAATATGGTACGATTCTGTATTTTTTTTTTGTATGGGGAAAATCACCATATGACTTCTCTCGCCCAGGGTATGGCGAGAGGGAGTGTCAGTCTCTTACTGACAAAAAACCCCCGTTCCTTCTTCTGCTTTAGGCCGAGGCCGCAGTATCTTATTTCGCTTATCCCGCGACCCCGGCTGAACATCAGCCCTATAGGGCCCCGTCTGTGGTGGTTTATTGGCTGTACGATTCTGACTTGACTCCACGTTTGGGATAGTGGCTGCGTAGTTCATTGCACGTGCGGAACAATTATTTGTGTGATAAATTTGTAATGATGATAAATCATAAAAAAAGTCAAAAATCATTTATTTCAATTAGACCACAGTAGGCACTTTTGAACGTCAAGCAAAAAAGGAAAAAAGTATATAAGAGCTTTAAAATTAAGCGTGTCAGTCTGTCCGTCTGTCCTCTAGTGAAGCATTAAAATTTGTTGTTCTTGATTTGGGTGTAATGTCTCAGAAATTGTATGTTTGTAAACGCAGCCACGACACAGGAGAAAATACTAGAATGGCAATGTTTGTTACAACAAAGTGTATTGCTAAGTTATAAGCCGCAAGGGAAACTAAACTTTATACATAAGGTTTAGAATTATTAAAATTGCATAATCATACTTAATGCTAACCTAAGATATTTTTGTTCGCAGGCTACTACAGAACAGATCCGTATGGCACACATGATCGATCGTAAAAGCGATGACGCGTCTGACGTTCGAAAAATGGTGAGTTTTACATATTCATACTTTCTACTAGCGACTCTAAGCCTGCTGTTGTGATGTTTTATAGCCAGTCCTGCCTCGATAAATAGACTCTCCAATGTCCAGTGGTTCAGCTTTATAGAATTCTTATAGAAGACAAAGAATAAGTATATAATTTTATATCTTGTATGGGTGTCCTCCAAGTTTTTGAGTGAGGATAAACAAACGCGATAAAAATTTAAATATAGTAAGCCTTCATCACGTATAGGCCTGCTCGACCATACCACGTGCTCACACATAAAACCGGTGCGAAACAATGCTTGCGTTATTTTTCACTATGTGAATGAGGTCACATTCCCAAACTGCAAATCCCGAATACCTAACAACCCCTTAAAAATTAAGTGTGGGAGAGCCAAGCTTTGGCACGAATGGTTTGGGAATGAGCAAAATTCGGCCTCACAGAATACCGGCGTGAAACAACCCACAGCGTTGTGTTTCGCCGTGTGAGTGAGGTTACCGGAGGCCCAATCCCTCCCCTTCCTCTATCCCTTCCGAATTCTTATATCTGCAACCCCTATCCCCAAAAGGCCGGCAACGCACTCGTAACTCCTTTGGTGTTGCGGGTGTCCATGGGCGGTGCCGATTGCTTACTATCAGGTAATACGTCTGCCCGTTTGCCGACTTATCCCATAAAAAAAAAATCGGCGTCGCGTTTGTTAATCCTCAAGCGCTACGGGTGTCTAAAGGCAACGCCGATTGCGTACTATGAGTGACTTGGCTGATCCTTCCTCGGTCTAGGCCATAGAAAAAATAAAAATAGCTACAAACCTCCACGCCTACCTACCTCTTTATAGAAGAACAAACATCGTGGCATACGTAATATTACAAGTTTACTCCACTTACCGTGCCGTTACCTGTCATATGCAGTTTCTCACACAATAATAGATTTGATATGAGCTTACTAGCGCGCTGTCGTGGGAAACTTAACGGCATCGCCGCTCAGAACGCAAGCCGTACATTGCGTTCCAATGTATTTCAATTTAGCAGATTGCCACAATAATATCATGTGTTTCATTTGTTTTGATTTAACATTTTTGAAAACTAGTTAAAATCAATACTTTTATCGAAATGTCAAAATAAATCTCTTATGGTAGAATTACACCCGGGCTCTAAGCGTAGACCGCCCAGTAGGCGATCTGGTCCGGTGGACCCAGATAAGGAAATTTGTGACAAGCGTTTGGGATGTATTTACACGTTGACGATGTGAAAAAACTTGGAGTTTTTGGACATTTACACGTTGGCGATGTTTTGGGGCTTAGGCTTGGAGCTTGTGGACGTTTGCTAAGTCTCGGCAAGCGTGTAAATGTACCATTAAAAACGAATAGAGTAATCTAAACACACTCCGAAATAGGACATAGGTTACTTTTTGTTGACATTACACGCGGGCGGAAGCTATTAGGTACCTTATAAATAACCTGTTGATATAAAAGTCACGATTTAACAAACAAAGCAATCAAACTTAATCCCGTAATCATCTTAACAACAATCCGATCGGTTGAAGCAACATTGTAGCGAGGTTACAGGAAAAATGCAAGTGTACTATGTAGGTAGGTATACCTCCTCCAGTATATTACCGACTTCCGTCGCGCCTGAGAAAGATTGCAGCGTAATCAAACGGTGCAAGGATATGGGCTATGGGAGACTGTTTAATTTTAGTATAACTTTTTTTGAAGGGGAAAAATCATCGCTCCAGCTTGGGCGAGAGGGAGTGTTTTTTTTTAAGGTATTAATAGGTCGGCAAAAGAGATCGAGATCGAGTCCATGGGCGGCATGAATACACGCAACACCAAACGAGTTACGAGTGCGTTGCCGGCCTTTTAGGGATAAGTGTTTCGGATATTTAAGGAATAGGAAGTCATGGGGAGGGGGTGGGGTTGGCCTACATCAACCTTACTCACACGGCGAAACCTAACGCAGTAATTGTTTCACGACAGTTTTCTGTGAGGCCGTCATATCACTCCGGTCGAAGGTCACATTTATGTCGAAGCTTGACTCTATCACATTAACACCCAGATTTTTGCCTTTTCACTAGCTATGCCCCTCGGTTTCACGATGTTCACGTTTAGGAGATAGCGTAGCTTACCAATAGTGAAATAATTTTTCAAATCTGTCAAGTAGTTTCGGATCCTATTCGAAACAAGCAATCAAATCTTTCCTCTTTATTAAAGGGACAAAAGTTGCGAATATTATGCACACAAGCACTTAAATCGCATATCTTTACAGTTTAACGAGCCTACATGTTCAATTTAGCGTTTAATCAAACTTGATTGGTTAACTTTTGACCTCTGAGTGAATATTGTCAATTGCAGATTCCTCTTGTGATTTATTATTGAAAGCGATGATCAGAGATTTCTTTTTTTGCTCTTCGATAAGGTCGGGGTGTGATGATCCATGAAAACGATCCTTCGACCTTCACGTACATTATTACATATTATACAAGATGTTTAAACATTGGTGCAAAAATATATGGCATAATTATTATGACACCTTTTGCCAGTTGCTTTTCAAACCTACCTTATTCCATTGAACGTTGTAGCTAAGAGCTTTATATGAGAGCTTTATATTTATTTAGAATGTTATAGCTAAGAGGTGGGTAACCCATTAGAAATGTAACTTAAATAAAAACTCTAGCAAGTGAAATATGTGTTAGGTAATTATATTGGTCTTTATGTGATTGTAATAAAGTTGATATTGTTGTGTTCAGGTGCTGGAGCTGATGGAGATGACATGTCGTACCGAGGAGGAGGTGTGCTCGGCGCTCCACGACTCGGACAATGACATGGTCGTCGCCTGCAACCTGCTACTCGAAGAGAGCCAGCGGATACAGGTATACAATACAAACTTATAAGCTGTTATACTATTGTGACCCATATTCATTGTGTGTTAAGATTTGTTTTCCTTTGTCATATGCATTCAGTCGCTAGGACTATATAAGCTAATCAGTTCAATTGGGCCTTAACAATGCAAGGGGTCTTCCCATCCCAGGGAGGAACTCCTTTCTTTTGACTATCGGACATCTATTCTTTGGATGACGTGAAGTTTGGAGTGTTTACCTTATTGTTGTGTTTGGTGGAAGTGGACATGCTGCATGAATGGGTGGCTCGACCATAAAACGCCACACACATAACTGGCGTGAAACAACGTATTTGTAGTGCGTGTAAGGTCATCGAATGTCTATGGTATCCATGGGCGGCGCCGATTGCTAACCATCAGGCGATTCGTCTGCTCGTTTGCTGTCCTTTTCTATCTCATCCAATAAACAAAGCAGGAGGACGAGGAGTAACAATAAAGCTTGAATTATGGTATGTGAAGATAAATGTTAAATCATATCAATGTCATGTTCACAGGGCGAGTGGCAAACAAGTGAGAAAAAGAAAAAGAAGCCACCAGCCCCCGCGGGCAACGGCGAGTTAGACCCACCACGGGACCCACGCAGTCGTTCCGGACCCAGACCACGTAAGTATTGATGAACTAACACTACTGGTTAATACACTACTTGCTCTATATTGTTGTTCAGGTCTTATTCAAAATATACTGTAAAAATATTTTAATTGTATTTGTAGATTGACATAGACTACAGAAGTACTGGACATAGTCTTTAAATCCATGACATATTTGTACTTCTAGCGGTCGACCGCGGCTTTGCCCGCGTGCATGTCGATTTTACACTCTTTCAAGTTTTATTATTATTTACTCTACGTACAAACCTTCTCTGGACTTCTACGAAATATTCAAGACCAAAATAAGCCAAATCGGTGAAGGCATTCTTGAGCGAAGAGAAAATGACAACGAAATGTTTTTATATATGTTTAAAGATATAAAATCAAGGTACTTAAATTAAAAATAATTAAAATTTTATATGAATCAGGTCGAGGGTCAGGTGAACGGGGCGATCGTGGAGAGCGAGGCGCCGCGGGCGAGCGGGGACCGGGCGGGGAGCGCGCGCGGGGCGAGGGCTCGTGGCGAGGCGGGCGGGGCGCGCCGCGCGGACGCGGGGGCGCACGCTCCGCGCGGGGGGCGCCGCCCCGCCGTCTGCGCCCAGACCGGGACCCTAACTGCTGGAACGACCCACAGCCCGCCAGTATGTATTCAACGCATCATCTAAATCACTGCTTATGGGGATGGAGAGTATCACATGTTGAAGTTAGTTCATTTAGATTAACCATAGAGGCAGACTGAATCACTGTGAATGTCCTGCCATTCAGATACTGATTTAATACACAGTCTGATCAATCTCATAAGATTTATAAAAACAGCAGGAGATAGGTTCAGCTCAATCAAAAAATAAGTACCTGTATCACAAATCGGACACAATAATTATTTCAGATCAACTATTGATATTGGAAAGTAATGACATGAAATTGTTATATTAGTCCCATTCTTTAATCTATAAGAGAGGGGAAAATAAAAGTTACCAATGTGTTAGAGAAAAACAAGGGCAGAAATTTCAAGCTCTCACTAATAATAGCACCACAAAAGATTAAATGATGGAAATCAGTAGAATAACGGATGAAGGATCCTCACATGTTCTATAGAATCCTTCTATCGAACTATATAATCATATCATTTAATTTGTACTTATTAAACTTGTTAAGTATTATATTATTCGAAAAGAAATGGTTCTATTCAGTACCTAAATAATTGATTATCATCTGTTGTTGCAGGTGGCAACAACACCGTCGACACATTCCCCACCACAGAAGACTGGGACAACGAGGAGTGGTCCGGTTCCCTATCAGACACAAAGGTAAATATATAATTGTATTGAGCCAAACTATGTCTCTATATTAATTTGAGAAAAGTATTTCGATCAGAAATTGTTACACATGATATATAGTATTGGTTCATGTTTAGGTCAATTTCCTAGGTTAGTTTTACTTCTTCTTAAATAATAACTTGTGATTTATTTCGTAACGAGATCCAAAACAGTCATTCAAGTCCCTGGGACGCGCTGGACTTCAGAGTTTCGGTGTTTTCATGGTTGTATCCACTGTAAATCCTGGTGCACAGGAGTTGCAGTGGTTGTGGCAGACTTGTTCCAAATTCTATTAGTTCATACATGAAAGCTCGTATTAAAAGCCAGATTTCAAACAATAATGACTGACTATTCATTTAGTCGGGTAAATTGGAAGATAATTTGGAATGTAGTTCGGGAGTTTTGAAAATTGACATTTTTAGATTTTGTACGTGCTCCTTCCGATTTACGCCGGAAAAAGGATTAAGCTGTGCCTGTTATTGTAAAGAATTTGAATTTACATTTTGTCATCTCTTTGCATCATGCGATTTCAATAACAGTTTTTTGAACATTCTTTTTTCTTTAAGAAACCTGTCAAAAAATCTATTGACAATTTTCAAAACACCTGGAGCTTTCCAGTTTCTGAATGAAAAAATAACAAGACTGGAGTATAGTGAGTGGTGAAGCAAGAGTTGTTTAGACAATGTATATGAAGTATCGTAGTAAGTGCGAGGGTGTAGGTAGAGTGTAGCGTGCGTGTACGGTAGAGTGAGGTTGCGTGGTGTTGCAGGTGTTCACGCCGTCCGCCGCCGCCGCGCCGCCCGCGCCGCTCGTGTCGCCCGTACGTACACTCTATACCACGCTTATCTTATGCACTTGCTAACATTATTTAGACACGTCTAACATTATAATGGTCAAAAAAAACTGTAAGAAATCTTGGACTTATAATTTTTACACTCTATATCCGTAAAACGGGGTGAATAGAATTTGAGGTGTGAATAGAGACATGAAAGGGGTGGATAGATGTTGGCGATTTTTCCTAGTATCTATTCAAAAGTCAAAAATCATTTATTTCCGAACGTCAAACAAAATTTTGAAGATATAGTGTCAGTCTGTCGGTCAGTCCTCTTAGTGAAGCTATTTGCTCGTTCCAAAGTGTAGATTCCGATGGAGAAGAACGAGCAAGAAACTCCATAGTTATTCTTTTTAAATCATTCGCCCCTTGAATTTTATTCACCCCGTTTTTGTACCACACTTATGTACTTTCTAAGATTATTTAGACATCTTTGACATTATAATGGCAAAAGAAAACATTGCGAGATGAAAACATCTTGGACTATAAGTCCTGATTTAGATTTTTTTAATCTAGTTTAGGCTACTTAATTTAACGAAATCTCTCACACTAATTTCATTTACGTCAAAGAGTTGCTAATATCCGCTCCGTATTTGGACCTAGGTACGCAAAAAAGAACCAGCCTTCATAGTGACGCTTTTGAGATAGTGAAGTTAAAAGTTTAAATGGCCTCAACTGTACTGACGAACAGACTGACAGATTTCTATTCTATTTTGACGTTTTAAATGTTTAGTTTACTTGGATTTTGACTTTTGACTTTGACATTTTAATTGTAATTTTGTAGACACATTTACTTTGCCCCTAAAAACTAAACTTAATAGCTTTTTTCAACTGCTTTTAACATTGCTTGTCGCTTTATGATTCACAAATTCTTCAGTGTCTGAAGGTGTTGTATGTTTATGTTAAATTGCATGTTTGTTAAAACGCACAAACAATGCAAGAAAACTAAATGTGGAGCAAGAATCGCAACTTATTTTTAAAAAAAAGTTAAAAATGTACTTAAAATGTTGTCACGGGACTGTTTTAACCAGCCTGATAAGAAATTGTTCTTGAAAAGTTTTATAAATAATTTTATCTTACTTGGAACATGTTATAAATTCACACTACTGTGTTACTAATATCACATACAGCTACATTCATTCACACATAATCATCAAACTCATTATTTCTGTTTATGCACATTGGTTTCTTTGATTGGGGTAGTTTCCTCTGTCAAAAACAAATTTATTTAAATTACATAACTACAAAATACTTTCGATTAATTTATGATGTACTTAATATTTGTACCGTTTAAATTATTTTACGAAAATAAGAATGATGAACGTTTATGACATTTCTGAAAAAGTATTGTCTTTGACCAGTTGAAAACTACCCTATTTGCACTCTACATAGTCAGATCTTCAGTTTTTAAAAGTGGAAATCTGAAAAAGAAACAAGTTTCTTATAACACCTCCTTGTATATACATACATACTTTAGAAGTTTTATGTAACATTCAGCTATTATTTTACTTATTAGCATGATTAAAATTTTTTGATTGATATTCATATAAAAACTTTTAAATAAATACATAACAATAATTCTTTTCTGTCATGCTCAGACCACGGAAACTAAAGTAAGTATAGTACAAGTAAAATTTGATAATGCCATTCAAAAAACTATCTAATGGACATTATGTTAAATATCATTCTCAAATAGTTCTACTTAATTTTAGTTTTATAAACATGCTATCTCTTTTCATAGCATTTTTTTGGAACTTTGGAATGTACAACTAACTATAGTTAATGGCTTTCTTTATGTATCAGTTGTAACTAACTAGCTTAATTAGCTATTCAGTTAACGGCCTAAATGACAAGCCTTTTCATTGACCGGCTGGATTTGTTTTTTAAGCCCTTATTAAAATATAATTGTCATCAGATATAAGCAACTACCAGAATTGTAATGCGGTATTATTTAATAAACAGACTAGGCCGTTAATTAAATCCCTGAATAAGTTAGTTGGTTGCGACTGTATCTATCGCTTTGTGGACATTGTCAGTCTATCCAGCTGGTGGGCTGTATTAAAAACTCTTTTCGTCTACGCCTTACTGCCAGTCTCAATAACTTATATTTTGTTAGTATACTCTTTTGTCATGTGGGAGAGGTCTATTTTATTGATATTTCTGCACGAATTTTCCGGCTTGACCAGAATGATACTAGGGCGTGAGTTGTATGGACCCGGAACCCTCTTGTAAATCCTTTGGGTAGAGCAGTTATCAATGGGCGCCGTCGATTGTTTATTACTCGAGATCTATCTACGGTCTTGGCCAAAAAACATTAGATTTGTATCTATTATATAAATTGTAACACTAGTAGTCAAATCTATCTCTAGTTAGCTTATTGAGACTGGCGGTTAGAATGTCGTACGCTGGTAACTGAGTCCCCCTTGTCGGTCGGCGTACAGGAGTGGGAGGGCGCGGAGGGCGGAGGTCCGCTGGAGGCGCACATCCCCACCTACACGTACCACAACTCCGCGCACATACCCGCGCATCCTCACCACCAACTGCGAGAGGTACTACACACTACTGGCTTCTTTTATTCACTTATTGGCGGTTGTTTTTGTGTAGTAACTATCGTGAGGCTTGCTAAATTTATTGAAAATGACGATTATTCAAAATTAAAACGATGATGACGATTTACCTTTCAATCGTGGTAATTACAAACAATAGAAATAGGTATGCGTCCGCGTAGTGTTGATGAATTAATTACTTTCAAGCCTACTGCGTGACGTTGCTCTTAAATAAGAGTCCCGTTGTGAATTGAAACTAGACGAGCTATGCTCGAATAATTCATGTACCCAAGTCGTTATTTTCAATAAATTTTATTTGTAATGTAACTCAATGTGAGGCTAGTAGTAGATTAATGATGCTTTACAGCTTACTCGCTTATTTTTCTGTTTGACGATGGAACTCTTTATAAGTGTCTAGCCACGCGATATAGACGCTAGTATTTGCGTGATAAACAACACTAACGCGTCAGACATTTAGGTGAGTAAGCCGTAAAACATTATCCTCCCTTATTACAAAACAATATTTATCTTTAGTCTAGGCCTAAACCATTGAGTCAGTTTTTGTATTATGAATCTTATTCTCACCTACCTTCAATTTGAAATACAAAAACTGGCTCCACAATTTAGATCCAGACCTACGAAAAGCCTTGTTTTGTAATAAGGTCGATTTAGTTTGTTGGGTGGTTGGCACAATATGTCTTTTTCCATTTCCTTAGAGATATTATTAACATACATCGCACACTATACTTCCATTTTTTGCACGTGTTTTCCATTTCCATCCGTCTATCCATCCGTCCATCCGTCCATCCATATTGGGAATTTGCACGTGTATATAAGCACTGTTATTTGGTAAAAAAAAAACATAATAATGACAATAAAATAAGGCTACCGCCCACCAATATGGTTACATAAGATAAGGCTTTTTTTATGTAATAGGTCGGCAAACGGCACTCCTGTCGAGCCCACCCATTCGTGCCGAAGCATGGTTCTCCCACACTTCGTCATTAAAAACTACATAATTTTGTGTATTGTTTGTTTTCTTACCAAATAATTGTGCAGAACAAATACACTGTCTTGGTGGGGATACTGCACTTTATTATGCATTAGGCTTTTTAAGGTATATGAGTATGTTTGATCTCACGCCGTTTGGTAGGTCAGAATGGAAGAAGTATAGATACATATTGTGCTTACACCAATAAACGCAAGCTTAAAAGTATGCAGATCATGCTTTTTCATCAATAGTTAATTGATTTGAGCCCGGTACATTTTTTTAAGAACGAAACAATGAATAAAGTTTATGTTTTGTATAAATTCTCTTGCAGCAAATAAACTCAGTAAGCCGGCAGTCTCCGGTGAGCGTGGCTCCGACGAGTGGTGTGGTGCCCAACGTGTCGAACGTGGCGGGTGTGACAGGCCCGGCCGGGCCGGCCGGGGTGCCCCCCGCCAGCGCGGCCGGCCCCCAGCCAGACACACAGCCCGCGCCAGACACCTACCATCACCAGATGCACCACCAGGTAACTACCTCGACCTTGTCTATCTCGTATAACGTCTATCACACAACGAAACACAATACTGTGGTTGTTTCGTGTGTATCAATTCGCGGGTTATATGTGAGGCCACGTTTCACACAGGTCGAGCTGACCCATTCGCGCCGAAGCATGGCTCTCCCACGTTTAAAGACACTAATAATTTTGTAATCTGTTGCAGCCTATGGGTATGTCAGGGAGTCTCACGGCAGCACAGTCACAGTACCTATCTCAACTAACGCAACAATCGCAAAGGCATGACAATAGTGAGTACACCTTCATATACATACATATATTATAGTTATTTCTTACTGACTTTTCTGTTCATTTTATTACTAGCAAGTCGTACCGGCTTCGCATGGGTGCAATGTTGATATTATGTTAACACATCTTGATGGAGGGACATATTCTTGAAGCCGATTTTGGTGCTTAATTACAACAACTTTTTCCATGGGAAATCTCAAAAATTGCAACAACTGATTGATTATTTTGCATGGAGAAGTATTTTTTTTTTTTGAGATACATCCATTTTTGTGTTATGAAAAAATTGTTTTATTTGTTTCTAGAATAGGGTCCTTGAAATATGTCCCTTGTTCAAAATGCTACCCTATGTATCTTGGCTTCAGGCTGCTAGCCCTTTATAGAAGCCTTTTAATACAGTAGTGTTCTCTCATAAGCTATTAATGACGATGTATTTGCTTTTATATAAAATAACTGATGTATTTGCAGGTGTGTACACATCGAATTACGGCGTATACGGGTCTACCGACATCACCAGCCAGAGGAAACCACAGAGGGCGAGAGTACCACCGCCTTCTAAGGTCAGTCTTTCTATATTTTATATTGGGTGAAATGAATCTCAGAGTTTTGACTGAGCTATAAATAATATTGACTTTTCGGTACAATTAACTAACCAAAACACAAAGTCAGTAATTGTTTTTACTATTTTTTTATCTATCTTTAGATTCCATCCTCTGCGGTGGAGATGCCAGGCGGTGCGGATGGCGCAATGTTCCTAGATGTCCAGTTCGGGGCACTCGAACCTGAGGCACTACGGGACAATACTACACCTAAACCGGTGAGTGTATATTTAATAATTTATTTTTAGAATTTATTAGCTTCTAATTTTACTACTACTACACAAAATGATCATAACAACAAAATACAAAACTTTAACTTATAATATGGATCTTCTCATTTATTGCAAAGTGAGATGCGAAAGTGTAGATGTTGAGTATTTTGTAGCAGTTCAATCAAGGTGTTGACCGTCATACACGTTTTGATTGTATCATAACCACCGGACAACCGAGCAACCCGGACTAGGTGATCACGATAGTACGTTACTGGCAACATTGGTAGATAAAATGTTTGGTATTGCAGTCGACCCCGGGCACGGAGGGCGGCGCCCCCGCAGCGAGCAGCGCCAACGCGACGTCGGCGCCCCCGGCGGCCGGCGCGCCCCCCGCCCCCGCCGCGCCCCCCGCGCTGCAGGCCGCGCCCCCGCGCGCCTCGCCCCCGCCCGACGCCGCGCCCCCGCACGCATACACCAACAACACCAACAACATGGTAACACACTACAACATGCTCCGTCACCCATGGACCGTCTCGACCTAATACAGAGGCCTTACAATACTGGCTTAAAACAATATATACTCCTGTGCGTCTCGCCATGTGGATGAAGTTACCGGAGACCCAATTCTTTCACTCTATTGATCAATGATTGTTTCTTATAAAAAATATAATTTAAATATAAATTGTAACTACTTCAAGAAGACAAACTGTTACATGCCATTTTATATTTCTACACCGGTAACAGTAGTATAATTAATATAGTTCCACATGAACTATATTAATGTTAAGATCTGTGTGCACCATGTACTAAGAAATAAATGATATTCTATTCTATTCTATCACAATCACACTTTTATATATCGGATAGGATAAAACAGGGCGACTAGAATTCGAGGGGGTAAATAGACGCAGAAGCCGGATGAATAGATACAAGAAAAATTCGCCAACATCATTCACCCCTTTTGTGTACCTATTAACCTGTCAAATTCTATTCACTCCGTTTTACGGTACGATCTTTATTGTTTCCGAAGTCCATGGGAGGAACAGATTTACCATCAGATAATACCTTAGCTCGTTTGCCGCTTTCTGCTATTAAATCTTAAACTAAAAATCCTTAATTCTGACTTGCAGCTAAACGAGAATATGTCAGTAGTGGAGCCCACGCCAGTCAGTGTACCGGCGCCCACAACTGAACCCGCAGTCACAAACACTAATTGTAAGTTTCTTCATTTGTATTAAAGAACTGATTCATTCATAATGCCGCTACATACTACAGAGATTTAAATAAAGGATGGAATTATTTTGAAGTTATGATCTCTTATTCATAAAGTTTATTTTGAATTTATATGAAGGTGATTTAACATACTCTGATATTAGGTCTAAAGCCGTTCTAGGATATGTTTTATTTGACATTACATGCAATCAAATTATAGTCTCATTTATAGATTTTACTAAAATCTATTTATTAGTTAATTTTCAATGTTAATCTCTTATTAAGTCCTTAGGATATTGGAGATCTTGGTTCTAAAAGTATTTTATTTGATAAGTATAAAATACTTATTCGAATTCTAAATGGTAAAGTGTGACATTAGTCGTTAGTTACTAGACCGTCAGGACGTAAGTGCAATATTTTGAAATGAATGTATGTAAATGTGTGTTTATGTACTTCCAGCGACACTAGAGGGCGCCCTGTCGGCGACGATGAAGCAGCTCGCGGTCAGCGACACCGCCACCCACCCACACCACCACCCCCACCCCGCCACACACCACAGGCCCAAGGTATGCACCACTACCTACTTACTGTCCGTCACCCACACCACCACCCCCACCCCGCCACACACCACAGGCCCAAGGTATGCACCACTACCTACTTACTGTCCGTCACCCACACCACCACCCCCACCCCGCCACACACCACAGGCCCAAGGTATGCACCACTACCTACTTACTGTCCGTCACCCACACCACCACCCCCACCCCGCCACACACCACAGGCCCAAGGTATGCACCACTACCTACTTACTGTCCGTCACCCACACCACCACCCCCACCCCGCCACACACCACAGGCCCAAGGTATGCACCACTACCTACTTACTGTCCGTCACCCACACCACCACCCCCACCCCGCCACACACCACAGGCCCAAGGTATGCACCACTACCTACTTACTGTCCGTCACCCACACCACCACCCCCACCCCGCCACACACCACAGGCCCAAGGTATGCACCACTACCTACTTACTGTCCGTCACCCACACCACCACCCCCACCCCGCCACACACCACAGGCCCAAGGTATGCACCACTACCTACTTACTGTCCGTCACCCACACCACCACCCCCACCCCGCCACACACCACAGGCCCAAGGTATGCACCACTACCTACTTTCTGTCCGTCACCCACACCACCACCCCCACCCCGCCACACACCACAGGCCCAAGGTATGCACCACTACCTACTTACTGTCCGTCACCCACACCACCACCCCCACCCCGCCACACACCACAGGCCCAAGGTATGCACCACTACCTACTTTCTGTCCGTCACCCACACCACCACCCCCACCCCGCCACACACCACAGGCCCAAGGTATGCACCACTACCTACTTTCTGTCCGTCACCCACACCACCACCCCCACCCCGCCACACACCACAGGCCCAAGGTATGCACCACTACCTACTTACTGTCCGTCACCCACACCACCACCCCCACCCCGCCACACACCACAGGCCCAAGGTATGCACCACTACCTACTTTCTGTCCGTCACCCACACCACCACCCCCACCCCGCCACACACCACAGGCCCAAGGTATGCACCACTACCTACTTTCTGTCCGTCACCCACACCACCACCCCCACCCCGCCACACACCACAGGCCCAAGGTATGCACCACTACCTACTTTCTGTCCGTCACCCACACCACCACCCCCACCCCGCCACACACCACAGGCCCAAGGTATGCACCACTACCTACTTACTGTCCGTCACCCACACCACCACCCCCACCCCGCCACACACCACAGGCCCAAGGTATGCACCACTACCTACTTTCTGTCCGTCACCCACACCACCACCCCCACCCCGCCACACACCACAGACCCACACAGCTTGACCAGCTTTCAGTCTAAGTCACTGAAGGAAATGTCTATGACAAAGACCACAGATAAGATAGCTTGGAATATGTTAAATAATTACATAAAATGTATGTATACACATACTAATAGTAGCTATGCAGGAAATATAGGTAACAATGTAACTTTATAAGGTAAGTATAGGACGCGCCGCGCGTTCAGTGTCAGCGCTTTTATGGCGGGCATGTCTTCTATACCTGCATAACTGAATTCTGATTCAATCTTTTTTTTCGTATCTGTATATTTAATTATTCGCAGCTTAGAATAATTACACCTAGAACGAACGGTCCGTCAAAATTGAAGCAAGATTCCAATATAAGGGTGCGTAAGATTTTTTCACTTAAGGATGAGGTAACGCACACATTAAAAAAAAAATGCTGCCGTTACTTTCAACGTTTCTCATAAGTAGGGAAATTGTAACATTTATACGGCTAACACTCGGTTTCCGAAAGGCCGATCAATGTTAAAATCAATTTAATTTCTTGTCAAGTCATGTGATTGGTTAACTGAACTTGGTGGTCAACCAATCAGACGACTTGACCAGAGATTTGACATCTAGTTAGTTGATTTGAACATTAATCGGGCTTTCGGAAACCAGGCATAATTAAGGCCGCGTACTTGTATGTTTTTGTTTAATAAATAACAATTAAATGTCTTGTCTCTGGTGAAAAAGTTCGATATGTCATAAGTTATAAATTTTAAATTATATGGAATTTGAAAGAAAAATGCCTATACCTACCTAAAGCACAGTGATATCTGTGCATTGCGCAATTCGTCATTATTAATAAGAATATCATTATTAATATATATTAGTATCGGGAGTAGTTTTCAACTACTCCCGATACTAATAATACAGACATGATACGACATGATTTTGAGCACTGACAGGCTGTGTCATAAATTTATTAATCGTCATAATTTATATTCCATAATGGTAAGGTTTGAGTTTCACTTTGACGATGCGTACTCGCGTTTCTAGGTGTTCTTTTCTTTCATTCTTGTAAGCTTCTGTCGAATTTAGTGTACAGTATGGCCGACGTATCTTGGCGAGTCTGAAGTTAGCCGTTTGTCTGCGCAATGGATGTGTTAAGAATAAAATAGTGTACTGCGCAGCTAATGGGCTAAGTTGAGACTCGGCGCGATACGTTGGCGGTATTGTATAGTGAGTCCCCCCTTGCAGTCGGTGGGCCAGCAGACGGTGTACGCTCACCACGCAGTGTCGCACCACCCGCCCGTCTACGGCGCCAATGTTTACGCGCCACAGGTAACTATACTACGCATTTATTATTATATTCTTCTAATATTTGCTTTGTAATTTATATGCTATATGACTGTGTACAAGTATTATTTTCAATAACATATGATCATTTCCAAAGAGTTTGCATTAAAACATACTTGATTTTTTATTGTTGTTGTTACAGTTTTGAAACTTGGTATATTTTATAAGGCAATTACAAGTGGTAACAATTAACATGATACGATGTTTTATAAAGTACACTATTTAAGATAATCATATTATAAGTAAAAAGGCGTAGATAGGTTACAAGCGCTCAGCAAGTGATGCCTTAAAGTGTGGCTAACTAGCCACACTTTCAAATTTGTCTCTTTTTCACTCGCGATTATTCAATCATGCCATCCCACTTTAATGTGTATCATACGATTTATTCATGTGTGTATTCGCTGTGTGCACGATGACAGCGCCACTAGTGGCCACAACTATTCAGGACTTGTCATCTGTCAAATCATGTCAACTAGATGCTAAGATATTGATTTTCGACTAATTTTTCAACGAAATTGAAAAAAATAGTGTAAAAAGTGAGTGTGTATATTACATCTAGCGATTTTCATCCTCGTGAAAAATATGGATATTATAATACGTACGGGATTTGAATTTTAATTCTCTTCACAACAGCTATCCATTTTAGTCTTTGTTGTAATGTCCACTTTGATGTTGAAAACGAATAAAACTTGCACGAACTGTTTTTCCCATTGCTTTTACAATTTACGACACAGCATGTACTATGACACATATCGCAATTTTTTACGTTTTTACTTAAAATTATAAAGGAAGTTATGAAAATAATTTTTCACGTGACAGTCCAGAATTAATTCACATTTCTGCCACGTCGTGCGCTACGATCGATTTGCCATTCCCCACCACCTACTTCGCACATAGCGAATAAGTGTAGCATTTTTGAAAATCGAGTGTTGTTTATATAACCTATCTATACCATGTTACTTATAATAACATTGATTTGAGATTGATCCTGGTGGGATCACACATTGATTGTATTTAGTTGTCATTTGTCTTTACTGTGTAATACAGAAAGTTACCGTAAGTACCGAGAGGTTTTGGTATAATGATCTGAAGTATTAAGTATTGTACGCCCCCCTGCAGCAGGTGAGTTCGACGGTGGGAGTGTCGGCGCTGTCCCAGTACCAGCCGCTGCTGTCGTCGTACGTGACGTCCCCGTCGGCCGCGCCCTACGCCGCCTCCGCGCTCTACACGCCCGCGCCATACGCGCCATACACGCCCGCCATGGCCAAGCAGCCCGCCAAGGACAATGCACAGGTACGTGACGTCCCCGTCGGCCGCGCCCTACGCCGCCTCCGCGCTCTACACGCCCGCGCCATACGCGCCATACACGCCCGCCATGGCCAAGCAGCCCGCCAAGGACAATGCACAGGTACGTGACGTCCCCGTCGGCCGCGCCCTACGCCGCCTCCGCGCTCTACACGCCCGCGCCATACGCGCCATACACGCCCGCCATGGCCAAGCAGCCCGCCAAGGACAATGCACAGGTACGTGACGTCCCCGTCGGCCGCGCCCTACGCCGCCTCCGCGCTCTACACGCCCGCGCCATACGCGCCATACACGCCCGCCATGGCCAAGCAGCCCGCCAAGGACAATGCACAGGTACGTGACGTCCCCGTCGGCCGCGCCCTACGCCGCCTCCGCGCTCTACACGCCCGCGCCATACGCGCCATACACGCCCGCCATGGCCAAGCAGCCCGCCAAGGACAATGCACAGGTACGTGACGTCCCCGTCGGCCGCGCCCTACGCCGCCTCCGCGCTCTACACGCCCGCGCCATACGCGCCATACACGCCCGCCATGGCCAAGCAGCCCGCCAAGGACAATGCACAGGTACGTGACGTCCCCGTCGGCCGCGCCCTACGCCGCCTCCGCGCTCTACACGCCCGCGCCATACGCGCCATACACGCCCGCCATGGCCAAGCAGCCCGCCAAGGACAATGCACAGGTACGTGACGTCCCCGTCGGCCGCGCCCTACGCCGCCTCCGCGCTCTACACGCCCGCGCCATACGCGCCATACACGCCCGCCATGGCCAAGCAGCCCGCCAAGGACAATGCACAGGTACGTGACGTCCCCGTCGGCCGCGCCCTACGCCGCCTCCGCGCTCTACACGCCCGCGCCATACGCGCCATACACGCCCGCCATGGCCAAGCAGCCCGCCAAGGACAATGCACAGGTACGTGACGTCCCCGTCGGCCGCGCCCTACGCCGCCTCCGCGCTCTACACGCCCGCGCCATACGCGCCATACACGCCCGCCATGGCCAAGCAGCCCGCCAAGGACAATGCACAGGTACGTGACGTCCCCGTCGGCCGCGCCCTACGCCGCCTCCGCGCTCTACACGCCCGCGCCATACGCGCCATACACGCCCGCCATGGCCAAGCAGCCCGCCAAGGACAATGCACAGGTACGTGACGTCCCCGTCGGCCGCGCCCTACGCCGCCTCCGCGCTCTACACGCCCGCGCCATACGCGCCATACACGCCCGCCATGGCCAAGCAGCCCGCCAAGGACAATGCACAGGTACGTGACGTCCCCGTCGGCCGCGCCCTACGCCGCCTCCGCGCTCTACACGCCCGCGCCATACGCGCCATACACGCCCGCCATGGCCAAGCAGCCCGCCAAGGACAATGCACAGGTACGTGACGTCCCCGTCGGCCGCGCCCTACGCGCCCTAATGGTAAGCAATCAGGGCTGCCCGTAGACACAAGTGTCTACGGTCTACATCATGCTCCATACATACATGCTCCATCGTAGGTCACACACTAGGTGTGATACCGGACAAATTCCCTAAAAACCAGCCCATTATGAAATATATAAAAAGAAAGAGCACCTTCCGTTATAAACGTATCATTCGGACTAAAGCAAATTCACACTAAATGCAAGCTCAATGAGGCACCCCGGCCTTGGCCTCGAGCAGGAGAAGGAACGGGGGGTTTTTAATAAGTTAGTCCACCGCTGCCATAGTAATTATACGATACCCTTATCCCCAATAGGCTGGCAACGCACCGGCGTGTAATTTTGATTAATACATGATTTTTTAACTAATAATTTAATGATGTTATCTTATTGTTTCAGTATGAAAGCTCAGTAGCGTCAAGTAATAGTTTAACTAGTACGACGACGCAAACACAGACTTCCACAGCAAAAGTAGCAACTACTACAGGTAATGTATTACTCTTGTTTATTGTTTACTAGCCTCCGCCCGCGTGTCCGCCCGCGTATGTAATAGTATGTATGTCTATTAGGCGCGGTGGCTGGACAAGTGGCTGCCGCGCAACGTATCGCGGGTTGGATTCCTGCACGATCGAACAACTCTGTGTGATCGAGTCTGCGACTTGATTTTATACTATGTAGTGATATGGATAAAATGGAAAACTATTTTTTTTTTGTTGGTTTTTCTCGATGAAACTTAAAAAAATATTAAAATCTAGCAAACCCGGCGACCTCCGTTTTGCCGGCTTTTCTGTTGAAGTTTTTCCTGAATCTTCTTTACTATAAACATCATAGAGCCCTTTCCAACGAATGCAACACCGTGGAAATCGGTTCGTGCGTTCTGGAGTTATAGCGAGCGTCAGAAAGGAAAATCCGACTTATTTTTACATAGTAGATATGTTGTGATAAAACTGTTTACAAAAATATAAGTTATATTTTTATTTTCTTTCAGTCGCAGGCCATGGGTCATCAGGTTACGCGTCAGGTGCGTTATATGGTGCGGGGGCGACGCCCTACGCGCCCTACGATGACCAAATCATGCGCTCGAGTCTACCACATCATATGGTACTGTATTTGTTATACATTTTTATATTTTTCATTCTCTAAGCAGCGTACTTTCTGCGCTGACTAGAGGGCGCCTGTGTGATTTTAAGTCCTGTTAAACATAAGGCTTGTTATTGAACCGGATTAGAAATAGTATCTCTTTATAAATTTCTTATGAGAGCCGTTTATTTTAAAGTTTAAATTGATGTGTAAATAATGATGTCTCAAAGAATTCTAGAATGCTTGAACAACAATATCTTCACAATAGTAGTTGGACATTCTTTATTTTTAATTTTACCCTTTAAGCATCATGAAAAGAGTTCGTAATCACGAAGTATGTTCGTAATATTGCAGGGTGGCTACTACGAGGTAGGGTACGGCGGCCGGGACGCGACGTTTGGGCTCAGCGCTGGCGAGCGATTCGGACGGACCGACGCGGCCTCGCCGCAACAGGTACTCCACTGCTTATCTACTAACGTTATGACGGGAAACTCAAGCTTTTTTGATTTAATCATATACAATACAAGTATTGTTACGGAAAATACAATAAAAATAACACGAAGGTGGGAAAGGCAAGTGCGGGAAAGCCAAGCTTGGGCAAAAATGTTTCGGCTAGACCGGAATAATACTACGGCCTTACAGAAAACCGGCGTGAAATAATCGCTATTGTGTTTTGCTTTAAGTAATACACTAAGCTGTAAGTAAGGAGTCGGGTAACCGGAGGCTCTTTCCCGCTCCTCAATCCCTAAATTATTGAAACTATTAGCCCCAAAAGCCCCAAAGTAGTATGTAACTTCTTTGGTATACTTGACTGTTTATCATCAGGTAATCCGCCTGTTCGTTTGCCGACATATCCAGTGAACCACCACAACTTGAAAGCTTCAGTTTCCCGTCTATGCGTATGTTGACTTTACTCTGGCCATAAAGATGTTTTGAGGAACCTAGCACAAGCTAAAAATGGTATAACAGAATTTAAGTTATACATATGACGCTTAATAGACAAACTGCTAACCTATAGTTAAGCTTATTTATTATAGTAATATTTTGCCAAAGTAAAGTCAATATACCGCTAAAATATCTTTACAAAACTAACAAACGTATGTATAGCTTATATACATCTACACTGTCATACATAACATTATGTAGCGAACGACTTTTAAAATATACATTAATTATATGAAACTTGAAGTTTGTAAGGTGGAACAGATATTTCTTAAATGGTTCATTAGAGAAAATTTATGTGACTTACACCCGGTTTCCGAAAGGCCGATCAATGTTAAAATCAATTTAATCTCTCGTCAAGTAATCTGATTGGTTGACTGAATTGTCATCAACCAATCAGATGACTTGACAAGAGATTTAACAGGAGATTAGTTAATTTTAGCGTTGACAAGCCTTTCAGAAACCGGGTGTTAGTTTCTTAAATGTATTCATTATCATTGTGTATGTATGTATGATCATTATGTAAGTTCTGACTAATTTTAATAATATTACAGTCATTTTCAATATGATGCATGTCAATTTTCATTGTAAATAACGACTTACGTTAGTTAAATGAGAGAAGCTCTAAGTTTCCAAGTTAGAGCTTAAGCAACTTAGAGCTTAAAGCAAATAAATCTATTACTTAATTTGGCCTAATGTAGAGTTTTACCATGACGGGAATTTTGAAATTCTCTCTAGTTGCTATGTACAGACTAAATGCTGAAATTAATGACAGATTTAAATGTAATAAATTTGAATTTCGGTCCATTTTTTAACACGACTGGCAGACTAAAGAGCAATTCAACGCTTCAAAAGTATTTTATATAAATATTGAGTGATATAAATGTTTTGACGAGCTGTCGAGCCGGTTTTCAATTTCTGGTGAATTTTATATTAGAATTGATTATAAATATCGGCCGTCTCATTAGCGATTTCGAACATTATTTATTACTTTTTTTTGGTCGGAATTTTTCAGATATTTATTATTGTTGTAATGTCTGTTCAACCTTACATACGGCACGCTGGCACTAGAATAATTTTAAATAAGTATAAGTAAGCCTACCCCTAAGTACAAGTAGTGGTGAATTCTAGTAGTAACTAGACGCGGCTGACCATTTTGCAGGGGGCCGCCGCCTGAGCCGCTCAGCGCTCCCAGTAAGTACAGACACTCAGACCGCGACCACCGCCACGCTATACCTCGCGCGCCAGTGGACTATGTTCACGGTTTCAGACATTAAGGCCGCTATCCCACTCGACGGTTTACTAGCGTCGACGTCAACGTCGCGTCAGCGCAACGTCGACGCCGCGCTGACGCGACGTTATCACCGCGTCCTTGCGTGGCACGCACTAAACGCGCGCTGAACGCGAAGTCAACGTCACGATAATTCAAATCAATACATTGTACAAGAAAATAACGAATGCCTGGCTAATATTTTAATTTAATCTACCACACGGATGATAAAAAAGGTAGAACTCGGTAGAAACGATACTTTTCTATGACATTTGTATGAAAAACTGAGTTATGACGTCATAGCATCTTGGCGTCAAACAGCTTACTAATTTCTTAATAATTAATTAAGTTAAAAAAATCTTAAACTTAGTATATCGATAGATCGATGAATACAAGTATAGTTATTATTCAATATTTTATATTATTGAGACGTTGAATTAATTTATTTTTGACCTAGGAAACTACCCAATTGTAACACACGAGTATGCACTATACTCTTTCGGAAATTAATCGTGGTGGGGTTAGTTCGCGCATTGTGTGTTTTTTATGCGTCAGCCGGATTGCGGCTGTAAGCGCAATATTGTACCACGCTTTCAGAGTGTAGCTAGAGAAAAAAAGGGCTAAAAAGGTAATAGTATGACTCTCGCTGGCGCCCCACACTGAGCGGGATAATTTCATATTACTTTTCATTTTTTCATAGTTATAGTTTATTATTAAGTTTTAAACATGTTTATTAGGAAGTAAATTACCTTACGAATAAGGAAATTATTTTTATTATAACTGACTGAAAGATATAATGTGAAAACACGCAATGCGCTAAGTTTTATTATTAAATTTGAATATATTGTTGTACTGTGTCTGAACTTTCGGTTTCATACATTCGTCAGTACGCGACTGGACATTACACGAGCGTTATTCTAATGAAACCGATCGGCATCTAGCACGTCGCGTAAGCTAGTATAATCCACCATTAGAATAATGTATGTAAGTATGACAGTATAATGATTGTAAATGTTTTGCGTCGTAGGTCCCCGCGGCGGCGCTGCCCCCCGGCTACGCGTACTTCGCGTACCAGCCTCCGCCCACCACGTACCAGTACGGAGTCTACCCCACTGTGAGTATCTTAATAAATATGATTATAGCCACGCTTCGGAAGGATGGGTCGACTTGACCGGAGTGATACCACTGCCTCACAGAAAACCGTCAGCAAAACTTACGTTGTGTTTCGCCGTGTGAGTGAGGTTACTAGAGCTCTGGAACTCCCAGTTACCCCCATCCCCCATCCCCCTCCTATCCTCAATCCTTAAATCCCCAATAATCCTCAAGAGGACGGCAGCGGACTTGAAGTAACTCCTCCCTAGTACTACGAGTGTCAATGGATGCGGCGCTTATTGCTTACCATCAGGTAATATGTCTGCTCGACATCTGAATAACGATTAAAAGGAATTGAAAAAAAAAACTACCGAACCTGCTGACTGTTCCACGGTTGTATGGGAGCTCCTCTCAAATGTTTTTAGCATTTTTTGTTATAGCAGTTATACGTCATTAGAAAGTTCAACTTCTATCTATTACGGTTCATGAGATAAAACCGGACAGGCGGACGAATGGATGTACAACAGATTCTTAGTAATAAATAGGCTTCTCGTTATAAATAAATCTTTTGGTACAGAACCCTACTAAGAAAATAGTCTGAAACCTCCGATTAGATTCCGGAATTGGGAAGTTTAATTAAATCATGTAATCCGGAACGAACAATGAGGATTTGCTGCTATTGCTACAGGACTTTTAACACTTAGCATTCCTTTCTCCTCTTTTGGAATAAACAATCATATTTTTTAAGTTGTCCGAATATGTATGGTCACCTGGTAGGGTGACCGCTTAAACTAGGTCAATCGTAAGCTTTGTTACCGCCAGTAGTAGTATAATAATAGTAGCTTCTTTCTACATACGGTCTGCCTTGCGTTATCCCGAAAAGTTGCCAGTTGCCTATTTTTATTCCCGACTGTCATCTATCTTCGATCCGATTTTCATTAAATAACATTTAGTAGTTTTTATGTGGAAGAGAGAACAAACCAAACTTTCAGTTTCGCATTTATAATAGTAAATGTAATGTTTCCAGTACGGCGGTGGATCTAACGTGGGCGGAGTAGGCGGAGTTGGCGGAGTCGGTGGAGTCGGCGGAGTGTCGGGGCAAGGCAAGGTCTCCACATACACGCAACAACAACCCTACGACGCGCAGGACTCATACAAACCTGGTCAGTAATTGTTAACTGATATTGACATTCTTAATTTAACTTTGACGGCACGGTGGCTGGGCAACCAGTCGCGGGTTCGATTCCCGCATGGAACAACTCTATGTGTGATCCACAAATTGTTGTTCCGGGTCTGGGTGTCATGTGTATGAACGTGAAATATTGTATGTTTGTAAACACACCCGTTTTTCACAACAAAGAAAGACATGGAATCGAAGTGACGAAGTCCAGTTCAAATTGCAAGCGCTTGGACGCATGTACATTAAAGCTCTCTCTAGATTAATTAAATGTAAGCAATGTTAATTTAAATATTACAGTTTTGAACTATAGATAAATACTTTTTCATTTTTAATGCACTCAATTTGTCCATTATTTTAAATTGTATATTCATATGTGGAAACTGATATGGATCATGGATTATTATTATTGTAGAAGTTTATGTAGTATTGTATCGGTTTGTTGCCCAAATATAATAAAAAAAAAAAAAAAATTACCTCTGTCCCAGCCCAGAGCAGAAAGCACGGGATATTTTTAGTGAGCCCTCACGCGATAAGCGAAAGAGAGACCTCTGTTTTTGTATTTTTTTTTTATAAGTTTAAGACAGTTTGAAGAGTGAATGACCGATAAGTTGTTGGTACAGGAGGCCCGTACAGCGGCACGGCCAGCAAGTCGGCGGGCGGCGCGGCCGCGGACCTCACTAACGCCATGTACGCCAAGACACACGTCGCGCTCAACAAGGTCAATGTGAGTACCGCACTACTACACTACACCACCTTACCCCACCCTTCCATTCCCAATGCCCTCAAATCTTAAATCTCTTACACCTAAGGCCGGTAACGCAATTTCAACAATGGTGTTGCGTGTGTCCATGGGCTGAGCTGATTGCTTACTAAAAAGTGATAAGCCTTTTGCCGACTATTCCTATTACAAAACGTCTTTAATTAGCTTTAGCGAAAACAGAGTAATGTTGCCATTATTCACGCCTAGCCTAGGGTAATCGCTCCCAAGGAGGTCGACTTAATTAATTATTAACATCTTAACTCGTCGATAATCACACTTTAATAAGTTGATATTACGATATAGGTATGATTTCTACCATACTTATTCAATGTACAGTAAAACGGGCTAAATATAATTTTATGGGTGAAGAGAGGCAGAACAAACATATTAGAAAAAAATCCTAACATTTTTACACATTTTCTCTATGTATTTATTTACCTTGTATTGTGCAATTGTTTTCGGACCATGATCGTTACTAAATAATTGTTTAAGTAATCATTAAATTGGTAGTAACATTATGGCCTAATAGAGCGCAATAATTTACCGCGGCCCCCAGCTCGGACCAGGCGACAGTGCGACCAGGCAAAGTGGATTTTATTAATTTTATTAAGCGATAGTCTGAAACTCCCTCTCGCCACGCCATCTCCTAAGATGCGCAATGTATCCATAAATGTGGGTCCGGTGTAAGCAAAATAAATAAAAAAACAATATGATACATTCTTATTCCCTGTGTTAGGTAGTAGTTATTTCTGTGGTAGTAAGTTGTTAAATCAACGAAAAAAGTATAATTTAAAAGACACTGACGTTAGTTTTTCGACGGTGAAGTGTCAAAATACCTTTTTGCTCACGGAACATTAATTGTTGTAAGTTTGGGTGTGATGTGTAAAAGATATTTCAACAACTACAGAGGAGAAAATCCAATGGTCTATGTGTTTAGATAGTAAACTAAATGTAAACAGTGTTAGCGAATCTTTTATCTAAAAAAGTTTACAATTACGTATCTAACTAAATAGATGTTAAATAATCTATTTAAATTATCTTCGCATCTATTTGAAGGCACTGGGGGGTTGGTACAAACATCCCGATCATCGTCATCACGGTCCATCGCAGGACGTAGCATTTTATAATCAGACCGCATAAATTACAAAACGGACGTCGGCGATCCGTCTCTTATGACAGCCTTGCTCACTCTAAACCATAATGCGACATGCGACAGAGAAAGTGACTTTGTTTGAGACTTTGTAGTGAGTTCTATGCCTTGAATAAAGAACGGAGGTAGACCGGACAGCGGCACTCTCTGATAAACCTGAACCTTTTAAACTGCAATCTCCATCATTCTTAGCAAGAGTTTCTGGAAACTTCTCTTATGTAGAGACCTATAACCCAGTAGAAGGTTGAAAGTGGCTTTTTTTCGTGGTAAAGGTCAGCAAATACATTTCGCGGTGGCCCAGAGATTAAGGCCCGCTTCTCATGAGGGTTCGAAACCTGACAAGCTCCAATGTGACTTTCCATGTATATGTACTTTCTATAATTATTTGAACACCATTGACATACGGTGTAAGAGAAGATCGTGAGGAAACCTGGATTTACAATTTCTAATTATAAGTTTGAAGTCGCCAATCGGTCTTGAGCAAGTGTGGTGATTAATGCTCAAACCTTTACCGTGTGAGCAGAGACCTTTGCTCAGCAGTGGGCATTTATAGGCTGATGATGATGAGGTCGGCAAACTAGCTGACAGATCACCTGATGGTACTCAATCGGCGCCGCCCATGACGAACATTCGCAATACCTAATGAGTTTTAATTGCGTTTCGCAAACCGCTGTGGTGTGAGTATATGCATGTTAGTGTGTAAGTATGTGTAAGATTATAGTAAGCATCATTATTGTGGAAAGTACTCAGTAATAAATGGATCGTGACGCTAAACAGTAGTTTGTCATTTGACACCCCTTAGTCCCGAGATACTACATGGCGACCCTGCCAGTGCGCGTTAAATAATAACTATGGGGAAACAATGCTCGAAATGTGCCTGTGAGAACAAAGAAGTTATCATAAATCAACACGGTGGTGGAGAAGCAAGTGCGACTGCTGATGCGTCCACGCACTTACAGACCAACAATATTATATTTTCTGTTTTCCTGGCAATCGTTGCTGCGTTTATTCTGTACATACTATTCAAGCAGTACAGAAACTGTCACTTGGCTATGGTGCAGAACCAGCTCAGAGAGGATGCATTCCGGCGGATCAGGATGAGGCTGTCTGGAGCACGGAGGAGTCAGAACGAGAGAGACGGTGATCAGGAAGCAGGACCTCGGGACATGTAATGACTTCGACTTCGGTTCGCATCAATTTTTTTTTTCTCTTTCTATTGTTTCTTTAGTAGTAATTAAGTCACATGTTCGACTACGTATATATTTTAGTTTTAAATGTGTTAAGTTAGAAATGTAATAAGCATCTAAACATTTTACAGTTATCAGATGGCTAATGATTTAATATCTATCTTAAACGAACTTGAAAAGATAAAGGTATCTTTAAGAAAGTTGGGTCCCAGTAAGCGGGAACTGAATGTTAATTACATTAAAAGAAAATTTTTAGATGCAGAAAAATTATATAGTGAAAATAAAACTCTTTGTAAGTTAATTTTAGAGGAAAAGTTGTTTACTAAAGAATTTACGGAGATATTTTTCTTAGATATAATAAGTAGGATAGAAGATACATTTAGCAAAATAAAAACTTATTGTGTAAGTTCCGAACAGACTACTAAAATGGAGAAATTTAATTTGAAAACTGCCGCTAGTTTAGTGCCGGTTATGGACAGTACAGAGGAAAGCGTTGAAAAAATTATCGATAGCGTAGAACTATATGATTGTTGTCTCACGGAGACCAGTTGCAAAAAATTACTTGCTTCTTTTGTATTAAAAACTAGGTTAACTAAAACCGCCAAACTTAAACTTAAGCGAGATTACGATTCTTGCACGGATTTGATTAAGGATATGAAGTTGTTTTTATTAACAAAGAAATCTTCTAATTCTTTAATGACTCAACTAAATAGTATACGCCAAAATGACTTGTCAATTGCGGATTTTGGTTCTAAGCTCGAAGAACTCTTTACTGATTTAACTATATCGCAAGCTAAATCGAATAATGAAGCGTTTGAAATTTTACGACCTATTAATGAGGAACTGGCAGTTAAGAAATTTGCCGACGGGTTACGTAACAGGAGGTTAAGCACTATTATTGCAGCACGCAATTACACCGACCTGAAGGACGCGGTGCGAGCAGCCCTGGACGAGGAGTTATCTCAACCCCAACCAACGACCTCAAACTCGATCCTAAATATTCGAGGTAAGTCACATACATTACAATTGCGTGGCCGGGGAAATTATCATTTTAGATCCCAATCGGGTTTTCGCGGTAATTTCAGCCAGAATAGAGGTAACAATAATTCTTATGCTAACAGGAATCGTACATTTCAGTACAATAATTTCGCATTTCGTGGAAGACAATCTCGTGGTTTTCGCACGCGACCAAATCGCGGTCGAGTTGTTTACAATAGTAGAGGCCAACAACAAATAAACGTTGCAAAAACGGATACAACTAAATCTGAGGGTACGGAAGGTTCGACTGATAATCAGGAAAATAATAATAATCAGTTTTTTCGATCCCAACAGTCCTAATATTTTAACATGTGACGTAAGCAGTGCTAATTATGTAACATTATATTTAAACGAGAACAGGTGTTCGTGGCTTTTAGATACGGGTGCGACCTTATCAGCCGTGAGTAGCTCTGTATTAGGAGATCAATTACATGTTTATGAAGATAGGATTACTATAAACGGGATAGGCGGAAAGTGTTCTTCAAAAGGTTATGTTTATCTTACTTTAAGAACTGTTGACAATTTTACTTTCCAACATAAGTTTTATGTATTTGAAAAATTACCTTGTAAGTCAGAAGGTATTTTGGGACAAGATTTCTTAGATCAATTTAGTTCAATTACTTTTGACTTAGAAAAATCTTTATTAAAACTCACTGTTGGTGACAAAAAAATATTTTTGCCGTTATATAGAATACCTCAAATAAGTAATTCATCGTTACATATACCAGCTCGTTGCGAATCTATTCATTATATAAAATTAGATTCAGATATAACACAAGACTGTGTTATACTACCAAAACAATTACATACAGATGTATTATTGGCAAGCTTAATAGTTAGACCTCAAAATAAAATTATTCCTATTCGAATACTTAATTCTAGCGATAAAAATATTACTTTACCTATTTTTAAACCAGAGTTAGATTTGCTAAGCAACTATGAAATTTGCGCATTTGAGAAATGTGAGTCCGGTTCCCAGCGCGCTAAGTTATTGTTATCGTTATTGAAATTGGATCATTTAGATTCTACGGAAAGACAAACAATAGAATCCATTTGTGTAAAGTACGCCGATGTATTCCAATTACCATGGGAAAAATTAACTACTACACCGATATGTGAACAGTCTATCGCCTTGAAACCTGATTCTAAACCTATTTATACTAAACCTTATCGTATACCTTTTAGTCAGAAAACTGAAGTTGAAAAGCAAATCAAAAAAATGTTACAAGATGATATTATTGAAAAATCGCAAAGTGAATGGTCTAGTCCTATTCTTTTAGTTCCCAAAAAGACAGATGGTGAGAACAAAAGTTGGAGGTTGGTTGTGGATTATCGTAAGCTAAATTCAACTATACAGGACGATAAGTTTCCACTTCCAAATATTACCGAAATATTGGACTCGCTATCAGGTGCTGTTTACTACACACATTTAGATTTATCTCAAAGTTATTATCAGGTGCGACTAACGTCAAAAGATGATAGTCGTAAAATTACAGCATTTACGACTAATACTGGCCAATACCAAATGAAAAGACTACCTATGGGTTTGAAAATAAGCCCTAGTGCTTTTTCACGGGTCATGACTGTTGCAATGTCCGGCCTTACGTTTGATAAATGTATTATTTATTGCGATGACCTTGTTGTTTTTGGACGTAATATATCACAACATAATAAAAACTTAATTGATGTCCTTGAGAGGTTAAGATTAGTCAATTTGAAATTAAACCCCAACAAGTGTCAATTTTTAAAAACGGAAATGTTATATCTCGGTCATACGATATCTAAGGATGGTGTTTTGCCAGATCCTGATAAAATTAGAGTAATTAAAAATTATCCTTTGCCAAAAAATTCTGACGAAGTTAGGCGATTTGTAGCATTTAGTAATTACTATAGAAAGTTCATTAAAAATTTTGCGGAGATAACAGAGCCACTAAATAAACTTTGTCGGAAGAATGTACCCTTTGTATGGACTGAAAATTGTGATCAGTCATTTCAATTTCTAAAACAAGCTTTATCATCGCCGCCTATACTTCAATATCCAGACTTTTCACCTAACAGCGAATTTATTTTGCAAACTGACGCCTCAGGTATTGCGATAAGTGCAATTCTTTGTAATAAAGATTTGCGCCCAGTAGCTTACGCAAGTCGACCATTAAATAAATCGGAACGTAATTACCCTACTATCCAAAAGGAACTTCTAGCTATCGTTTGGGGTGTAAAATACTTTCGCCCATATTTGTTTGGAAAATCATTTACGATAATGACAGACCACAAACCGTTAGTATATTTATTTGGAATTAAAGATCCTAGTAGTAGACTTTTAAAATTTCGATTGGCTCTTGATGAATACGATTACAAGATAGTTTATGTGCAAGGTAAAAATAATCCTGCAGCGGACGCGTTATCTCGAATAGTAATTACGTCAGAGGATTTGAAAGCGATGAATGAACAAATTATGACTGTTATGACGCGAGCACAAAAGAGGAGAATGGAAGAAAGTGATAGGATTGATATTGGATCCCCCAATGTATGCACAGACGAGCGGCCTGCGCACCCGCAAGTCGTGGAGATATTGAGGATTCCAAATAACTCTGTGGAAATGTTATTAATAGAAGGAGAAAAGTTAAGAAAAATGAGAGATAAACGACTAATTGATGTTGAATGGAAATGTTTTGCATTTAATTCAAAATGTAAGAAAATATACATAAACCTCGATTACAAAAACAATTTCACGCGAGACGTATTTGTGCTGTATTTGAGTGATTTTTGTAAGGATATAAACGTCGACGAAATATGTATTATTAAAAATGAAAGTAATGAAATGTTTATAAAAGACGTCATAAATGAAGTTAAAAATAATGAAAATTACCTAGGCCCTAGGATATGCATTTTAAGAGGTGTTACGAGAATTGATAAGAATGAAGATAAGGAGTTTATTTTAAACGATTTTCATCTACTGCCCACTAGCGGTCACGCAGGGGTACGTAGAATGATAAACAATATAAAAAAATGCTTTTACTGGCCAGGACTAGAGAAAGATGTCCAAAACTATGTTCGAAAATGCCAGAGCTGTCAAAAAATGAAGCACTCAAGGCATACAGTTGAGCCATTGGAAATTACAACTACGGCCACAACTGCCTTTGAAAGAATTTTCTTAGACATAGTTGGTCCTTTAGATAGAGACTTAGACGGGAATGGTTACATTCTCACATTACAGTGCGATTTAAGTAAATTCGTAGAGGCTTATCCTTTACCTAATAAAGAAACGATTACTGTAGCTAAGGCCCTAGTTAATAATTTTATTTTAAGGTTCGGTATACCAAAATGCATTGTCACTGATAGAGGTCAAGAATTTTTATCGTCAACTATGGCAGATGTTTGTAAATTACTCGAAATCGAAAAATTACATAGCACTTCATACCATCATCAAACTTTAGGCTCGATTGAAAATACGCATAAACATTTAGGAGCTTTTCTTCGCATTCAGTGTGATAAGCACCCGGAGGCATGGAGCTACTGGCTCCCCTACTGGTGTTTTTCGTACAATAATACTGTCCATATATCCACTAAATATGCGCCGTATGAATTAGTATTTGGAAAACATTGTGTAATTCCTAGTAGACTAAGTAATAGAGTTGAACCATTGTATAACATAGATAATTACTGTTTAGAATTAAGGTATAGATTACAAGTTGCGCAAAAAGACGCTCGTGAAAATTTGTTATCAGTGAAACAAAACAGAAAAAGTGTGTACGACCAAAAAGTGAACTCAGTGAAATATAATCCATCCGATTTATTATTAGTGAAAAGTGAAACCGGGACTAAGTTACAAGTACTGTATGATGGACCTTATTTAGTATTAGAGGATATTGGACCAAATGTTGTTATATTGAAAAACAATAAACGAGAAATTATTCATAAGAATAGAACTAAGCCGTTTGTAACTAATATTAAGTAGTGTATAGAATTTCTGCGCGCAGTACATTCTTTTCAGTAGATTGTTAGTTTTATTATTAAACTACATGGTTTTGTTTATTCTATATAGTTATAAAAAAAAAAAAAACATTTTGTTTACCAAAAAATTTTTTTTTTCAAATCAACCCCTGTAATGTGGTGTGAGTATATGCATGTTAGTGTGTAAGTATGTGTAAGATTATAGTAAGCATCATTATTGTGGAAAGTACTCAGTAATAAATGGATCGTGACGCTAAACAGTAGTTTGTCATTTGACACCCCTTAGTCCCGAGATACTACACCGCGACAAAATTAAAAGTAATTTAAGTCCGTCCCATAAAGCAAAAAAAACATAAGACATGTATTTTGGCGTATAACAAAACAATACTTAAATAAATTTAAGTTTACTAATCATTTCTTTGAAGGCATTTGTGTCTGAATACATAACACCTTTTTTGGGCAGTCTTGAAAAAATATGTGTCTTATATTTTAACTTAATAAATGGACGGAACATTAATGCAAAGAATTCGTCACCGCCATGTTGTATTTGTGATGTGTGGTGTAGGTGTAAGTGCCCGTATGTAGCATGTTGTGGTTGTATGTTGTAGAGTTACGAGAAGGCGTCGTTCCACAGCGGCACGCCGCCCCCCTTCGGCGGTGCGTCGCATCTCTACATCCCCGCGCCCCCCCATCACCACCCCCACCACCACGCGCCACAGCAGCACCAGGTACCATACACCCGCCACACATACACACACACATGAGATTAAACTTTTTAGAAAAATAACATTGCTTAATCATAAAAAATCGTACGCTACTGACGAATATGAGTCCCGGTGTGACTTGAAACTAGTCGAGCTTCTCTCGAATAGTTTACGTAAGTTAGCTGTTTACAAAATTTTCATTAAATTTAATATCTAAAGATATCGTTACACATCACACACATTAAGTCAGCTATTTTTTTTTATGAATATTTTATGTTTGTCTTTGATACGTACAATACAGAATGTTATAAGAATTGCTTTGAATAAGATTTGCAGAAGCAATTGGATCTTGCATAATTAGATTGCAATGGTTATATTCACATGAGTGCAGCATGTTCACGTGTGATTTTAATAATTTTAGAGCATATATATAGCACCTTTTGACGTTTTTTTTATGAATATAATATCAATCATGTATTTCCTAAAGGTGTATTAATACAGTCGGGATTTTTGCTCAATATTGTACCGCGGAAATGCAACTGAATGGTTTTTAGTAGTAATTAATGATTTTTTTACCTCAACCTGGTGTAATACTGTATTACAATATGTTGAATTCCTATGGCGCGGTTGCTGGGCAACTGGCTACAGTGCAACGTATCGCGGTTTCGATTCCCCTACAGAACAACTATTTGTGTGATCCACAAATTGTTGTTCCGGGTATGGGTGTCATGTATATATGAAATTGTTTGTTTGTAACCGCACCCACGACACAGGAGAAAATATCAATGTAAGGCAACGTTTTTTAAGAAATAAAAAAGCCACAAAGTATATACCAATTCTTCTATTCTCTTATATACCAACTCTTCTATATCTTATAATTCGCTTCAATCATTCTGTCTATTGAAAAAAAAAGCATCGAAACGCGTTGGGTAGTTTTAAAGATTTGTGCATATATACGGATATAGGGACAAACAGTGACTTTATTTTATAATGTAATGATGGTAGAAACCGATCTATTATTGTCACAAAACTCTGAGATAGAGTGAGATAGCGTCAAAATTAACCTTATTCTAATAGATATAGATTGGTTTAATAATTTTAGCTATCTGTCTATATGCATACTGCATATAAAAAATATCTGGGATATCTATTTAATGATTACTCAAACTATTCCTTAATAACGATTTTGTTCTGAAAACATTGCTAAGGGCATGTATGGGATTGCTGGATGGAACAAATGATACTGATAGGTGACTTGAAAAATATTTAAAGGATTTTAAACTCTATAACTACCCGATTAACTTTAGATTTAAATGCTGCTAGCGTTCGCGTATTGTGTTTGTTTTTGTCGTTGTTACTATTTCTAATTTATCTGCGGTCTGTCTATATGCTCTGAGATTATTTCTTTTCAATGAGTTCTGGATAACATTTTTTTAATATTTTCAACTGCAATTAAATCACTGTCACCGTTTACAACTTTGTAGACCTGACACTTGGAATGTCGGACAGAATTGGCTACTTGAAAGTTTTAACAAAAAATGTCTTGTAATCCACCAACGCAATTGATTTTATCTCATGAAATGGCTATTTAAGCCGGTTTGCGGCGATGTTTTATTTTGCTAACTTCTAACTGTGGCTTAGAACAGAAATAAAGTGACAATGATCAGTGCCTAACGCCATACTATACGATTATATGAATGACTGGTTTCTGTCTTGAGTTACCATTGATTTTAATATGACAAACATCCGTGCCTTACGCAAGAAAATAATGTTACTGAAACGTGCCATCCGCAATGGTCGGATGATTAATTAGAATATGTGATTCACTGAATTAGTCCGCGCGGGAATCAGCCGTGGCTGGCTAGTCATCGCCTCTTCAAAGTCGTTTCTAGCTGGACTTGCAGATGCAAGCAATAATGTATAACTTCCCGGTTCAGAGCAGGGGTGGTTAAATACCACCAATAAGATTCTGACACTCTACTTCGCTTTAAAGCGTGAATGCTTGCCGAAGATTCTCTGGGCGGCCAAAGTCATTTGATGAGACTGATGGTCATCATTTGAGGATGATCACCTAGTCACCTATAAGAGATGGGTCATTTTTTTAGTGTCATAAAGGGAAAAAATATTATATTTCGAGGTATATTTGTAATTCTACCGGGTTCGTAGATGTAAACGACCATGCACTGTATGCATATATAGGGCAGGATTTTGAACGGGGTTCCTTAGAGTCGGTAAGAGTCTGACAATAAGGGAAGTAATCAGATGGTTTTTGGCCCATATGGATACCTGCAACACCACAGGAATTGCATTGCGTTGCCGGTGATTTGGGGAAGGATGGGGTAAAGCAAATACAACGCTATGATTGTCTTTCGCCGGTTTTCTGCGAGGCCGTGGTATCACTCCAGTTGAGTCGGCCCGTTCGTGTGGAAGCATGGCTCTCCCACACTTAATTTATACTATAAATTTGTAATCCAGGACTCATTGCAAAAGTCAACCAAATAAAGGACAAAAAACCCAAGTGATATTTTTGTTTATGCATGCGATCTTATTGAGTTGTTTATTTCATTTTATATTATATTTCTTAGAGTTTGCTTTCGTTTGTAGATGGATGTACGGGTGAACAGTAGTCATAATAGGCGGGTAAGTTAATATATACATACATACATATTTATTAATGCACTATATATTTATATGTATGTTGTGTGCACATGTTACTGTGTTAACCTTTTTAATGCTATTATGAAGTTAGAGGAAAAACATTACAAAGTCATTTATTAACAGGAAAAATATATAATTATAACAAATAATAGAAATATAGTCTTTGGTGTTACAATGAAAGTATTGAATTTGACAAAAAGTCTTTTAACACATTAAAAAGGTTAACTTAAATGTTATTAATATCTATCGCTATATATTTATGTAAAAAGTTTCTAATCTACCTACTACCCGCCTTACACATATAATTGCATGTATAATGTGTTTGTTTTTGTTTGTTTGAATGTATGCTTTTTCTCTATATTTATTTTAATTTCAAATAATTTTTGATTGCGCAATTTTTTTTTACTTTGTCTGACGCTCACAAGTTTTAGTATAAAAATGTGTCAAATATGTAATGTTATTTTAGTTTTAGTGGTGTTGAAATACTGATGTGTAATTTCGTCTCACTAATGTATGTCAGGATGGCCGAGCGGTCTAAGGCGCTGCGTTCAGGTCGCAGTCCACTTCTGTGGGCGTGGGTTCGAATCCCACTTCTGACAAACTTTTTGTACCGTTTTGTTATATATTTTTAATTTATACATAACTTAATTTTTGTTTTCTATCAAAAATACAGATTTATTTAATTGAAAATTATATATTTGTAATTTCGTATTATATTGTACCAGTAGATCAAGGAATTTATCTTTTTTAGGAATTTTGAAAAGAAAAGTTTGCAAATCATAGATTTGTATAGTATCGATGCCGGTGTTTTCATCTACAAAAGATATACTGACATGTAGCTAATCCCTATGTTTATAATCTGTCAAAATAATATAAAATAAAGGTTTTCTCACATATAAAAACCTTTTCTACTGTTTGATCAACCGATTATAACTTTTATTAATATAATGGAAAAAGAAATGGCAACTCCTGTAAATAATAGGCCTTGTGACGATTTTATGGGCTTTTAATGCTCTCCTTGTAGCCTACGGAATATAAGTTAAAATTGGATGTACAGACAGTAAACATATTTTATTAAATATTTAATTTTAATGCTACTAATACAGGGTAACATTTTTGAACGAGGGATACCAACATACATAGTCGAGGAGCCAATTTTGCTGCCCAATTACGATAATTTCTTCCATAGGATCAATATCCATATCTTAAAAAATAAATTTATTTCCCCATACAAATCGCAATAGCTGATTGGCCCTTTTTGCATGGAGAATATAAAATTGTTTTTGAGATTTCCATATTGGTTTTATAGTTAAGAATATGTTAGACATCAGAAGTGAAACAAATTTAAAGAGGTTTAAACGTAAATTAAAGTTTTAATTAGCATTATTTAGAATTATTTGAAGTTATACACAATATCCTATCTAATTGCTTTGTTTATAGTGTCATTGTTCCCACAGTCAAACCGTTACAATGATTTTGTGGGGCTTAGCTTACTCACGTTACGTTTACTCAATATTGTGATATAAAGATAAATAAATTAATAAAATAAAATGTCTCTCGTTAAAAATGCTAGCCTGTATAGTATTGAGTTATTATTAACAATGTTAACAATGTTGTTAACAATATATTGAGTTATGTAATAAGTGTAATGTTGGTAATGTCGCAGGAGAGCGGTGCGGGAGGAGGTCGTGCGTCGGCCAGCAAGCCGGCGGCGAGCAAGCCGACCTACTCGCAGTCCTACTGGGCGCCCAACTAGCCACTCTCTAGGTAATGTATAGATACCATCAAAACACTACATTTACAGGATTTAACGCGTACTTACCTTTTATTTGCTTGACGTTTCGGCAGGGCCTGACCATGGTCACAAGTCGATACTACTGATTTATTTTCATCTACCCTCGATGTTATTAAGTGTCCTTTATAATGCCGCGGACACACTACACTCACTGTGTCCGGTTTTTTAGTCGATTTAAACTTAAAGGTACATGCGCGTTAAATCCCGTAAAGTAATAATACGGATTTATATGTAACGCGAAAGTTTAAAGTATAATATAGTTAGTACCTTTACAGATGCTAACAGCCAAGTGATTCTACACATCAATTGAACTAATTTTAAAATTATTTTATTTTTAAGTAAGGTGGAGAAATTATTTTTTTACTGGGTAGCTACACTATCCCCGGTGAACATATAGGCTATATACCTATGTTGTTGACTTTTTATATTAATGTGTAATTGTTGCTTGTTTCAGGCGTGGGTCGGGCGGTCCTCCGATGTATACCTAGCTCAATACTGAACATAACACGCGACACCCAACCAGCATTACTATATAAATTCATTGTGTAAAAGCATCGCCGCCGTCACCGATACCAACGTTTTTTTTTCTTTTTTTTAACACAAAGTCGGTAGCGAGATGTCGTGGTAGAGTGATGCAATATAATTATGTATTCGTTTCGTCGTGGCGACGTCGATGCACCCTCATCTCATATGTTAAGTCCGCTATCATAGGTTTCAATTGTTTAAAAGAAATTACCTCTAGTGCTATGTATATCTTATAAAGTATGTATATGTATGTAAGCATTTGGTACGCTATGCGCGCCGAAGTTTTTTTATTTAGTTGACATACTTTTTGTAATTAACACTTATTATTAAAAAAAAATGATTAAAGAGATGTCATAGGACGATAATCGTATTTGTAACGAGTATAATAGTCGAGCTCTTTTATATGTGGAAGAATGCAGTTGTGATGATCTCGCGGGCATTTGAAAGTATGACGGATTACACATATTGGAACTTGAACGACCGACTTTTATTTTACAAATTGCTCAGCGTCATTGTTCGCAGGAAATTAAAGGGTATTTATAATACATAATTATTATACTCTAATGAGCCTTGTAAACAGCGTTGTTTCGCCGAGTGAGTGAGGAGGGAGGCCTAATCCTTCCCCAATCCTAAAATCGACTCGGTAACTCCTTTGTTGTTGCGGGTGTCCACGGGCGGCGCTGATTGCTTACCATCAGGTAATACGCCTGCTCGTTTGCAGTCTTATCACATCAAATAAAACTAGGTGATTTTACATAAAAATCCAGTAATCCTCACTTAATCCACCCTGAAACATGTGAGGACATGGAGTATACCCCTATTTGTCACATACACTGCACAAATTTAGTTGGCCGTCCGTTACTAAGCACGGTCGCGGAATTACAAAAGCTATACTAGTTGCTAGCGTTCGCGCAGCGGAATGTTGTTGAATTTAAAGATTTTAATTATGCAGATATTTAGTGTATGACGTCGTATAATTGTGTATGGTAAAAAAAAATTTGTGCACGCAACCATTGTGGAGAAATTCACCAAAAACTGATTCCGCTGGGCGAACGTTGTCCTGGCGGAACTTTTTTTAATCCATAGACTTTAGAAGAAAAGAGATGTATCCAAAAATTAGTGTGTATTTGTGTGTAATTGTGTATGTATGAATAAAACTAGTGCATGCATAAACTTCGGAGATATTCAAGTTTCCGCTACGCGAACGTTTGGCCATTAGCTAGTTTTCATATAAAGCGCTTACATAGAGAGCTGTAGATTTTTACATACGTTGTTTTGAATTTGTTTATATTTGTTTAAAAAACAGATTTAGAAAAAATCGTAGGGTTTAAAAGATAAAAATATAAACGTAAAATACGCTTATTAGTTCCTAGTTCTTAAAGTATGCACTTTGGGATCTAGATTTTCACGTTTATACAAACCTTGTAAGTGTCTGCAACATGTTGCCAAGTATCAATGATGTTCCGTTAGTAATTAAATAGTTATAGGACAAATTTACCATGAATAGATCACTGTTTACAAAGCAGTCAAATATCACGACTTTCTAAATGAATTGCATGGTAAAATGTATGCCAATAATTAGTGTATTCATTCAACTATTCACATGCAAAATTTCATGTCATTAAATTCAGTAATTAAAGAAAAACAATTATAATACTGACGAAGCATCGAAAACCTACATAACCCGACCAAGTTCGGATGGCTACAAAAAAGCGGCCGTGCCATATATCTAAGAAACGTTCTTAACTTTCCAATATAGCATTTATTAATATGGTACAGTATCGTACACAAGCGTTAGGAAAAAATAAAACACAGTATCGTACACACGCTCGTGCATGCCTAGTCTATTGGTTAAATAGTGTAATAAAAAATATTGGTTAAATAGTGTTATAAGCTACAATATGATAAATATTTACCGAAACAGTAGTAGGTACATACATACATGTGGTAAATATTTAATTTTCCTAAGGGGTCTATAGTTAGAATCCTGATCCGTGAAATCTTCTTTGTCTTAAATATAATTAGATTATATCTCAAGTCTCAAGCGCATACTTAAATAAAATACCTACGTAAAAAGTACCTACTTTCTGTCATAGTCAAATACATTTAAAAAAGTAGGTGTCCAAAAATAAATGACCTATAAATTATTTCGAAACAACAAGTGTGTTATCACCTGTACCAATTCAATACCGGTATTATACTGTAAATTTTGGGATGTTACCTTAATATATTGCACGGCCGCTTTTTTGTAGCCATCCGAACTTGGTCGGGTTATGTAGGTTTTCGATGCTTCGTCAGCATTATAATTGTTTTTCTTTAATTACTGAATTTAATGACATGAAATTTTGCATGTGAATAGTTGAATGAATACACTAATTATTGGCATACATTTTACCATGCAATTCATTTAGAAAGTCGTGATATTTGACTGCTTTGTAAACAGTGATCTATTCATGGTAAATTTGTCCTATACTTATTTAATTACTAACGGAACATCATTGATACTTGGCAACATGTTGCAGACACTTACAAGGTTTGTATAAACGTGAAAATCTAGATCCCAAAGTGCATACTTTAAGAACTAGGAACTAATAAGCGTATTTTACGTTTATATTTTTATCTTTTAAACCCTACGATTTTTTCTAAATCTGTTTTTTAAACAAATATAAACAAATTCAAAACAACGTATGTAAAAATCTACAGCTCTCTATGTAAGCGCTTTATATGAAAACTAGCTAATGGCCAAACGTTCGCGTAGCGGAAACTTGAATATCTCCGAAGTTTATGCATGCACTAGTTTTATTCATACATACACAATTACACACAAATACACACTAATTTTTGGATACATCTCTTTTCTTCTAAAGTCTATGGATTAAAAAAAGTTCCGCCAGGACAACGTTCGCCCAGCGGAATCAGTTTTTGGTGAATTTCTCCACAATGGTTGCGTGCACAAATTTTTTTTTACCATACACAATTATACGACGTCATACACTAAATATCTGCATAATTAAAATCTTTAAATTCAACAACATTCCGCTGCACGAACGCACGCATACTAGTTTAGTAGACGCTAACAGATGAGCTTTTGTTTACGCACTATCATCATCATCATCACCACCAGCCTATAAGTGCTAACTGCTAAGCAAAGACCTCTTCTCACACGGAGAAGGTTTGAGCATTAATGGCCACGCTTACTCAAGGCGATGTCAATCTTATAATTAGAAATCGTAGAAAGTACATGAGCTTAATATGCTTAATAACTCGAGTGCCTTAACCTCCTCGCCAGCACGACATATTGCAAGTGACGTTTAAATAATAATATATAACATTGTCGCTCAGCTTTGGTGCGGATGGCATTAAGGTTTTGATAGAACAATGTGCTTCTTTCCGAAATTTCCTATGCGGTAAAACAAAACATTTTGTAAAAACCTGGTCTTATCATCATTATCAGCCGGAAGACGTCCACTGCTGGACAAAGGCCTCCCTGTTAGCTCTCCATGCCGAACGACAAGTCGCCACTCGCATCCATTTGCCCTCCGTGACCGACGAGATCAGATCTGTCCACTCTTTTCTGACCCATGTGCCGTCAGTCCTTCGAGCGATGTGGAATCCTTATTATTGCCACTTCAACTTGCAGATGTTACATGCTATGTCTGTAACTCTGGTTCTTTCACCAATTTTCTATATTGCAGATTTTGTTGCGTAAAGAAACTCCAAACATAGCTCTCTCCATCACTCGCTGTGTGACTTTCAACCCTTTCTAACAGCCCACAAACCCACTCAGTACCGTATTAAGGCAGTGCGGGATTATTGACGTTTTTTTTTGTTGAGTCTTATAGTCTCCGTAATCCACGTTGCTACTCAGCAAATCATTTATATGCTGAGATCCGATGTGAAATCGCATTAATGACTTGGTGCGCAATTTGGATCTAGGGCTTAAAAATGACCATTTTAGTACCCCCTGGCCACAGCCAAGCGCGGCGCGGGTTGCGGCGCGACAAGCGGTGAGCGGGGAAAACAAATGGTAGACAACGTATGAAGTATGCCACAGCTAACGGCGACGCGAATTGCGGAGCGACCTGCGGCGCGGAGAGCGTCGCGCGGCATGCGGCGGCGACGGGCGGCGCGGTGTGCGAGTGAAACAAATGCACTCGGGAGTATCGAGGCGGCAGCCAGAGCGGCGTATGCAGCGGCAGCGAGGGGACGTATTTGTGTTCGCGCGAACTGAATAAATAGTTTTGAAAATTTCGCTCCGCATCAAATGGATACCGAAAAACTTATTAGTGAGATATTGAATAGGCTTGTGATTGTGGATGTCGAAACATCCTCAACATAACTTCAGAAATATAATCAAAAAGTTGTGGGATGAAATAAAAGAACCGATCGAAGGTTTCTATGCTTGTCCTCGTATATTCAAAAAAAAATTCTGGGTAGTTCCTATATTCGTGATAAAGCGTGTGAAATTCGCCAAGGGTTTTTCCTTTTTTCATTAACTGGGTGCGTTCCAATTTTAGAGTTAATGATATCTTGAGCTAAAAACGCATTAGTCTCCAGACAATATGGTGCCACTTTTGATAGGGCCATTATAAATAATACTGAGTACGTCCACCGCTGACGCCGCCGCGGTCGCAACTAGTCGAGCTGTGGCATACCAACGCACCGCGCGTCGCACCGCTAGAAGCTGTGGCCAGGCCCTTAATAGGCGATGAACGGAGATTAAAAAAAAAGTAAGTATGTACCCTCAAAATTTTTAATAGTATCAACATACAGGAATGTTACACAACATATTTATAAATATTTTATCTCCTGTGGAACAATTTAGTTAACAAGAGATTCTATTGGAATAATATGCTTTTATTGGAATGGTTAGGTATAAGTACATATCTATACACACAACACTATCATTTTTCTTTTCTAATTTGTACTATTTAACTCCGATTTAGGATCGGACACTTTATAAATATATAGACACCAAACACGAAAATAGTAATCTTATAAAACAATTCATGTGGCGATAAAAATCTATAGCAGCCTTCGTGAGACATTCTAAATTATTTATTATGTTTTCGGCTTACTCACGTAATAATTTAACGAGATACTCGACTAGTTTCAACCTATCCTAGAGGCCCATATTCATGAGCAGCATTCCGCGACACGCGACTCGGCGACTGTCGCGCTGCTACTCTGCGCAGTAGCAGCGCGACTCAAACTAGTCGAGTATCTAGTCAAATTATTACTTGAGTAAGCAGAAAACATAATAAATAATCTATAGCAGCCTTCAATAAATGTTTATTTTTATTTCATTGTATTTAGACGAAAATATTTTGATGAAAATTGAGTCTAATTTTAACTATGATAAGCTCAGTGTTTAAAAGATACACTTTTTAACCCCAATGTTAAAAGAAATAGGATGTCTCTCTATTTGTTCGAAGCTTCCAAACGGATGATCCTATACCCAAGATTACTTCATGATAAAAAAAATTAAGCAGTTTATCATCAGCAAAGATATTAAATCGTTTCATACTACTTCTATATAAGTTCTACCTACTAAATAGGTATATTATTATGGCTACTGTGTAGTCGACTAATTTATTGGGCAAATTTTTTGTTCTCAAACTCTACAAGTTTTTAGCGGAGTGTTGGTCAAGGACCCAGTAGAGGGAGCCACTGTGAGGCTTCACTCTGCGCGCCGGCACCGAATCATCATTGTCCTTCAGGATACGCTGAAATCATGAAAAAGATATGATACACTCAATAATGTACAGATTTTATGTTGTTAAGAACTTGATATGATCAAGTAGGATATAGGTTATCAAAAACTAAGAATTTAACATTATTATGCTATTCAGGATCCAAAGTTACAACTTACTTTAATCATATCTGCCTTGCTTGAGCCGCAGATAGCAAACAAACAATTCCTTGCTTTGTTTATAGTCGGGAAGGTCAGAGTGATCCTCTCTGGCGGGAACTTGGGTGAGTCAGTGATGGGAGCCACCTTCAACTTGGTCTCATCTAGTAACGGATGTCCAGGGAACAAGGAACAAGTATGTCCATCTGGTCCCATGCCAAGCAGAAGCAGGTCAAACACAAAGTCCTCACTACCAAATGCCTTGGTCAACTTCTCTGTGTAATCCTTTGCAGCTTCTTCAGCTGAAATGTATAGACTCTATTATTATTTAAATCCTGAATGATTTTGTTACCTAATTGAAATCTTGAATCTACTTTTGGTGAAGGAGGTCGTAATGTATATCAAATTCAAGTGTGGAATATTCTTAACTTGAAACTTGCACAAATCTGATGGTAGTTAGACTTGTTTGGGAGAGCCATGGTTTAATAGAATGGGCCATTACAACTGGAGTGATACCAAAGCCTCAAAAATACTGGAATACATGAAGAAGAAATAATAGATTCTAATGAGGATGTACAACAGCCATATAATCCTTATTCTGGCTCTGATTGTTGTATTTGAAAAAGAAACATTAACAAACCTGAAACTCCTTGCTTTATCTTGATAAATTGCTGCTCTACTAGCTTTGTTTTTGGGATAAGCTCTCTCTTGTAAGTGCCGAAGGTAGAGTCATCATCATTCTCAGGCACCACACGTTCGTCACAGAATGCCACCACCCAGTTGGACCAGTCAGTGTCCACAGTTTGTAAGCACTCACAGAGGTAGTTTAACACGGAACCACCTAAAAAACATTGTTTTGGAATTTAGAAATGGACTAAATTTAATGACGTTAACTAACTGAGAAAAGCTCTAATAGTTTGAAGAGTGTTAATATACTGGTTTCAAGTAACAAGTGGACTCAGCAGTGTATGTGCTGTTGTGATGTTGTTTCTACATCTAAAAACCTTATTGACGGCACAAATATAATGCGTGTACATAGTACCTACCTATACTGAATAAGTAATCAATATTCTCCTATCGATACTTCAACATTCAAGGCTGTGCTATGAAATGCCTACTTTTTAAACATTACACAATACAAAACTTTGCTACATTCAAATTATTTCAATCTAGTATAGTTTATAAATAGGTTGGTAATTAATTATTTAGACTTTATTTATCACGCGTGTAAGAGTAATTAATATTGTCTCAAGCTAAACATTCCGGCCGGCATCATTGAAGACAACGTAGTTTTAACACTTGCTATACTTTACCTTTATAACTATTCAGACTTGAATTAGTAAAGGTTACGAAAAAGGTTAGTAAGATGATTGTATATGAAAGGAAAAATAATAAAAGTGGAACATATATAAATGACCTTCGATCACTCACCTGAAAACCCAACATAAAACTTCCCACGGTTCTCGATGGCATCGTTAGCAATTTTCTCGATTTTAGAAGCTAGCTTAGTAACTAGCTCTTGTTCGTCATTTACAACAATTGTAGTCATTTTCAAAAGTTATTCTTCAGTAATTCCAAGTTTATACAACGAACGGAAGGCGTAAGTTAGGTTAGAATAAAATTGAATAAATTCTGAAATGTCATTCCAATCTAATTGTCATTTCGGCTTGCCTATTTTTTTAGTTTATGGCCTGGATACAAGTTCTTTAAGCCAATTTCGGCTTGTCATTGCTTCTCATTTCGTTTTTTATATTAGATATTAGTCTTTGTACCAATAACAATTATTATTCAATTGAATAGCTAACTGATATGTAAAATACTAAATGAAAAAAAAATACAAGTACAAACACTTTATATCCTGATATAATTTGAAAATTTATTGTTACAGATTAAAGTTAACTAACAGGAGTAAAAAGTAAGCATTGTCAGAAGTGGGATTCGAACCCACGCCCACAGAAGTGGACTGCGACCTGAACGCAGCGCCTTAGACCGCTCGGCCATCCTGACTGAGAGTTGACCCCTTAAAATACTGAACAAATGCTGACAATGAACATTTTCTTTTGTGAATGAATGCTAAGTACCTATGCCTTTATAAAGTCTTGATACGAACAAAAAGCCTAGTGTGCTTTTGGAGTGGTCCTTTATTGCCCGTATCATTTATTCTAACGACAGACTTTTATCAGTTACTGCAGGGACTATGAGTAAATACTACTCGTATGGTAAAAATGTGTTTTTGATGGCACATGACACAGTAGATAGCGCTGTCTGACGGGTTACTGCCCAACGTGTACAGGTTTTATTCAAGCACAGAATAACTTACTGTTTTGTGCGTTTGATATTTAGGTGTGCACTATACTTGGACAACCTTTTTTTGAGAGTCATTCTTAACTATTTCCAAATATTTTCCTGTATGGGGCGAGGTCCCCCTCGCCATCAGGTGTCAGACTCTTACTGACTAAAAACCAGCCCAAACTTTCTCTTGCGACCTCGGATGAATTCTTGATCATACTAATTATTTGGTACATTTAATTTTATATAGGTTTAGTGATCGACGTTCACCCACAAGGAAGAAATAAACGCTTATCCTTTGTTTTGTTGACCATTAAAATTCTGCCTAATCCAAAAAAATATTACCTACCCTAGATAGTTGTGGTTTTCAATACACCCACAAAAAAAGGTAGGTAGACATTATTCCAAAATACAATATAGATATTTGTGGCAAAAGGCAACCTAGCATAGAGTAATCATCCGGGGTGATCGCAGCACATATGAACAGTCGCCGACGAACATGCGGCGCGTGTTTCACATGTACCGGTGTTCGTCAATCACCAACGGTGACTAGCTACGCTAGCTACCCGTTAACTAATCGAAATTACAATACTTATTAAACATTTTGTTGTTATTTCAAAACCATTTGAAGACGTCTATTTCAATTAATAATTGGACTTTTTTATATTTTCATTGCTTTTTAAGCAGTATTTTATTACAGAGTTTCAATTTAAACCCAATATTAAATAAGTATCGTATAACGTTCTAGACTTGACATCTATTGAGGAGTAGTGACACTAACAAATACCTAAAGTCTACAATTTAACCAAAAATAATTTAAATGTATCAATATTTTGTATTGAGTAATACCAATATAATATAATAAAAAATAAGTAAGAATTACTACAATTATTAAAAAAAAAACCTGTTAAACTAGTATTGCTATTCAACGACAGATGGCGGTATGTGCTCTTAAGTTCGCTCTGAAAGTGAAAGTGAGACGAAACGCAATGAAAACGGGCACGGTGACCGCGACACACGGTTGTTGACCGTCAAAACGTTGCGGTGACGTAACTGGCGTAATAGCAGTAAGGGCGGCCTCGCGACTCGCGTAGGACTTGGTCTCTTCACATCACAGCGCTATTTAACTTTTTATTTCTTGCACCTAAAAATGTTAATATGATTTTCTCCTGTGTCGTGGGTACTGTTACAAACATACAATTTCACATACACAAGACACCCAGACCCGGAACAACAATTTGTGGATCACACAAAGAGTTGATCCGTGCGGGAACCCGCGACACGTTGCACGGCAGCCAGGTGCCCAACCACCGCATCAACCGTGTAGTTGAATATATCACTATATTATTCAGGGCTCATTTTTCAATGGTTAGACAAAAGTTATCTGGGGAATAAATATGATGCTGTCGCGTCAGAATGTTTGTATAAGACAGTGGCAGCAACTATTTTTCTTCAGATAACATTTGTCTGACTATTGAAAAATCAGCCCTTAGTCATATAAATAGTATCTGCTGATTATAAATCAATTGTTTGTTCTTTGAATTTTTGGTTTTTTACTTAGTGCAAAAATGTCAATGTCATGGAAATGTGCGATAAAACAAACATACAAGAAAGCAGACATGATATGACAGCACGGTTGGCGCGGTAGCTGGGCGAATTTCGCAGCCGAGCGCTCGTCGAGTCAACATCTCCTGAGGATGCCCTGTGGAGGGGCGAAACACGTGTCGAGTATAGGTTTGATTGCGTGCCATGTTTTTCCGTTTTGAGTATGTGTGCATATGCATGTGGGCGGGAGCGTGGGACCCTTGCTGCATGTGCATATGCATGATTGCATAGGAGTGGGATTGCATCCTGCAACAAGCCTGGATTTTTGTCGCGGAATATTTTCCCTAATATTTAATGACAAGAGAAAATCCTAATGTGGGGCAACGTTAATTAAATAAAAAACAACAATGCTACGAAGAGGTATGCGACACGCAGTCCAGCGTTGGTCCTGCTAACACCTTGACTAGCTTTCCGACTAGCTTTTCTTCTATTCTTGATTTCGCATATTGTATTCTTTTTTAATTTTGTTTCTTTTTATTTTTAGTTTGTCATTTTTATTTGTTTGTTTTTTTAAATAGTTTAATTTCTTCTCTTTCTTCCTATTTCACTGTGTAATAAAAAGAAATGTGAAATTTTCACCTCACACGCATGGCCCAAACTCCTTTCTCATCGGTCGGGCTTGCAAACGTTGGACCAATGAAGAAGTCAAGTTTATGTGAAATTTATACGCGATCTACGCAGATGGTGGAATAAAGGAAGTGTCGCGAGCTGTATTTCTATACCGCATCAGATAATCCAACGGTTCGCAACGCATTAGCGATACCTATAGAACGGTAATATATCGCTCTGTAATAGTGTGGGAGAACCAAGCTTCGGCACAAATAGGTTGGATGGACCGGAGTGATACCACGGCCTCACAGAAAACCGACGTGTTTCGCCGTGTGAGTAAGGTTACCGGAGGCCCGATCTTTCCCCCTCCTCCACCTCAATCTTCAAATCCCCTATCCTTAAATCCCTAATAAGATGCCGCAACGCTCATGTAGATAGTAACTCCTTTGATATAACGAGTGTCCATGGGCGGAGCTGATTGCTAACCATCAGGTAATCCGTCTGCTCGTTTGCCGAACTATGGCATAAAAATCTAATTCTCTTTTTTGAGGAGGGAAAATCGTCAAACGAATTGTTCGACCAGATTCTGCGACAGTCAGAATGTTACTGAGTTAAATCCACCACGTTAATTCTCCTGCTTTGAGAGCCCCGACTGGACTACAATGTAGTATGTGTTTCTTGCACCTGCAGGAAGACTTTTGATCTGATTAAATGACTTCTCCCGCCCATTAATGTAAGACTCTTACTGACTAAAACCACCCAGTTTCTTCGCCTGCCGAGGCCGAAGCCGTGATGCCTCATTGCGCTTGCCCCGAAATCGTATTCGCTATGTGCGAAGTAGGTGGTGGGGAACGGCAAATCGATCGTAGCGCACGACGTGGCAGAAATGTGAATTAATTCTGGAATTTTCATAACTTCCTTTATAATTTTAAGTAAAAACGTAAAAATTTGCGATAATTGTCATAAGTAGTACATGCTGTACCGTAAATTGTAAAAACAATGGGAAAAACAGTTCGTGCAAGTTTTATTCGTTTCCAACATCAAAGTGGACATTACAGCAAAGACAAAAATGGATAGCTGAATGTGAAGAGAAATAAAATTCAAATCCCGTACATATTATAATATCCATATTTTTCACGAGGAAGAAAATCGCTAGGTGTAATATACCTACACACTCAGTTTTTACACTATTTTTTCAATTTCGTTGAAGAACTAGTCGAAAATCAATATCTTTGACATGATTTGACAGATGACAAGTCCTGAATAGTTGCGGCCGCTAGGGGCGCTGCCATCGCGCACACAACGAATAGGGCCCTGTCTGTGGTGGTCTATTGGCTCTTTGAGGCTAGCGCGAAACGCTACGCTCCGTACGCTCGCGTCTGGCTCTGGTCGGGCGGCAAGCTACCCTTACCTACCCGCAGACCGATGCCCGAGGAAGCTGCAATGATAGTCAGGACATTTATGTGATCAGGTGTTTACTCGTATGTACACTGTACAGTAAGTTTAAAAGGTCGTACTACAGTATCATTAAACACATATGGACCTGTTAAACTTGACACAGATTACTTTACACTTTCTGCACGATAACATATATTATATGTTACATAAATATTTATGTATGTATCAGTAAATAGCACTAGGTATCGCCCGCGGCTTCGACCTAGCCTTCGAGTCTGTATGAACAAACGTCATGGGTTAGACTTGTTATAAAATATAGGTTTCGTATCACAAGGCAAACTATACAGGTTATTTTGAACGAGGGACAATTATGTCGTGTCATATTAAAGTGTGGGAGAGCCATGCTTCAGCACGAATGGGTCGGTTCGACCGGAGTGATACCACGGCCTCACAGAAAACCGGCGTGAAATAACCAAAGAGAAGTGTTTCGCCGTGTGAGTGAGGTTACCGGAGGCCCAATCCTTAATCTACCCCAATCCGTTCCCTTTCCCAAAATCTATAATCCTCAAAAGGTTGACAACGGTCGAATGTTCGTCATGGGCGACGCTGATTGCTTACCATCAGGTAATCAGTCAGCTCGTTGGCCGATCTATCACATAAAAAAAAATTATATGTATTCAATGACCCGTCTCTGGTGCCTAAATAAAATAACTTTTTCTATAAGACCAATATCGAAATCTCAAACAAAACTTTTTACTTCACCATGCAAAATGATCCATCAGCTGTTCCGA